ACTTTTCGAATAATTTCAGCTAATTCCTAATAAGCTGTCGTCCCGCAGCTTTTCCACTAAACTCCCCGACGAATAATTCGATCTACTCGCAATCAACCGCAACGAAACCAAAATTTAATGATACGGAAAACAATAAATTTTCACCATTTTGTTTTACAACATTTCACGCTTTCAAATAAATGAGTGAGTGATAACGTGTAGAACGATATAAATTACGATTACGTCATTCCGATTTTCATCAAGTCTGAGGGGGTGTACCTATTGTGTGTGTCGAGGTGTGTGGGTGTGTGTTTTACAATGTCGTCAGCGCGGACAATTAACGAACAAACGAACTCGCTAACGAGCGCCGCGCCGACGAGATGCATAACGAGAGACAAAGCGTTCGCCGAACGCCTGACGACGTCGCCGTGGGTGCTGATGGGGTGCTGTCGACGCAGACGCCGCTATTTACGGATACGTCTTGCGCCTGCAAGCGAAACGAAGACGATTATCAGCACAATGCGCGCGCAAACTATGCTGAGAGCGCTCGCAATCAACCGTCGGGATTGTTGAGCAGTAAAGTATCCTCGGTGCATTTTAGGGGTGTGATCAACATTTAACTATACAAGTTTGAGGGTGGTATTAATTGCGTGGAAGCAATTAATTATGTGCGAATTAATTGGCATTAACCACAATCGATCATTAAATATTTGGTGTTTAACATGACAACGGGTCGTTTTTGCATTGGATGTTCTAACTCTACGATCAATATCACTAAATTTCATTTATATACTCGTATTGGTAACTAATATCATAAATGCGAATTTCATGTTGTTTGTGACGCTGCAACGCAAAAGCAAGTGAATTAATTTTGATGAATTTTGGTATAAAAATATTTTAGATTTAGCAGAATAACGTAGGCTGCTCTTGGTCGCAAAAATGTAACTCGTTGGTATGCAACATAATTTGCACGTTGAAAAGTCATATTAAAACTGTTAGTTAAACCATTTATAACTCAAGAACGGTTGCATTGATTTTGATTATCTATAATGTATTGGATTCGTTTCCGTTCCGAATTGTAGAATAACTACTAAAATATCAAAAATTATGACTTATAGGGTGTTAAATAAGAGATGAAAATTGGTATCAAGATTCAATCATAGTTATAGTAATTAAATTCTAGATGGAGCTAAAGTAGGTACATTATTAGTTATTCTTATTTCTTTAAAATAAAAATGCGAATATTGATGCAATTAATACATATGGCGGAAAGTGCATTATCAGCATTATTCTTTTCTTTAAATTAAAATTGCTAATCTTATGAATTCCGTGGGCACATAATAGTTTCAAGAACAAGAAAGTACTTGAAATACAATGGTAGTACGAGAGGGTGAGTATAAGCTTACTGTACGCTATAGTTTACTTAACTTTACTTAGCTTAAGAAAGTACTTGTAATTCGTTAGACTACCTTTCGCCTTCTTTGCATTTATAGGTTAATAAAATAACGCTAAGATAATTTTTGGGTTAATTCGGTGTCAACTGTCAAAATACGCGGTATGACGCTGTAATAAAAATATAGTGATTCTTTTTTATCATTGTGGCGTTATATAAGTCATACCAACCATTGCTTACGTAGCCATGTAAAGTGATGGCGACCGCCCTCGGTTCGGGTCTTAAGGGTATCAGTTGTCTCCGTCAGGCCAATTTGGGGGCTAATGGGGAGCTAAACGGCACGAAATGGCGGCATTCGTTTTGGTATTCCATTACGCGACTCGCTAAGCTTTTATTGCCGCCGTTAACACACAGAGAGCCGAGGGCAGACGCGGTGATGTTGACCGGAGGATCTGTGGATGCGCCCAATAAAACATTATTAAATTGCCAACCCCACGCACCGCACAATTCGATAATACCTAATTGCAGAATATGGTTTCATACCAGCGAGGTTTTTGTACTTTCAATTCTTCAAACAGGATTAATTTAATTACTTAAGCGAGGGGTTTGGGGGATGAGGGGTGAATTTAATATTTGGGTTAGTACTTTATTTTTGGTCATGTCTTAAACCTATTTAACCACAATTATATTGTGTGCTTATGTGGGTCAGTACACTGGTCATATAACCGATGCTGTAAAACTACCCCTAAAATGTAAATTATAGATTTTTAAATTTCAGTGGTTGTAATTTGTAGTGTTTATAGGTGGTGTCGATGATGTGCACGATTTATGCCACTGTGTTCGTGTTATTCGACTTGAAAAGCACAAAGTGCAAAGTTTTCCCCACTATCTACGGAGATTGGAAATCTTAATAAAGGAATGGGGTGTGTCGTGCAGGCATGCAAATTCTTATCGGATTTTCGGTGCACTCGCGTGCTTACATTCAGGCTTACCAGCGAAGTGCATTCGTCAGCTCTACTTTCCGAGTTTCCACTTTCCCCTGCAATTACCACCCCACCCTTCTACCATTCTTGCATTGGCATGTATTTCAAACCAAACCCCTCGTGGTAATAAATTGGGAATGCGCGACGTATTTGGGTTTTATTTCACTTCGGGTGAACGAACTATCAAACACCGGAGTTTAAGTAGGTTTTAGGTTTACACGTTTTAAGGTTATGAAACAGGGGCGTACGCCATCATTTGAGTTAAATACAAACAACATGAAGTGCTTAATTGAAATGTTGCTTGCTTGGTCGTTAATAAACTTGGTAATGCATTGTGATTTAATCGTTTTTAAAGTTGATGCCATTGTTTTAGGCGACTTATTATGCACATTTGTTATGTGTAATGGTAGTTTGCGGACTCTGTGGGCGTATAAGGTAGTTGTGCTGTGGACAATCATCGCGTTGTTGTTTGCTTGTTTCCGTTGGCCGCGCATGGTTTATTTGCACTTGCGCCACCGACGGTGGGTAAACCACCTACAAGCGGTTATTATTCACGCGCGCGCCCTTGTTTGTCGGTAGCATGTTGCGGCCATTGTATACTCACGTGTTTACCGCACGTATTGTAGCAACCAACCGTACATACGTTGCTGCTGCAGTCAAACAATGTCCGATCGAAAATACCATCATAAATCTTACACGTCTTGCGGGGTTGAGTCCGCAGGGTGGAAACGGTTGGGCATTGATGATTGCGTGTGAGGAGGCTAATGCCGGAAAGTTTTCCCTCTTACTGGTGCTAATGTGAAAAGACTGGCCTTTGGCGTGTTAACTGGCCGTAGCAAATCGCCTCAGGTGCATCCAACCCCTGAACATTTCAATCTAGTTGATTTTTGTTTTCTTTTCGAAAACTTTCGGACACTTTGTGTGTAAATTACGACTTTTGCGTTTTTCCGGGAGATAAACAAATCCCTCGGTAATTACGTATGTATGCAATCAAATATATCCGGCCGGTTATTTGGGTTTGCATACATTATTCAGAATGGAAGGTCTTTGGAAATGTAACTGGACATCTTAAGAAATCCCACAAAAACGAAGAACAGCCCCAATAAAATGGATAATGATTTCAACACGATGGCCATTTTACTTTTATTCGACGTATACTTAGTTTAGATCACAATATTAACACAACAGTCACGATTATAATAATAATTCACTATGAATCAAATCACTTTCAACGATTACTATTGGCTAATATTACTCATCGGTTAAAAATTTCACTAGCAAAAAGCATTCGTGCTTATCAGTCGACTATCGTTACGTATACATCTTTGCGTGGTGTCTGCAGGTGTCCGTAATTGCAATCGTGCAAAGGGTGCGAATGTGAGTTTAGGTTTCGATCGGATTCGGATATTTTTCCTCACTGCGTGTGCGAGCGTTTCGAACGTTTGTTGGGTATTTTCGATTTTTGCGTGGCCGGAGATGAAATGCGCGCGCGTTGCGGCCGTCGCAGCGTCTCGGTTTAGCGAAGACGAGCAAAAATGTGACGACAATGACGTGGTGGCGTGTTTTTGGACGCTCGCGTTTTGCTGAAAAGCTTTACGGCGACGCGCGAAAAATCAATAAGGACGCACTCCCAGTACGTATGCGCATTCATGCTACCAACACAGCTTATATAGAAGTTAGTTGTGTTATTAGCCTGTAGGTGTCACTACGTATACTGCGTTGTAGTTCTGCGCTTAAAACGATTTTCCAACGCGCTGCTTTTGTTTTCAGCGATTTAAAGTTTCGGCAGGAGCGTCGAGCTTGTATTGATGTTTTCAGTCTGCGCTGTGTGTACCGCTGGTGCACACCTACTTCCGGCGCGCATTAAACCAGTTTCTTCAACCTGCATCAAACATTTGTTACAATTATCATGTGTTCATAAAGCTCTTACGATTAAACTGCGATGCGATGTGAGTTGCGTGGGTTATCTGCCGCGCACTTCCACCAAACGATGTCAAGGCGATCGATTTTATTTTGCACTCGTTCATTTCCTACATTATACGAATTTATAAAGATTCTGGCATTTAATATCAAATATTATCACGCACTATGAATGTATACAACACTATTGCACAAATATACTTATGAATGTCGCATTTTGTGCACAGAACAATTTATTGTTGAAGACATTTTTAACATGCATAACGGCTGTGTTTAGATGACCCACATTTTGAAAAAAGCAAACTATATTTTTTATTATATTATGAAAACCTTGAATATACGCAGCAAACTAATCCCAGAATTATAAAGTTGAAAAAAAATTATATAGCTTTCCTCACGGCCATGATAATGCTCATTTAAGGTTAGGAATCTTTGATAGATGAATCTTTATTGATAGTTATCATTGCGATATAATTATAGTACTTTGTGGTACTAGTGTATAAAGTATAGTGTATGCTATGCACTTTAATTCCTTTATAAAATTGTGTAGACAATTGATAATATGAATAAATGAGACTTATGTACTTACTAAATAAGAATCTCCTTTAAAATTTTCCTATTCTAAGATATATCACTATGTTTATTCGCAAATAAACAAATTTTGGATATTTTCCTGCTATATTAATTGGCAAATATATTCTATTTTAATCTCATTCTAGGTGTTGTTTGTGTTAGTGCAAACCTAAATAAAGGAACTATACGCCTGGTTTTATTTTACATTTATGTATATATAAACTTATGAGAGTTTTGTTATCACTTAACTTATCCAGAATGCGCTTGTAATGCTTTCGAAGGCTTAATGCAAATCTCATTATTTGTAGATATTGAGTCATAATCTTTCTGTTGACGGAATATACCCAACAACTTTTGAACTTTTCTGCGTAAAAATATCCCAAACGTCACGCACAACATGATGAAACATCGTACAGTCTGATACAAACTAATTTTATTTTCATTTTTTAGAACTTGTAAAGTATCAAAGTTGCATTACACATATTAAATATTACAATGTAGCAGCTTGTCAAGTTTATTTATAAAAGAAAACATGTACAGATGATTTACTGTTTTGTATTTATAACAAAACATTCACAACTACACGCACAAAGCATAGATTTCTTACTAACAGTACGCATTTATATTTTATTGCACTTTTAGTTTATTATCACTTATTTATGTACCTACTTAAAATCGTCGAAATTTCCCCATCGTGTATTGTGTATTCAAGACAATACAAATGGACAATCGTCACAAATCAATTGTTTAACAAACAACCCATCAAGAACCTATAATAATATGCACGCACTTGAAGCCGGCTACAGTTGTGTGCAGTGTCGACAAGCGCGCACTCCACGTGTTAGCTCCGAGCGCAAAAACGTGATTCACAAAAAGCGTTTTCCGTGTTAAAACGTGCACATACGTTTTTCTTTCGTTTGCGCTTTCAAACCGGCGACGCGTCGTTGGCTTTCGCTTTCAGTTTGCTGTGCGCGCTTTCCGCGATCAGCTGAAAATCACTACCAGTCGAAATGAAAAGCACAAAAACTAACAATAACTACTTATAATTAATTCGCACTACGCACACCAAACGTGTCTAATAAATAACTAAATAATAGTGAAAAACTTTTCGTTTGTGTCTGGTATGTCCACGAACAGTCGCGCAAAACGAAGTTCAATGAATAAAAAATCAATCGAAAGATTTATGATACACTGCACACCAATCGAAGAGCCAACAAAAGAAGAACAATAGAAAACATACCAAAATAAAAGCAAAGCAAAACAAAGAGTGTGAACGATTGACTCGTCGTGACACCCTGAAAGAATTACAAAGTGCTTTTCACTTGTCGGTCGATGTTCTAACTGAAAACAGTTCAAATTGCAATTCGAAAAATTCCATGACATATCTATCAAAAGTCATTTAAACATTAGATACTTATCAATAATTTGTGCAAAAATAAGTGGCGATTCAAGATAATCGCACTTGGAAACGGTGCGCAGCGATTGAGTTAATAATGAGTGCCGGTGATGTGGTGGACGACGTCGACGTCGAAGGTTCAGCGGAAGAAGCAGCGATTTCTAAGCAACAGGGTCGGAAAGCACCCGATGGTGGATGGGGTTGGTGGGTCGTCTTTGGATCGTTTATGATACACGTTATCAGTGAGTATTTTTATACATCCGCATTAATTTCAGGTACACTGCGAAAATCAATAAGTTCGAATCGGTTTGAAAGGTTCGCAGTCCGCACCATACTAATGCACGATCACCCTTCATGTCAAATATCACGACATTTACTATACGCCTACATTGTAACATTTTCCGGTAAACTCAGGTCAAAAATTTAATTTAGCTTTTAATAAAGAGTAGAACTGCATAAAAATAATCTTATCTTTCATTGTTGTTTTGCTAAAATCATGCAGAAGTTATTTATAAATCGTAATTAGAGACGACATGGTCGATGCACCAAAATGGCGGATGTTTCAAAGTCACGTGGGCGGAGACGGAAGATTTAATTATAAATCGATTCATTTGGGCTTGGAAATTGGGACGGTTCTATATTTATTACATGCATTGTCATTTTATACTAGTTATCGTAAAATATCAATGAAATAGGTATATCAGATTAAAAAATTCAATTCAATCATTGTTATATCATTAAAAGTTAATATTTGATTAATTGATATGAGTCGGTATGTATATATGTCACATTGGCATTGACCTGTGTATAGCATTGATTTCTGCGTGTTCCAAACTAACAACTTGGTCGGAAATCAAGAAACTTTAGCATTATAACAGATTAATATATATTATACGTACATAAAGTTCATTTAAAACATGTGTAGTCATGTGGTCTCGATGTTAATTTTGTGCTTCTTTGTTCTCTTTCATACTTTTCGAAGCTTGCTCTTGAATAAATCTGGAAAGTCGTTTAAATATTTTATTTTCCTTTTCACGCCAGTCTCGTCGGTCTGATTCGTGTAAATATTGAAACTCTGATCATGATCAGCTGTTCCTTTTTGATTTTTGCTAAATTGCCAAGTTGCATTGAACAAACCTGCGAATCGTCGTAGGTTAACAGTATACGATTGCAACGAGCAAGAAATAGAAACTGGGTGATTCTATTTAATTCTTCCTGTGCTAGTTTCGTGTGCATCTCAATCGTCGGCGACGGCGCCGCGACGAAATTCTTGCGCCTGGATGCACATTTTACATATATTTATATTCTTATTTTCTTATTGACAACGCGAAGGGATCAGCGCGTTTACTGGCAGGATGCCAATAGGAACAGGCGGCGGATTTCGTGCGCCTAGTTTTGTTTTTTGTTTATTTCTTCATGTCGAGCCCATATTTCACGACACGCGCCCACAAACAATATCGACCGTCCGTGATTTTAAATATTCAAGCTTGTCGCAATGCATTTAAGCCTAATTTACATTTGTACTAATTTATAAATATTGATAAATTGACACGCACGCATTTAAATCGTTAAGCAATAGTTTAGTATTATAAAAAATATTCTAAAATATAAACCACGTATGAAATGTAAAAAACATTCTAAAGTTTTTGGCAATTCCATTTTTTCTGGTACATCTCAAACATAATAAACAGCATAAAAATTGTGAGACACGAGCAATCGTGTGTAATGAGCTTTTAAGCGATTATATAGGAATATAATATAAATAGATAGCCGAAAATATTTACACGAAGCTCGCACGCGAGTAAACATTTTACGCATATTTGCTAACCGATAGTAGACTTGGACATTGAATAGGCCAGTAAGTGCAATGCAAAAATAATTATTGTGAAAACATAGTAATGATAAACAACAAATTCTGCAATCATGTTCTGTTATTTCAACACATTTCCAATCTGAAAATAAAATAAAAGTTGTATAACATGAAGATCTAACGATTGCTTACATTATGTTCTAGCTGATGGTATTACATACTCGTTCGGAGTCTTCTACGATGAATTCCTCACGTATTTCAACGAAGGTAAAGGACCCACTGCATGGATTCTTTCAATTCTTGTCGGTGTCACATTCTGTTCTGGTCCTATATCTTCGCTGATGGTAAACCGCTGGGGCTGCCGTGTCGTAACAATCATCGGCGCCATTTTGGCATCAGTATGTCTTGCCGTAAGCGTCTGGGCCAAAAACATCGCAATGCTCTATGTGACAATTGGTCTGGGCACCGGATTTGGTTTCGGCCTCATCTACCTCCCAGCAATCATATCAGTATCAACTTATTTCGAAACCAAACGCAGCTTGGCCACAGGTATCGCTGTTTGTGGGAGTGGATTTGGCACGTTTATATTTGCGCCGATAATCACTGTACTTGTGGAAAAGTATGGATGGCAAACGTCGATGATGTTCACAGCAGCTGTAGTGTTATCCTGCATAATATTTGGTGCATTATTCCGTCCGCTAGACGATGATTCTTCAGAAGATAAAACATTGTCATTGAGAAGCACCACTGGAAAGATGAGTCTTCAAATCGGTAGCTACAGTAATTACTACTTAGCCAGCGGTAGCACTTCACCCAACAAATTACAAAGAGCGAAAAGTACGGCTGAACTATCATCCTATGGCGCTATTCCTAATGAAGTTTTAGCTAGCACACGATCAGAAGGTGGAGCTTGCAATCGCGCAAGAAGAATTTTAGATCAAAAAGATTTGTTCTTTACTAGAAGTATTCAAAGTCTAGAAGGATCCGCTGAACCAATCTTGGCACGAAGTTTCAGAAACAGTCGGAAGAACTGTTTTGGTGAAACCAAAGACACCTTGATGCAACTAATGGACGTATCATTACTCTACGACTCTATTTTTATAATATTTTCGATTAGTAATTTTCTTACTTCCATCGGATTCAACATACCGTATGTGTACATCGTGTCACGGGCGAAAGGATTAGGAATATCCCCATCCAACGCAAGTTTGATACTGAGTGTTATCGGTATTGCCAATACTGTAGGACGAATTGTTTTGGGATACATATCAGACAAAACTTGGGTTAACCGCTTATGGGTGTATAACACTTGTCTGACGCTGTGTGGAATTGGTAAATATATTTTACTTAATGTTGTGTGTGGCTTAGTAACTTTCAAATTCTTCTTAATTGCAGCAACAGCGTTGAGTTGTTTTTGTAGTGATTTTTATTCATTGGTTGTGTATGCCAGTATCTATGGTTTTTTGATTGGAGCCTACGTGGGTTTAACATCAGTTATCTTGGTTGATCTTCTGGGTCTAGATAAATTAACCAACGCATTCGGGCTTCTGTTACTCTTCCAAGGCATCGCATCATTGATTGGTCCGCCCATCGCTGGTGTATTATATGATGTCCTTAAATCCTACGATCCAGGATTCATGGTCGCTGGTGTTACGATTGCACTAAGTGGACTAATACTTTTCTTCATACCATGCATCCAACGACGGCGATCAAGAAAGAACGCCGTGTGTGGCGAACACCATTTTTAAATTTGTCACCAACAAAATAATGTTGGGTTTCATTTTTAGTTGTTGATAATGTAATCGATATAATATATACATATTCAATAACATTGTATTTATCGAAACGTGGACACTGACTGTAAACAGTTCCTACGTTGCTACATATCAATGCCGTCAATGCCTCCATCATCATTTTTATCACTAAAAATGATGGAAATAGCAAACCTGTTAATTAATCAAGACTGCAGTATTTACTTTTACAATACAATCGTGAGAAACTAGTTAAGTTTCTTAAATTATTGTGTTGCTTATACAAATCATCACATATAGTCAATATTTACTCAAATTTTAGATACAAGCAAATTTTTAGAATATTTATAAGTAAGCGCACAAAATTTAAAAAAAATAGTTAAAACTTGTATAAAATATTGTCTCATTGATTAAATATTTGTTAATTTAAATAGTTCTAAGTCTTTATATTTATTTGTTAGACTTTCAAATTTTATATCAAATAAACTTAATGTATATATTTCATTAAAATACAATTCTTTAAAAAACAAATTACAATTGCTTATCAAATGGAACTGAAGTGTCTTGAATAAAAATATGTAATAAGTAAAATACTAGTCATTTTAATACTAAAATCAGTCAATCATTTTCACTGTACCACCACGTCGTTTAGGTCTAGGTTTACCTCTTCCTGTGCCGACTGAGGGAGAGGTCACTTCAGCTTTACTGTCTCTTTCAACAATTTTCGTTCTATCGTGAATATTTTCCTTATCAATTGTGCTTCCGGCAATAGTATTTACAATTGTTGAATCATTACAGTTTGTATTAATATTATCTGATGAATTCTCTGACGTGGCAACACTAATAGAATTAGCAGAAATCGCATTAATTGCATTTATTAGTTGTTTCTCCTGAAAATTCCGCACTAGTGGTGTGCTGTTTACTATCCTCGAGTTATTCAGATCAAAATTGGAAGCTGTTACATTGCTATTACTACTAGTTGATGTCAAATCAATAGGATCTGGTGTAAATGCGGTATTCGTTGCTGTGGGTGATGGACTCTGACTAAACATAACACTCGCGGTCAGAGGTATAGATGAAAAAACCTCTTTCTTCTTACGTTCATTGTCAAGCATGCCACTAAAATTCAGTTTTGGTTTTAATGATACCTCTGACTCAGAAATTAGTTTGTCTGGTTGAATTAAAGATATTTTAGATTCTTTTGCATCTTCTTGGTTCCCAGACTTTGCAGAATCCTCTGAAGTACATTTTGGTATAATTGTTTGATTAGTTGGAACTGTATTTTCATTAGAAACATTTTTTGTTTTTCCTTTCAACGTATTTGTGGTAAGATCAAATTTCTTTATATCTTTATTAATATTAATACTTAAATTAGCTTCATTGCTATTTTTTTGAGAAACTGCATGCTCTTTAATCTCATTCTCATCAATTATTTCACCATCTTCTTCAGATATAGATATACTAGTTATTACTTCAGATAATTTTGGTTGCTTCAAAGTCTCAATAGTCTTACCAGGTTGAATATTGGTAGACTCTTCAGCTTTTTCAACCTTTTCAGTTTTTTCTTTACTGTTTTATCTTTGTTTAATTCTTTGTCCTTGCTTTTCTGTTTGGATTTGTCATTCTTTTCATGTGAATCATTTTTCTTGGTTCTTAAATTATCTCTTTCATTTTCTTTAACAGTCTTTTCACTTTTTTGTTTTTCAGGTTCATATCTAGGCTTTTTGATAGGTGGAGATTTTCTATCATCATTTCTACTTCTTTTAACAGGTTTTGGATTATTCTTATCCTTATCCCCTTTGTATTTATCCCTGGTATCTCTATTATCTGTATTCACATAGTTTTTACTATGCTTGTTATTATTTCCTCTATCATGATGATTTGAACTTCTGGATGGTAAATCCTTTCTTTCTCTGTGATCTTTCCTATCCTTTCTATCTTTAGGTGATGTACTTCTACTTGAATGACTACTATGCCTACTACTGTCACTCATCTCTCTATGCCTATATGTATCTCTCTTAAATACAATGTCATCAAATTTCTTTTGTAGCTCATCAATTCGCCTATCTTTCCTTTCGCATTCAGCTCTGGCTGTGTTAAACAAAGATGAAATATTATTTTCTAAATCTTGTTGTTGTTTCTTCATTGCTGCTAGGGTATCAGTTAACTTTGAAACTTCTGCTTCAAGTTGAGTGATTTTTGTGATAAGTTCTTTATTTAATGATTGTACCTAAAAAGACTAAATTTATTAAATGTTCCAGAAATTATGCACTAATTACCTTCTTATATTCAACGTCAATATCAGGCAGCACGTCCATATCCTCGTAAATACAATCCATTTTGTTCCTTGGAATTTAATGGTATATTTATAATATAAGTTTATAACACTAGCGTTACTTTGGTTGGCGCAACGAAATATTTGAGGTTATGAGGCAAATAGATTTGACCTGTGACTTTGACTTGGAGAAGTAAGCGTCCAGAATAAAGCAACAAGTGGCGTATTTCTATAAGAATTCAAATTTTATCAATAAGCATCAAAAATTGAATCTCCGGAAAGTAGATTTGTTAATTGTGCACTGAATTTTACGAAGGAATATTACCTGTATCAAAGGTAGTGCATAACTTTTGATCCAAGAATCAAGAATCATGTAGTCATGGCAACGATAGGACACTCCTTGAAGTTATGTGTGGTTAAATTTTAATATGTATTGAGCATATTCGCGCATAAAATTGTGAAATTAGGCAAATTGTTATATTTGTTCTTAAATAAATCGATTTAGCACTAGATCATGTTATAAAACAAAAAATGTCCACTTTTGTTATGTATGCGAGCGTCGAATGCAAGCACAGCAGCGCCCTCAACAAATTAAATTGGCACTACGCTAGGTTTCCTTCACATTGTATAGTGTGCCTGCATGCGTGTGTTTGTGTTAAGCTGGTTCTGCTCGCAAGTCCAACACAAAGTGAGATATACCAATCGTAGTAACAACGTGTGCGAACGAAGTAAAGCATTCAAAGCGTTCCCACCACACCACCATATGGCATCTGTGTGCGTGCGTACGCGACGCGGCAAAGCAGTTCGGCCGGTGAGTGCGCGGATCGCGCGGATCACGCTCAAGCTGCTCGCCTGTACGTAGCGCACCGCGCAACACTCGATGGCCCGACTCGCGCGGCGATGACGATGAAGTCGAGCGTTGTTTTTGCGACGCAAAACGTGCTGCTGCAGCGTTGTTCGTCTCGCTAACGGTACGCCGCGAAACAGTCGGAGTGTGTGTCCGTGCATCATCCACGCAGACGAAACTGTTTGCCAAAAAGGTGCGCAACGTGCGACATGTGACGCGGCCGCGTTTGCATTTCCGTCTCGCCGCAACGCAAGAAGTCGCCCAAGTGACCAAACACATTTTGTGCAGTGATTTTAATTTCGGTCAGATAACGCCCGGAGCTGGATGCGTGCTTGAAAGTGTTGTAGTGCGAACAGACAAGAAGTAAAAGGAGTCTGTGTTTACAGTGTGTGTTTACGCTTGATTTCAAGAAAAATCTGTGCCGGCGTGTGAGTGTGAGAGTGGTGAGCGTCCGCGACGCGTGCTAGGTGCATCGCGCGGCCAGCAAGAAGAAGTGATCCGCGCCGCGCTCGCCATCTCGTCTGCATCGCGCTCGGCGCACGAATCAACAACTGGTTTCTACCGCGCTTCTTCGGCCACACACTGCACGCGCGATACAGTACTTCTTCGCTTTGCTACACACACAGCGACTGTAGTTGGATTACCAGATATAAATATAAACAATTGCCAAGCGATTGTCAACTAATGCCAATGGTGTATGATTTGATGACCTAAACAATAAGCAGGTAAATATTGTCGGCGGACAAGTTCTTCCTTTGGTACTTCTTGTATCAAATTATCGTTATCAGTTACGCATGTTTTACCTGTTAGTTTGTGAATGTAATTTAAATGTTCTAAGTTTTCTTTGGCATTATTTTTAAAGCAATACGTGAACAATAGCGAAGTTGATTGCAATCGATTCGAAATTGTTTGCGTTGCGTATTTGTTACTCGTTTGTATATTGTGTTTGTCGGGGGCGCCGACAACGGCATGAATTGTGTCGTGTGTCGCATCCGGGCGTTTAAATCTCTTTGAATCTCGCGTAAATGCCGGCATTACGCAATATCTGTTGGCATCTGGCACATTCATACATGCGTACTGTTAAAATAAGTAAACAACAAAAGGTATCGATTTAATTCTAATCCAGGTCTGTAAGTCTCTTTTAGCGCATGTAACTATTAGTTATCACACTTTTTACAGGAACTATTTTTTAGCCAAAAAATATTACAGTTGCTTATGTTTGGTTGCATTTGATGTTTGATGTTGACATAACCTAGTAAATCTAGTAAATGTACACTCTGTAAACTGTGAGGAACACTTGTCACTACATTAGTTGCTTTCTTGTTAGACTGAATTCACAGCAATCAAAACTGTCAGTGCTCGTCTTGTGCACGCACAAAACGGTTCATCGTGAATCATAGAATCGGCCCGCTCATTATTTCATTATGCAGTATTATTCTGCTCTCGCCGCCAACTGCCAACGTTCTGTCAAGAGTCAAAGAACAGGCGAGTCGTGAAATACGCAGATATTCCGCGCGTATAACTATGCGCCTTTGGGTTTTGCGTCATTTATCATAAACGTACGTGTTGGCAGTGAAAAACTGCAAGCCGACACCGTTGAATGAAGATCATGGAGATCGACATGAATGACTTACATCCATTGGGGCCGTTGACTCGCTTACCGTGTGCACTGAATATTCGACAAACGTTGCCGACATGTCGACCTATTGAAACATGCATACAGAGTGTTACAGATATTTTACACGATGTTTCAGACAGATGTCTTCATGTTCGGATTATAATTTGGGAGGGTCATAAGTAACCATCGCTTGTGCTCGTGTCGCTACTCATGTTTCGTTCATTGCATACCGGTAAAAATAAAAATGAAGCAGAATGAACAACGCATCTGATGAGCAAGGCGCATTCATACTATTCCGACTAGTACGTACGCGTCGATGCTCTTGAAGGCATCCAAATAATTGCTACGTCATTCGACTTTGTTTCACTTCCTACTTCTAATCTGTTCCACTTTTCAAATGCCGGCTAGTAGTATAGTTACTATTTTTGTGCTGTTTGGAATTGCCTAACATATTGCCAAGGTGAACTGTCAAAGTCAAAAATCAAGGTTGCACTGCATTTAATTTACTGCAAATTATAGTTGCAATATAACTGGTTAAACTGTTTTTGTTTCACTATTTTGAAGATATGTGAGAATGTACAAAAATTTGAAGAAAAAAAAAACAACTGGTAATATTGTTATCAATGAATTATTCGCAAAGTATTAACGATCATTTAGGTCTCTTCTGCTAGCGGCTTCTGAAGGAAATTTAACATCTAAATTTTCTTAAAAGTACATTTATGTTGATTAGTTGTTTAGATCGGTTTCTTTTTTACTTAGAATTTGACAATCAGTTACTACAACTTTTGTGATTGACCTAAAAATATTCTTTGGTGCATTCGTAAGTCAACAATGTTTAAAATATTGCAATCACAAATCGTATGCTATGTCCCAGGATCATGCATGAGTGAATCGGGCACGACGTTTTGTCAAGGCATGCTCCGTTGGTGCGCTCGTTTCCTTCGGCTTCGCGATTGTGTGTCACGTCACGAACGCGTTCCACTGCCGGTATTAATTTAATTATTACTAATTTGATAAGCTAGGAGTTACGCTCGGAGGCATGCGGGATAGATGCCAGCAAATCGAAAGAAACCTTTCAGAAGCCCACAGCCGACAGCCAGTGAATCAATCCACAGCAGCAGCATTGCTTTTGCATTGGAAAACGGTTGTCATTGTTCGCTGGAGCCGTGCGTCGCCGTTTATTTGCTGCTCTAGTTTTATTTTATTGCGTTCTGCGGCTGAAGGTTTCATGTTTCTAATTACCTCATACAGGGCACTTCGGAAGGCTTAAACTTGGATTATTTGAGCTCAAAGTAGAGTAAAAAGGTCGGCAAAAACGGGCGGATATTTTTGAAACATAATACCTATGTGCTTGTGTTGTGTTGATGTTAAATATCACGTTTTATTTTAGCACTGATTGTGCTTTTGATATAAACATAAACATGCAAATTTGCGATAATCGACAAAAATTGTGACGTGTTCACGCTGAGAGCATAGCACCAACTTTTCTAGTGATCCAAATTTAGAACAAAAAATGTTTTTTGATTACCATATCAGAGCAATCTGCACGCAAGCTCATGCTTTATATTAAATTATTATGTATGTTATAAATTGCCTTTTCAACTTCTTTGAAAGAGCTGCTTTTAGTTTCAATCGAGTATAAAATTGACATTGTTTTTACCATCCTGACACATTAAAATTCACTGTAAAATGCCTACACCATAAGTTTTTTTAGTTTTCAATAAACTTGTCTAAACTTTTAACACCTCTTGAAGGCATGTTTGATTAGCGTGTCTGAACTAAATTTAGTACGTACCTAGTTTTATAGCCACTCAAAACATGAGCTTCACGTTTTTGGTGTTTGACCTTCAAAATTGCTACTATAAGCAAACCTTTAAAAATGTCAATGCTTCAATGTAATCGTCAAACTTAGAATCTAGGAAGTACGGTATAAATAACTTCGCCCGTAAATCAAGTAGCGTTTAATTGCTACATATGTAACTTGCGGCAGAAAGTAGCTGCGTAATTAAGATCGAAATTCTCGTGTGTCATCTTCATCCAGCACGGGCGGTCGTTGTCACCAGCTGTGCATGCTGCAGACCGTGAACCACCCACCCATATTAATTCCATTCATTGGTTCGATTCATTTGCCTGCATATGGTGCACAGCCCAAACTGGCGCGTGTTTACATTTTATACGTTTGTGTACAGAGTGATGTCAACATTATTATTTCGTGAATGTACACATGTTTGCACAACTAAAAATTATATTTCCCTATTATAGATAGTGCGAAAATATCAATATCGAGCGTAATAAAGTATGTTTAAATACATAATAATAAATTTATACACTTAATACTCATTATCGGTACACTTTCATCTAACTTGATAAGAGTAACTAACAAAATATAAACTTAGTTTGGAAAACAGCATTATTTCTGATAAAACGTTCAGTATAAATGTAGATTAATGCGGTTAACAGATAATTAGTAATAGTTGAACGTCTAGCTTGGATGCCAACTGAGCTGTGAGGGCAATGAGTGCACTAATCGAGCGCAATTAATATTAATAACTCATATTTGCAGCGTAATGCACTTAGTTGTTATCATGAATACTTTGACTTGACCTTTAACAAATTGTAGGCTGAACGCCTACAAAGTTTTTAGAAACAGGTTGGTTATGTATACCCAGAGATTTTTTTTGCATTTAATGGCAAGGGCTGTTTTGAGAGAAGGTTGTTTCTAGTGTTTGTTTTTATAGTAGGTATTCACATCTATAGCTGAAGTTTTCACCACATGGATTATGTAAAATCAGCATTTGGTGTTATTCGGTGATGAATTAAAGTAGGTGCTTTTCACTCTGCGTTTTAAAGCATATAAAAAATTGGGGAAAAAATTGTTTTGATCAACATTCCCACAAGAGTAATGAAACAGTTATATATGAAACAGATATAACTTTATTTACATCGTTTTTGAGTTATAGGGTGGGTGCACCAGTGCCGCACCAGGCACCAGTAGTGCACCATTTCCACTTTTACATTAAAATATTAACGTTCTGTCGAACTTTCCGCCACTTTTTAATATTTGATAGAACTGTCGTACTTCTATGAATCATAATATAGTCGTAAAAACCGACAAGTACGCCATCCACATTAGTTTTAAAGCAAAATTGTAACGACAATCGTGCACTTCGTTTCGAGCGGCCATTCTAATAAGCGACACGTCGACAGAAAGTTTTCTTAAATCAGTGTAAATCTTTGTTTATATCAATTTCTGTAACCGCTTTTCTAATCAATTGCGTACTATGCACTGTGAAGCATTAATATTACGTTTTATTTAATCTGAATATGCTAATTTAAATCAATAATTGCCATTGGTAAACTACTGGAACTGACTTGAGTCACAATATCAAAATTACTTTCAAAATGACGCTTAAATGGTGTATTACTGGTGCAGTCACCCTACATATAATATTTTATTTAAATTTTGTGTAAGTTTTCTATTCACCATTTCTCCCAAAAATATGTACTGCGATTTGTTTAAGTGGTGTCAATATTTAAACTGGCCGTCGAATATATACCGGGACAATTTTAAAATCTTTTTTATTTGTGTGGTATGATTTAATCAGAAAACGTGTTGTAAATAGTTATTACTCGTAAATCAATTGATAAATAATGACTTTTTTTATCGCCAGTTTCTTATCTTGAAGTGAACAGTCACAAGTACACATTTGTAATTTGTCGCTCACATTTATTGACGTTTTATCAACTTAGCAGATTAATCTGCATTAGTAATTCAGTTTTGCATTACGGTGTATTATCAGTTCCGTACATTTGCGCAGAAACATAGAAAAACGTTAACAGTTACGTATTTCAATTCAATTCCATTGAATAGTAGCGATTGTTTAATATGCAAAATGCACATCAGGTGTACAGTGTGCAGTGGGGAAAATGTTAATTAAAAGTAGCGATGTGTTTGTGGAAAAACCTTGTTCTTATTTGTGTATTCACATTTAAATTTTCTGCAATAAGAAATAGTTGTCTGCACCTTTCAGCTTGTTTAGCACACGTTATGGGAACGTTTAAATGTTATTCGATCATTACGTGCACGTCAAATGTGCACGTCAATTATAAACACAAATCTGCTCCCTTCACTTCAGCTAGATTCTTGATTTTGATTTTTTTCCTGACATTTTAAAGATACTTTTGTATATTCCATGTGGAGTGAGTTTGTTTGTTGCCTTGATCTCGTCAACAGTCAATATTTTTGACGTTACGAGAGGGGCAAGTTGAGATTTCGCCCTTTCTTGTCCTAGGGCAATTCGGTGAATCGACCCTCCGACGATGACGTGTTTTGTTCAGCCCTCAATACCATGATTCACACATGATTTTATTTTATGTACATTCGGGAGGGATGTGAGAATGTGAGCAATTGGAAAATACAAAAACTGATTTTGCAACCATGCAATCGAACCAAATACACATCTCGAATGTGAACTTTAAGCTTAATTTTAGCATTGCGCTTATTTTAATTTCATCAAGTATTTGGTACTGCTGTGAATAGTGCAGCAATCTGCATGTGGGTATCTGGCAACGGGCATGTGTTCGCACTGCGTGTGTGGCTGGCAATCAGTCGGAATGAAGCAATAAATAAATAATAGGTTTATTTGCGGGTTGATTCCGAGAAGTGCGATCGTGAAACAGTCATCAAACTGAGTGTATCAGCTTCAGCACGCTGTAACTGTCGGTAGCTTTGATTTATTCAACAAAAACTTCAAAGTAGAAAATTTAATTCAAAGTTAATAATAACTTCATTATTTTTTGTTTCGTAAATTTCTCTTCCTATGGAATGATAATATATACAATGTTTTAATCAAAATAATAATGCGTTTTCTTCTTGTTTGTTGTTACTTTTGTCGCCTTGAACAAGTAGTTGATGTTTGTTGCAATTTGTATTCAAATTAAGGTGAGTTGATTTGCATTTTTAACAATAACAGTAAACCGTCGAGCAACAAACACAGCACGACACGAGAACTAAACAGTTTCACTGTTTAACATTTTGTTTGCAAGTAAATGTCGTCGCTGGATTAATTGTGGTTTTATTATAGTTTATAATACCGATGCCGAGTTGCAATTATCTTAATCTAGCTGAGGCCAGTTAGAACAAAGCTCGGTATCTTGAGGTGATTGTTGATTTGAAAGCATATGCAATTAACATATGTGAATAATGTTTCATTTGCAAATTATGACAGGATAACAGGAAACTGAATAAAAAAATTAGTAAAAATAACCATAAAAATATTCTTCCTTTCATTTTATTCTTGAATGATATTAGAATCTCTTTTTCAATTAGTCAATAAGCTGTAATTAGTTAATGCTGAACATTTATATTTGTGCGGCTGACTGTTACTGCTACAATTTTAATTTTCTACTACGAGCACCGCCGTCGCTGTTTTCATTCATTTAACGTGGCTAGTTGATGGCGATCGACTGCATTAACTATAAGTAGTTTTTAATGAATGGCATCGCTCGTTCACTCATTGCGAATGGCATTTTTGTCGGGGCGGCGCGCAGTTGTTTTCATTCATGGACTTGTTATGTTGCGTGTACTGCTATGTATTGCGCTATTGCGAGCAATGCATTCAGCAATCGCACAATGAGAAACTCTGCTCATAATTACGCCGAAGAGATGTTATTAAGCATGGCGGGCGGGTTACTAAGCGTTGCACGCGGACAGGAAATGAATGTTTTGCAATTAGCCAATTTCACGTTTTATTGAACTCGTATAGTTTCTTTTGATTACGGTACTGCACAATGCAGCACAAGTATTATACTGGGTGGTTATAATTTACTATATTAATGTTTCACGAAATGGTCGTTAGAAGGAGTAAGTGAATTATGAAAGTCTCAAAATCGTATATTTGGGCAGCTTGCTTACTTAACTCGATGGAGTGAAAAGTGATTTTCGATAGATTTTGATACTTTTGGGTAGATATGATGTTTTATAATATCGTATGATGGTAGGGCTGATTTTAGTGAAAGTTGTTGTCGCCACCCCCACCACCTCACTTTTATGGAGTATGCACAGTATTACTCTGTAGGCATTTGAAGTCATTGTCATTCATATTCATTCATATACACGAATTTTCACGTCTATAGAGTTAACTAAGTATAGAATAACTAAATATAGAATTAATTAAGTATTTATTGAGTTGTGTTTCTGGTTTTAATATGCTTGACATGTTGCGCGTGATAAAGTGATTACGATAATAAAATAAAAACTATACAAAATGTCAAAGACTTTGTAATTGTGAATGAAGTATATTTTTTATATATAAATAGGGGCAGTGTGATAAGATTCTTGACACCTTTCAAAACCTACATTGCTTTGAGGGGTTTGACTGACGTCCCATGGTCTTGTGCTGCTCCGTAGGTAAACGCGCAGGCGCAAGCTCTGTACCGTACATAATGGATATTACGCACGGCTTGGCCGTCCGTATATAAAGCACCACTTTTTGTGTCTATAAACCATGGAAAAACTAGTGCTTTATAGGTGGAAGTAGAAAAAATTAACTTAAATATCGTGTTGATTATACAAGGAGTTCAACGAAAAACACTCAAAATATATGTACATACTTAGTACGAATGTACTAATGCCCATATCAGGCAATTTAGCTTTTTGTTTTAAAAAGTGTTTAAAAATCTCTAGTCACGCACATGCTAAGTTGTGAATGCATAATTGCCGTCAACATGCACATGTTGATTATTATGTTCAAACTCATATTTATTCATGATCCAATTGAAGTTCCTCGACTCCCCGCCTGAGAGTTTAATCAAGCATTAAATGCCCACAAGCCAAGAGATGAATTTCCAAAAAATAAAACAACGTATGTTAGGCACGCAACTCTAACACGTGTTTTTCTCTTGGAGCGAAATAGCGCGCGGCGCACACACAGAAAGCATTTTTATTGCCGCCGTCAACAGCGAGCCGTACGTGCGTGAAAAACGTGCGTGTATTTTCGTTTAGCGATTCGTACGTGACGAGAAAGATTGACGTGACTTCTTCCGCTGTGGTTTTCACTTTGCTTCATTGATCAGCTCGAGATTCGATTTGCTTTGTCGATTAAGAGACTACTGGCAGGACAACGCATTTCTCAGTTTACGCCGACAATTAAAAGGTGAGTCCGTAGTGTGACTCTGTTTTCTGCATCGTCAAGCACTAACAAGGTATAAGTGGACGATGTCCACTTGACAAGCGTTACTCATCGATTAATTAATCATTATGGGCATTAAAGTGTGAAGCAAGTAAATAACCAGAGAAGGATTTTAGTGTTAGCACTACATTATTTACTGTATTAAACACACCTTGTTGTTTTACCTAAATAATTATGCAAGGAATTTGTTTTCCGCCCACTCATATGCCAATAAGATTACATTGCAGTATGGAATGTGTTACAGGCCATTTGCTAAGTTCAAAGTTTACTGGCATTAAAAAACGTTTCTATATATGTAGATAATTTGTACGTTGCAAAACCAAACGCGAAATATTATGTAATTTTGCATCGTGCGTGCAACCATCGCATATTTGTACAGTCCAAATCAAATATTGTACAGAATTTATGCTAAAGTAATCTAAGCGTTAATATTTTCCATCAAAATAACTGCTTATCAGTAAACGTTGTTTTAGGTGATTGAAGATCAAAGACATTGCCGTTCTTCCCGCGGTACAAAGTCCGACTGCATTATTATTAATAGGTGAGTTTATTTGTTCAAGACATGTGTAATATGAGTCATATTTGTTGGCATTTCCTGTGGTTTACGTGTGCCGTTTTTATCGTACACGTTTTTTAAACCTACACATTATTGGGTGGGTTATTTTATGGCAGGATATTTTCAATGAAGACGGAATATTATTGCCAACAAATCTCTTGTTTTTTAATATAATTGCATAGATTCGAATAGTTGTTATTTGTGGTGTTTACACAAAAACAATCTCTGAGCATTATCCGCTTGTGCGTTGATGTTTTATTTTTATTGGTTTATCAATACTTTTTTTATGACTTTTTATCATACAAAAATAGAACGTGTTCAAAGTACCAGTCGGTACCACCACGTTTGGATAATCTGTTCAGTGTTACGAACGTGAAGCTTGAAAATTGCAAATGGAGCGCGCGCACATCATAAGAAAAGAGTGAGATGACGCACTAAATCATCTACTATTTAATAATCAAATCGGGAACGATGTGTGTATACACACTGCTTGGCTTAAAATATTCATTCATATTTAACTTTGAATTTTTGCCCTTTTGATATCTCTAAAAAATGGCTAAAATATTTAATAATGAACTCAATTTTGGAAAATTAATTACTCTCGGTTTTAAATGCTTAGTATGTAACTCAATCGGTTTGGTTATTTATGGAATTTCTTTGATGACCCCATGTATGGGCAGATGAAATGTGATTTTGTTGATTCGATACCATGGGAACGTAAACACCGATCGATTTCCATGTACACCCGTCAAGAATCGTAATTTACAAAATATAGTAGAAGCAGAAGGAATAAATTACGGCCTACTTATTAAGACCCAGCCAACACACTTTCATCACTTGACTTTTGAGTTTTCAGTGCAGGTTTTGGAAAATTTCAAAATTCTCATGCATTTGTTTCTTAAGAGGTTTAATGTGGTCAATATGTTTCAAAATAATCAGAAACACTTGAAACTATAAAACTTTAGGTTTTCAAGTGGGTTGATAACTTAGATACTATATATCACACTTAAAATTTCAAAAGGCTGTGATCAAAATTTTAAAATATTTTCCTTGATTTGTCTTAACAAAAATAGGAGCGAAGCAAAAATGGTTTCTCTTCAACTCGATGACTTTCTTAGACATTTTTATCATTCTCAATGTTTTTATGCTAGATCAAGTTCAATTCACGCGAGGCGCGCGCAAAAGTAAACCGCTATAAAGTCGCAACCATCATCAGAGTCTACAAAGGCTGAATGGACGTAAAAGCATAACCATAACCGAAAGAAGATCGAAACCGCACTCGACCGCTACAAGTCCGACGAGCAAAAACACGCCTAGAGTCATGACATGAATATGATGAAACTCTCGCATGCTTAACGAGAAACACGAGAAATTTCATTCATTTCATTCGCGTTAACGCTAACAAATTCCGTGTGTCATTTCTCTTCGTACGGTGCAATTTTGAGAAAGTTTCGGACTATACTCACAACACTCGCGTGTTTTTATATTTAAGTTCAACTAAATGTTACTCTGGTCGAGGTACGTAGTTCTTAAAAAGCCAAAACGTTTACGCATATTATATTACATGAATATATTCATGATATCTTTCATGTTCTTAACTGGAAATTGTTTGAAATGTGCAAAAACTTTCAGCCGTGCAGGAAATTTGAATAATTAGCTACACTAAACTGGTTAAAAAAAAAAAAGGTTGAGTGAGTCCATCAATAATTTTATGTAGTGAAAAATTGAAATGTAATTTCACGAAGAAGTCAAAGGTGTAAGCAGTATATTGTTCTTCATGCCATGCAATAAATTGCTGGTTCGTCATTTCTCTTCGTGTCTTGTTGAGTATTTTAAAACGCAAAACGACACGGCTGGAGAGAGTGAGTGATTTCGTCGTACCGCAATGTGTTTATCGACGTGTAACTATTTGTTTATCATGCTTGCATTATACATTCTTGTGTTACTGAGCTGTCATTATTCTGCTCCTCCTTAGTTTTTCATGCAAACATCATGTTTGTTTAGATCTTCTACAGATTGCTTTTAATTTTGTTCGTAAATTTCATGCAGTTATAGGAAAATATATCAACTCAGATTGCCAAGTTAAGTTAACCGGTAATACTTTACTATTTTTAACGTTTTCACTTTTTTACTTTACATGACTAATATTAATCACTTGAAAAGAAAATATCGTGCACCATGACATTGTCCTTCAGGTTTATGCATACTTCAATATATCTTATCGTTTGTTTTTTGTGGCATTTTTTAAACATGACTAAGTTGGGTAGGCCAAGTTGATAGTTTCCTCGCGTTGCTTGTAAGCACACCAGCCAGAGTTGCTTTCAGACCGCGCGCCATCCCCTTCTCCGTCGTGCTCAATGCTCCTCGTAGCTGTAGCGTAGCGTAAGGTCAGTCAGTTGCCGTTTGGGTATCCGGAGGGTCGGTCGGTCTCCTTCATCCTTTGTTTCTTGCGCTGCATGCCGCGCACTTGTTACGCACTCGCGCAAAAGCGAAGACACGCCGCGACTCACGAGGAACTCAGTGTGCGTACATGTGTGTGAATGCGTGCGACACGCGGGCTTTATTATTATTAGTGTGTTGTTTGTTGCGAGGGGGAAACAAAAGCGTTTCGCGTTCTCACGCGCCTCAGTGTGGTGCGCCGTGCGCGCGCGAGTGCTTTACATAGTTCGTCGTCCGGCGTGCGTGGTGTTTGTGCAGTTGTTGAGAGTCGGAATCATCGGTCAGTGCACGTCCGTTTCCACTTACGACGCGCGCACATATAAATAAACGCTAATTTCGCTGTGTTTTCCGGCCTGGCGTATTCGCGTCGCAGTCACAAGTAATAAAAGTGCCGCGAGTGTTTGCGGATTTTAAATATCGCGGCCTTTGCCCACCGAAGAAAGTTAAATCAACTGGCGGAAAATTAAATTCAGTGCACTTGTTTCAACACGCTTGTTGGTCAAGTGGCGAAGGAGCAAATTCCACCATGGTGTCTCAAAGCAATGTTACCAAAGAAAAAGTAGCGAAACATCGAGCAGGTATAAATTCGTGACGATTGCGATTAATTCCTAGGTAGAAAATATCGTTAACTGTGTTCTACATCTCTGTTCACGGTTGGGGTACGAAATTCTCGAATTCTTGGAAAGACATTTTGCTTTCTTGGCGTTTATTAAAGGCTAGAAAAATTCCACGTTTCTATATTTTCCAATTATTTATTTGCATGCGTGTTCCAAATTTTCTTCGAAAATTTCATCTATGCACTAATTGAATTAAGTTACATTTAGCGCCGAAATTGTTTCCTACGCATTAAAAGTTGATTAAGTTATTATTACCAATTTTTAATTTCCTGTGGGCAGAGTTGGTGTATTTATTGCTTCTCACGCCGCCGCTTCTTTATTTTTCCTTCATTTCACATTCCCTTCTCTTTGCGCATGTTTGTGTCCTGTGAATAAAAGCATATCAGGTATGATTTCCTCATTGAATAATGATAGCCCAAGATATACGATGATGATGGTGGTGGTTTCTCGATTACTGGCGGGTTTCGAATTTCTCATAAAACAGCGCGGACTGTAATCTCGCTCACGGTTTGAAAGATTCTCTCAGCATAAAAAGTCTCAAAGAAAATGACTGAGGGCTGTCGTCATAAAAACGACAAAAGCTCAGCGTAAGCAACTTTGTGCCTAGATTGTTGGAACCCATAAGAGCGGGTGACATTTTTTATCTTTCGGTTTTTATTGAGGATTTCAAGCGCAGGGATTTTGAGGGATTAAACGCATTCCGACATACTTACAACTCAACTTTTTAAAAGACAGGGCACAAAATGTTTTTAATGTTACACACCTTTGAAGAATGCGGTTTAATTCTTCAGTGATTCTTATAAATATTATGGCGGGGTGTATCCTATAAAAATGTTGTGGATTATATAAAAGAACTAATTAATAGCGTCAATTTAAATTAACCATGAGAAACACAACACAAAACAAAATCGCTCATTTTTGCATCATCATCACGCATTGTCTGAATAATATACTATGGTATCCGCCTGTGTCATGTTCGCATGATTATTATAATTTTAAGCGATTTTTACAAAATTCGCTATTAATTCTCAGTTTCTATTTGTTTACATTTGTTGCTTGCATCGCATGCAGATTACGCCTCATTTCACTAAATAATATCATACTATATCCACTGCATGAAAAGATATCTATACCTACATACTTGTCGAGCTAATAATAGTGCGTCGTAATTAACTTATGTGTGAATTGATCACTGGATCGCATACGACATATCCGATGTCGTACAAATAGAGGCCGCTCGAACGGTAGTCGTTTGAATTGCTCTCATGCGCAATGCACACACATTTTGTTGGTTTTATTTTCATTATTTACATTCTTGTCGCCGTCGCGAGAAGCGTGTTCTATGTATTTATCACATACGATGAGAAAACTCATCAAGGTGAAATTCTTTGGGTTTACTCAGCACACGTTGTGCAGAATGCTGCAGAATTAAAAGTAAACACAGTGTAACATGCACTCTTCATGATGAAATGCATCTTTGGTTTTCCCATTTTCACGCAGTCATTAGAAGAAAAAAATACTATGAAGTTTTTTGTTTAATTTATTGACTGGTAATTAAATTTATCGAAGAAAAAAAAATTGTAAACATTTCACACAATTTCTAATTTCATTTTCACTTTGAGTGGCTTTTTGTTTGTAGTGCCTTGTATGTGCAATAATTTATTACACGGGGAATGTATGTCACTTTAAACATTACATATTTGTCGTTCTATACGTACGTGATCAATGTTACTAACATTGTTGGTTGTAGAAGCATTTGTAAAAACAACATTCGATGTCATTTATGGATGTCATAGCGTGTTTGTGCATACGCAATTAATATTCTTGTTGAATTTCATTGACACAACAATAATTATTATTAAATATGGTCTTAATTAACCCACAATCGATATCGATTAGTTAGAAATTTAATGTAATCATCGGAATGTCACGCTTATTTCGCCGCAATAACAATTTGTTATTATAAACAACTTACGCAATTTTATACATACATCTAAACAATTCTTCGAAACGATTAGACTTCTAATCAAGTCTATGGCTTTGTATCCATTAATATTAACTAGTTCTGAGAAGCTGCAATCAGCGAGTGTATGAAATTTTATTTTAAATATTTAATTGCTTCATTTACAGTTAGTTTGCGGCGAAATTTATAGTTTCGGTTATTAATGCTTCCATTTCTAGACAGAAAGTTTTTTAATTTGCCATCATTTAACAGCATGAATTTGGCGCTCGTTTTAATTGTCGCTTTGCAAACGTGCAATTAATCATCTAAATCACCGACGAGATCCAACAACTCCACCTGCAGTTCTGTTCGCTGACGGTTCTTGTTTTTGTGTACATACTTTCTCATTTGCTTTCTGTCTCCAATTCGGTTTCCGAATATTCAATTTCAACCTGTCTTTGACTCTTAGTTATTACTACGTTTCCGTCCATTTCTCCTGTCAGTGTTGTATTCGAGGTTCGAAGATTGTACCTTTCTACGTTGTGTTCATCATTTTTTTCTTGTTGCTAATTTTCTGCTTTGAAATTGTATTCGATGCTAATTTCGGAATGTGTTGGAGTTAGCGTATAGCACGGATGAATGTGTACGTGCTGTGGGCACAGGTACAGAAATATGAAGATTAGATTTATCGACAGCATTCACCGGGGAGACAATTTCCGGTCATTTATAATTTTATCGCGTTGCTTTTGCTATACAGTTATCTGTTTTAGGATCGTGGAATAGCAAAATATAGTAGTACTCAATTCATCAACACTTAGTAACATCAATATTGCCCTGTTCTATAATTAATAATAATGTGAGATAGATTTGTTATACTGAAAAATTAAAGGTGTAATTGTATGTTCACGTCTGAGCAGTAAAGGAATAGAATGCGCATTAACTTACATTCATTTGCAATCCAAATTTACTTCCAAGAAGTTTGTTTTGGCCATTTTGTTTGTGCTAGTTTTATCAAGTTGACAACGATTTCACAAAAGAAAAAATAGGATTTGAGTTCTCTCGTGTTGTAAAAAACTTTTAAAGCAAATTTAAAAGCCACTCCACTAATCGGTAAAGTGAAGGCACGGCAAGTCAACACGTTATAAAAGACCGGAAACGAACGCATTTTTTAAATACCAATCGTCTATGTTTACCTGGATGTCAGTTACCTTACCAGTTACAAGCTGCAAAAATATAAAGAACATGAAGTGTATCTTATCACTGTCGATAAGAACACACAATCATTGTGTTCACTTCAAGATGCTTGAGTGCATCTCACAACAAGTTACGTTTATGTAAAGAAATAAATCAATGTAATCTGTATATTTAAGCCCTGTGGCATAAAATCAAGATTCCACGCAGCGAATTATGATTGTTATTGAGAGTATAACGAGTAAGAATGTAGGAATGCAAGGTTAACCAGACGACGCATCACATAATACAGCCTATAAACTTAACGATAATGATTCACAATCGCATTTGTTGTTAGAAAAATTAATATAATCGACTCGCACCACGATGAAAACGCACACGTTTTTTGTGTGTGTGCATGTTCGTTTGCGACGTCACGATCTTAAAATCGACATGAATAACACACGCGAGCACAAGCTTTGAACAATATGCAAATAATGCATTGTCGTCGTTGTCCAGCGATTGTTGTTCGCAGAGGAAGGTTGTCAGCAGCTTGAGAGCGTAATCATGCATCACGCGTCAGACGCGACGTTGTGCGCAATGTAAATAAGGCATGGACAATAAGAATAGTCATTCAAACGCCCCGGAATGCCTAAACGCCCGACTGGGGTCGGCAGTGTTCTAGGCGACACTTGAGATTATGGCAATTACGACCAAGACTGCAACCTTTGGCTCTGTGGTTTGATGGCAGACGAAAAGCATGACACGGGTAATTTATGCGCGGTGTGTGACGACGCGAGTGCTGCCCATCCCATTGTATAGTATTTATGTCTTGCTTTCTTTTCTGGGCTTATTTCAATACTTCAACGATTAGTGTTGTTTGGTGCAGTGCAAATAAACAAAATGGATGTTTTAAAGGTTTTGCTTGGACTTCTACTTTGCAAACTTAATTTTAAACTAAATAAAGCATGTTGTATTTTTATTTTCAAAATTTGCTTGTGCAATTAATGTGACAAATTCAATTTGTTGCAAATTTTGTTATCGTATAAACCGTCAGATATTTAAAAAAAAAATTCTTCTGAAAATAAATTTCCAAGAAGAATCTCGTGTTATGCTGCATCATAATCTTTAAATCATGAAACAGGCGGTTATTAAAAGTTTATTGCGTATATTGTATATTAACATCCTTGCGTTGTTTTTAAAAATCAACATTAAAAATGTTAATCCCTTCGTGCATGATAATATCAGTTAATGGTTATTTTAAATAGCAATTAAATATAAGTTTCATAAATAAAACATCACGTTTAACTAAATATACATTTAAAAATTAAATATTATGACTCGAAAGTTGACAATAGAATCCACATTTTTCTCGAAATTTTTATAGGTATATAACAATTGCATTGTAATGTTTTGCTTTTTTTTGTTACAGAAACAAATACAAAAATGATGCAATCGTCGACCTCGGCCGCGCCTGAACGCGAAGCTTTGAAGAATGTCATCGCGCAATGGAACGCCAATCGTTTGGACATTTTCGAACTATCCGAGCCCAACGAGGTAAAATATATGTCATTATCATGCATATGACCCAATTTGAATGTAACCTTCTTTTAAATTCTTAAAATTCCATTTTTCACATTGTCGTTTGTTTAATATCGAACTTTGTAAATGGTATATTTTCGGGCAGCAAAAAGCTAAAAGTTATAAACTTTAAATTATAAATCGATAAAAGTTAAATGATTTCCGGTTTAAGAGTTTTTGTGTCTTTCCGGTTTGTCCGCCTTGTCTGCAGACTTGCATTGTTACGCTAACATGTCTACGTCAACCAAAAATCGGTTACAATTTGCTGCGTACATATCTACTGACTACCGGACTACCGTTTTATTTTTATTTCACTTCTGTAACATCACTTCTCAATGAGAAATTGTGTGGTAGGGTGACGGTGACTCCGTTATATTGTCGCTCGTCTGAATATTGTTAGCAGTTGAAGTTTAACGTACAGCGAAGAAACGAAACGTTCTGCACGTTTGAATGAACTTTCCAGCTTTTTCTTCATCGTTTTGTGCGTTGCGGCGAGGCACACCCTAACAAATACAAAGTTTCCGGTATCTTTCTTTCGCTTTGAGGGCGACTTTGATATTTAGTTTATTGTACACACTTATTTAATACGTAGTTCAATTGTTTTTATATTCACTGCTTTCAGTTCAGTAGGACAAGATTGGGAGTGTTCTGTCTGGTTGCACATGCATCCATGCTAGAAAATATTTTAGTGAAAGTTCATATGCAGAAGAGAATTCAAATCGGCGGACAAAAGAAAGAAATGTTTTTGAAACGATATAATCGAATTATTCTTGCTAAAAATGTTATTTCTGTTGAAATACATTGTAGATAAATTCTGCATCAAAGTAAAAATTAGGTTGGCCGGAGTAATAATTTATATTTTTAAATACATAAAATTTATTTTTAAGTAACAATTGATTCGTCAGTTTTGGGCGAAATATGTTGACATTTAATGCAGAGAAACATTACACTTGGTTTTGAAATAACTAATAGAAATAATGCTTAATTTATCTATTTTTACTTTCGACTCAATTAAAAACTTATTTTATATCTACTTGCCAACCGGATTTATTTGTGTAATTTAAAAAAATAGAAAATAAAAAATTATGTCGGTTAGGCAAACGCAATAGGTGCAACGGCGGAGCGGTTGCGCGCCGAAGGAAACACGCTTGGATGCGTCGTGCGCTGGTCGGTTCGGCCTGTTTAGTTCGCGAGGCTCTTTAAATACCCGACTGCGACTCACATTTCACTCATTGCGCGCGACTTGCGCGTACATCGTACTCGGCGCGCACTGCGTTTCTTCCATCCAACGCTTTTCCAAGCCCTCAGCTCCGTTTTAGTTCCCAGTCGTTCCCTCTGTATTGTAAAAGACAAGTCGAGCATGCACGCAAATGATTTTCTAATCATGCTCATTATGCCGCTGCTTATGAACGCGAATTATACTCGCTGTTTATCTCATCATAGTTGCATTATATAGCGTAGCATTAGTTGTAAAGCTTCACATTGCATTGATTTTTTGTGTTGCAATTACAGGAATTGGAGTTTCACGGTGTGATGCGTTTCTACTTCCAAGACTCCGGCCAGAAGGTGGCAACGAAGTGTATACGTGTGGCGTCCGATGCCACTGTGGAGGATGTCATCGGCACACTCATTGAAAAATTCCGTCCTGACATGCGAATGCTTTCTGTCCCGTCCTATGCACTTTTTGAGTTGCACGAAAATTGCCCCGAGCGTAAAATGTCTCCGGACGAAAAACCGCTGCTGGTGCAATTGAATTGGCATATTGACGACCGCGAAGGCAGATTCTTACTCAAGAATGTTGATGACAAAACGGTAAATGAGAAATGATTTTACTTCAGTTTTTATATGGCTTTGAGAAATCCATACTAAATTTTATTTTCTTTAAATTTGATTTAATTTCAGTCCAGCGCAGTTGGTTTATCCGAGAGCAATTCGAGTTTTCGACGCAAACTTTCCAAACGCGAAAAAAAGCAGCTGAAGAAACAAGAGAAACAAAACCGACTCAAGAAGGAAAACACTGAGAACGATGACGGCGTTGCCGAAAAACTTTATACGGAGCTTCCAGAGACGTCGTTCACGCGTTCGATCAGCAACCCTGAGGCCGTTATGAGACGACGGCGGCAACAAAAACTCGAAAAGAAGTTGCAAATGTTCCGTTCAAAAGACGGAGGCCCCGATACAGGTGTGTACAAATTATAGTAAATTATTGCAATGTTATTCTAATATTTTATTTCAATTTTAGGAGGTACTCTGAAAATTTACGGCGAAGCTTTATGCAAAGACGTGCCTTACAAAACACTCCTACTCTCGGTGCGCGATTGTGCAGGCGCTGTAGTCCGGGAAATGCTTGACAAATATGGCCTTAATCATTACGATCCGTCTGTATGGTGCCTTGTCCAAGTGACGCAACAACCTGGTGTCGCAGACACTGAATATGTTTTAGACGAGGATGAATGTCCACTGTCTATTCTGATGAATTCATCAAGTTCAAGTGAGTTTTCGCAGGTTGCCTTCAAGGTTTTCCGAAGGTTCCCTTTGTTTGACTTGTTCCTACTGCGCACATTCTATTACTAACTCCTCAGTTGATTTTCCGCTTGTCAACTGTCTGACATAAGTACAAGTGGTTGAACGGTAAAGTGGTGGTGGTGGTGGCACGACGCCCCCCAGCGCCAACCACGACTAAAAACAGAAAATCGTTCCCGTGTTCCCGTTCCGCATTGTTGAACCGAACAAATAAATGTCAAGATAGGTGGGCGCATGCTTCACGGCAGACACACACTGCGATACAAAGCCACACCGGCACGGCAAACCGTATACGCGATTGCAAACAGTACGACGTCCGCGACGCCGGCAATGCACCACCACCACCTATTTCGCGGAGGTGCGTGCGAGGTGCGTGACAAGTCGTAGATGTGTGTCTTATCGGTGCGGCGTCGCCAGTTTTCCGTCAGTCGGAAACCGCCCCCACATTTGCTGCCATCACCACGTCGAAATGTACTCTATGGTGCGGTCCACGCATCGTTCTTGTTCAACTATTGCTAGTGCGTGCTGCCCGCCCGCCATCTCCTTATTCCGTCATGGATGAGCTGGTTTCGCGCCGCTAGGAAGTATGTTGGACTGGGGCTTGAGACGTAAGCTTTTGACTCATTTCATTTTTGCGCGAAATCACGCGCACCGCATGCAAGTTCGATGGTAATTTCAATTAGTCATCAATACGACATTGAGCATGCACATCGAATCATTCGATTAAATTGGTGTGTTAAATGTGTAAATGTCGTGAAATGATTTTATTTATAGCGGCGCAACATAAACTCAATCGATATCGTGGGCCGCTGGCGGCGGCGGGAAACGGTGGAAAACGAGCCAAAACGTCGCGGCGCGTCGCTTGAAATAAAGGAAACGACTCTATTAAATTCCAACGATGTGCTCACATTTCATCTTTAGAAATCAATTTATTTGATGCGTACCACTCGGAATTGAATTGTATTTTGCTGCGTCGTCTCGGGGCCTTGGTTATTAAAATTTATGAGCGCCAAGCTTTATACTCCATTTTAGACTGAAAGACAAAGGAAGAGCGTTTATTAAAGTAAACGAGATTTCCCAAGAACATGTTCAAGGCAGGCATTAAATTTCTATTTGATTTCTTTGATGTTTATTTTAAATAAATTAAATTATTCATGCAGATAATAATTTTATTTTCATAAAATTATATTTGTTTGTAGATGTGGTTGCATATGATGCTAGTCCACGTGGCTTTATTATTGTTATGTGCTATAATTATACAAAGTATAATTTGCTTGTTTATGTTGTCTTTCGTATGTGTTGCGGATGTGCGTGGCAAACGCACGTGTTCGACCCTGCACGTCATAATTTTAATCATAATTGCGAACGTTTTTCCGATATTTCTGCCTTTCACAACCCTAATGTTTTTGTGATAGTGTTTAGATGGCCTTAAATCAACATGTTGTTGGGATACACACTAGATTAAAAAAGTCACTTAGGCTGCGCGCAGTTGCGTAAATATTTGAATGGAAAACTTTCCCCAATAAAACTGACGCGAAAATTACACAGAGCACGTTAATCTTCCAATTCGACTAATACGTCGAGCTTATACTTGAATACCGGCTCAAAATTGATCTGCGTTTTATCATCATTAATTTTAAGACTGAACGTAGGCATTGCGCCTATTGTTTGTTCTCGTGCTCGTGGCCAATATCGGGCGCATTCTTGCGTGAAGCTCGTGTCTACGTTTTCCTGCGTGCGACAAGCGCACCTTTGCCGTACGCAACCCCCGTGAGTAATGTTTGAACATGTATATGCTCTTATTAAAGTGGCACAGCGCAACCAACGAGCAATTTTATATATTATTCATTAGGGGTGATAATTAATCGATCGTCGGTCGCCTCTCGGCGGAGGCGGCGGCCAGCTGCTGCCAGCGTGAACACACGCCGCACATAATGCGCCGCTTTGTAACAATACGCCGCCGCCTTCGGCCTGCGATGCCCGATCCCGATGTTTAGTTTAAGTGCGGCTGTTCGTCAGGGCGAACGCTCCCAACAACATGTATTTTTAACTTTCGTGTTTTTGTTTAATCATCGTAACGATCTAAATAATAAATTATTGTAACGTTGCTCTTACGCAAACATGTTGGGTTTTCGTTCATTCAAACGTCTGCGGAATGGCGGCAAATGCGAAATACTACTGGGTAGTTGTATTAATTATTCAATTTCTGATTACTAATTTATTTGTGTTTCTTTTTTGTGTTGTTCTTGATCGTATTTCTTGTGTAGTTACGATTCCGACGTTTGTTTTTTCTTGGTTTGTTTAAAAGTGAAAGGTTAATGTTTATCGTTTTGTGTCCGGCAGGTTCAATTATGTTTCACGTCCGGCGCAGGCCGGCGGATTGCGCGCCTCGAAAGCGGAAGAAAAAGCCAGGATCTCTCTCAAATAACATCAACATTAGGGAACAGCGCATCGACACGGTACCTCTGCTGGTGGAGTTGGGACCAGATGGCTCGCCGCCGCATCCGGGCGACTCTTCGAAGACTCTTCGTCTTGTTAACGAAGTTATGGAGGTGAGCAAATTTTAAATTTATTACGGTTTGATCGATTATTATCTCGCTGTGTGCAACTTAAAATATTAATAGTTCTAGACCACACACACTATTTCGAGGTGTTCGATTGCGAATATCTACTTGAAGTGTATTTTGTTGGGTTGTCGTAGGTCGGGTCCGCAAACGGAATAGCGCTACAACTATACGGGCCGCATATTCAACCGCGACACTGCGTAATCACAAACAGTGATAGCGTAACTTCTCTAACTCCGTGCCACACCGATGCGATCATCTACGTAAATGGGCAGCGCATTTATCAAACTACAATTCTCAATCATGGCAGTTTAATAAAGTTTGGTAACAGTAACACATACAGATTTTTGGATCCTAGCCAGGAGGACTTTTCGCGAGGACCTTCGATGAGTGACCTGCATAGGGCTAGCACGTACGATCGGTAAGTATTTTTAGATTTGCTTTTGGATTATTTAGTTTTCATTATTACATTCAACACATAATAACATAAGCCGTCAAAAAAAACTAGTTTTCGTTTTAATTGTTGGTATTGTATGTTTATGCACTTATGCGCTTTTGTGTTGTAACTCCCCTGTGTGCTAATGCAATTTTGTTTTTGCAATTATTTGTGCCGCACGCAAATTCAGCTCCCCGTCCCATGCACTTAGCCAGAACAACGAAAATCGCGAAAACTTCGAAACCAACTTCGATCTTGAGGGTAACGTCGAAACCATCTCAACGACGAGCGGCAACCGTGACGACAGCACCAGCCGCCATTATGAGAACAAAGACACAAGGTTTGGACTGAACACAAATCCATTTATTCCATTTGTTGTGCACAATGTATTGTTCGCTTTGCGTGACTGTTCAATTATTCACACGCTTAGAATATCATCAATTTGAAATCAAGCGATAATCGAAAACGTTGCGAATCATGCTTCCGTTCTTTCAGCTCCACCATGGGTTATCCACGTGGCAGCGATCCTATACTTCCTGCCGTGTTGGAATTTCCCGAAGAACCACAGGACCAATTCCTCGCACGTGTGATCACTCACCTGGACGTGCATATGCCAACGTTCAAGCTCGCTCCGGCGTATACGCTCTATCTTTGCGCACGCTATCGGGCCTCAACTCATTATCGGCCGGAATTAACGCCGAATGAGCGCGCGCACAAGCTTACTCAGCTGCTACATCACGCGGCGGTGTTGGTGCGTCATACCGTGCAGGATCGAAGCACCGACAACAATTCCCAGGCATTTTGGTTAGCCAACGCCAGCGAACTGCTTCACTTCTTAAAGCAGGATCGGCACGTGGGTGCGTTCTCCATACAGGCACAGGACATTCTAGCCGACTCCGTACAGCTGGCTTTCAAGAATCTCTTAGCATGCTTCACAGACGAACTGAACGGAGTGATGGCCGGTTTTATGACTACAATACCCGAGGAACATCCAAACGGTATCATCAACGTGCTCAGCAACGCGATGAACTTGTTACGTCGCTGTCGCGTGAACGCTGCGCTGACCATACAATTGTTTTCACAACTCTTCAATCGCATCGCTGCAAAAGCGCTCAGCATAGTAATTAACAATCCACATCTGTGTTGTCGAGCATTCGGCAAGGTATTGGGGCTTCGTCTGAGGAATCTTCAAGTTTGGGCTGAATCTCTAGGTTTAGAGTTAGCTGCCGAGTGTCATCTAGCGAAAATTATCCAATGCGTGCAATTATTACAAGGACCCAAGAGTACACCGGAGGAATTGGCTAGCTTGCCATCAACATGTTTCAAATTGAATTCTCTCCAGTTGCGTGCATTATTGACACAATATAAATGTAAGTTTTTCTAATTTCTTACATACCCAGATTATCATTATATTTATATAGGTGAACCGGGAGAAATAATTGCATCGCCACAAATGTTAGAACAAGCTGCACGTGCATCTGAAGGTGTAGCGGATGAGTTGGCACGAGCGGAAGGTAAAGAAGTGCGACTGCATGAAGATCCATCTGCGCCGTTCCAGCTTTTGCTCCCCGATGATGGATATAGCTGCGATGTGGTGCAAGGAGTACCCGCCGGTTTAGCCGAATTTTTACTGCCGCTGCAGGCGTCGGGCTTGTGTCGCTTGGCAGCCCAGCCAACAAGTTCTGGCCATTGGACCGTTTACATGACATCTAACAGACCAACCTCTGCAATGAGTTCCTCTCAACCTGAGGTATATATAATATATAATATGAAGTTTATAAATGGCAACCGAATGTAATTTGATATCATTTTAGATTCAAATAATAAAATTGCACAAAACCGGTGGCGGAATGGGTTTATCTATTGTGGCAGCTAAAGGTGCTGGTCAGGAAAGACTTGGGATCTATATTAAGTCAGTGGTTCCTGGTGGTGCTGCTGATCGCGATGGGCGCTTAGCGGCTGGAGATCAATTGCTGTCTGTGGACGGCCATTCTCTTTTGGGCATTACACAAGAAAAGGCAGCTGAATTTTTGGTGCGTACCGGAGGTATCGTCGCCCTCGAAGTGGCTAAAGGCGGTGCTGTGTATCACGGTCTCGCAACTTTATTGCAACAACCGAGTCCGACGCCAAACAGAGGTGAGTTAATATTATCAGGATTTATGCGGCGATTTTAATTATTCAAGTAATAATACTAAAATGCTAACTGTAGTTAATGTAGTGACTAACCATTGTATAACAGTTGCCCCTCGTTGTTTACATGCAGCCTTGGATAATTGCAAAGTAGGCTATTATAATCGTGCGGCGCAGTCGCAAGAATCTTTGCACATGCTGCGGACGCCGCCCATGAAAGCGCACGACGTTTTTTTCGCGTCCGATGAACATTTGTACAGACAAACACCGAGGGTGGTTGTTTTACCACCGCCGCTACAAATACCGCAAATTTTGATCGAAGATATATCGGAAATTGAGCATAAGATTATACCCAAAAGCACGTCCCTAGACCACGCGAGTAGTTTACTAAGAATTGAACCGTTTTCGAAATCTTTACAAGACTTATCAACGTCCAACTCGACCATTAGTAGTGTAGCATACACTTCGCAAGTGGATCTATCAAATCCAGACGCGAACGAAAAGTTTTGGAAGAGTCCAAAAACGTCAAATGCTGCGAAATTGCCTTCAGAGTTTTCCCTGGTTAGCAGTTATCCTCAACTTTCGAAACAAAACGAATTAGATGAGCAGGTTAAGAAATGTCGCAGCCAGGAGGTTATTGGGAACAAATTGAACAAATACGAAAGACTGGAAATATTGAAAATGCTTTGCGACATGAATTTAGATTACGGTTACGACGATTATAGTTACGAGCAGGGTACCGCGGACATGTCAGCGAAGGACAAATACATTTATTACTCTTTACCCAACCTAGATAACTTAGAACACTTAATTGATGTTGGCAACGCAACGCCGTCCACTCTAGACGAAACCTCCAGCAAATATTTTTCCGAAGACGTTTTATCAAGTAGCAATAGAAAAATTGAAGATGACTTTATGCACCATTGCAAATTCACTAATTGTATATTCAACTATAACTATTGCGACCAAATTGAGCGACCAAACACTATTGACAGCACCAATTTAGACACTATAGGGACCAACCTTGTCCAGGAGGACGACACACTAGATAAATATGTTTCAAATACCACTACTACTATTACAAATAACGTTAACGCACCAATGTCTAACGAAAATGTTACGAATAATTCTATTCAAGTTAATGTAGTTAAAAAGCTCGGAAAGCGTAGGAGTTCTTTGCGTAACATTAAAAAACATAAACAGTACCAAACTATTGATCGTAGTCATAGCTACGAGGATAATTCGACTGCAGATCAGAGATATACCGAATCTTGGAATAATAACAACAATAATGTGCATTCAGCCAGCACGGTCGTAGATAATAATAATGAACCTAACGACCGCAGGATCAAAGCCGTGCGCAAATGCTGCTGCTTGGCAACTAGCACGTGCCCAATCCTTGCCAAGTATTATCTGGATCAGTTAAATAATGGAAGGACTTGGGGCCAAGCACAAAATGGCGGCCAACGAGCTGACGACCGTATTCAGATTTGTGAGGATAACATTTATGTTGAGCACATGTAATTTTTTATTCAAATATATACATTGTATTTATTGTTTTTCTCCATTTTAATTTAGATCTGAATTGTTTATAGTATGACGTAAGCGTGCAAAAAGCTTGTTATTTTCTTTGCGCTTTAATTATTAACCATTAAAAAACATTCTAAACAATAGTTAATAAAAAATATTTTGCTGCAAAAGTATTTCTACTTTGCCTGTTGTGTTTTTGTGTGTTTTTATTAAATAGCATGTAGAAAATTATTTGTCAATTTTAATCGTTATAATTTGTTATGTAGGTTCTCGAAGGATGTCTGAACGTGATTTACCATCAAAAGTTGACACCGAACGCACGATTCTTTCGTCTAAGTCTGTTCCTGCTTTACACCACCTTTCCCCTGGAATGGAGAACCGTCTGACTCAGCAACACGATGTTTTCAATCCGGGCTACAGCCGAACATCTTCAAATAACAGCATTAATACAACGACTAACACCGCAAATAATGGCATTAGGAGCAGATCAACACATAATTTGCATAACCATACAAATAGCAGCAATCAGCAGGATTCAAGCTTTTATCAAAACCTAAGTGTATATAGGAACAAGATGCCCATCAGTCCTATGAGCCCAATGAGTCCGCCTCAGTTAGGGGATCGGACGTCGGCTCTGCGTAGTTCTCAAGTATCTTTGCAATCCAATTTGATACATCAACAGAACCAACGACCAACGTCGGCTTGTTACACAAACAACACAGCTCCGCATCCTGCAGCCGTTGTTCCAAATCGCGCCCTTCATCAGTCAATACCAAACTTAAAACATCAAGCGATGCAGCAATCGCAGCGCATGCACGATGCTAATACGTCTGCATCCTATCCAAATGTGAATAATCATAATCAAACGATGTCGCCGACCTACAGCAATCAAGAACATCACGAACCCGACGCAGTTCGACATATGGCATCCTATGGTAACATTCCCAATTACAACAGTCCCTCCATGTCCGTGCGCAGTCAGGAACCGATGAGCCCAACCTCCAGTCTGAAGCAACCAATCAATGTCAATATTCAACAGCGACAGGATGAATACTCACACTATACAGGCAGTGGTTTACTCAAGGAACGTGATGATTCCAATAATTACAATAATCAAAATCACATTCAGCGTAAATTGCCGCTACATCACATGCAACAGCAGATGCAATACCATCCGGATGAATATTATCGGAACGACGTTGGTCATCAGGATATTGCGCGTTATCCTAGCAGCGGCAACATACGTAACATGCACGACGCACAGCATTGGGAGGACAAAAACAGTCTGCGGGGTCAGGCAAAAATGGCTGAGATGTCGGAGGAAGTACGACGTAGGCATATGATGAACAAATCGCAATCAAGCCACGAATTGCAACTTATTCAAAACACCAAGAGCATGCAGAATCTGCATCTAACGCACCAGCAAAGCGTGCCGCCAATGATCTACAACAATTACAACAATAAATTCCCACCTGTTGCTCCCAAACCATCAAAGAAGCAGGAAGATCTAATTCCGGAACCGCCTCCAACCAGTACGCATCCTCTGTACATGGCAAGTACTCAAGATCCTCCCAAAATGACCTATTGTCCTAATCCAGGCGTATCGAAAACCGCTCGCGATCCGTGGATCCGAGAGGAACAAGAAAAACAGGAGCAACAGAGACGTGAACTTAGTCGCCAGTGGCAGGAACAACAAATTAAAGATTTAAGTCTAATGGCGCAACGCACACAGCATCAAGAAGAACAGTTGAGAGTGTTGCAATTTGAGAGGGAATTTCAACGCCGTGCTCAAGAAGCAGCCGAATTGGATGAAGATGATAATACTGAAAAGGTAACATTCGATAAATTTTTAATTTCGACTAATTTTTTAACTTCTGATAATTATCAACAGGGATCTCCTACCATGCCGCCAGTGAAGGATACTCCACTGTCGATACTCAAAAGCGGCGTGTCAGTGCCAAAGGAGAATGATGTTAGCGTGCCGCCTCCACCGGAGCGCGGCGTCAGCTACACAATCATGTCGATGAGAAGCAAAGAGGGACCAAAGCGAGTTTCATTCAATGACCCGTCCACTGCACCTCAAATACCGGAAACTTTGCAATTGGAGGAAAGACGGGAAGATCCCAACGTACGATTACTCTTTTTTTTTAGCAAAGTACAAAAGTTTCATTTTCTATGTTATTTATAGGTCTTTATTAAGCAAGCCGAGATGATGTTAGCGTCGCCAACGCATTTGAACGACGGGTCACCCGGCGTGAATACGGCAACCCCCGGTGTCATCGGGGCGCAGGAAGTTTATCGGGATCCGCGTCAGCGACGTCTCGCGGAACAAGCACAGCAAAAGACGCAAACGCAGACACCTGTGCCAGAGAAACTCACGTTCAAAGAGAAAATGAAGATGTTTGCGATGGAGACCGGCGAACAAGAAACACCGAAAGATAAGAGTAAGATATCACGAGCGCAACGTGAGATTGACAGCATAGGTTCTCCTAATCCCAGCCTGGTCCATTAACCTTAATTTATTTTGATATAAATATATTTTAATTGATGATAAATAATTTTGAACTAACAGCAGTAGAAATACGATGCAACAGAATACGAAAGAGATCAGAAAAATATTATATTCTAATGAAGTTACAAATGAATATTATTTACATATTATAAATATTGTTATTTTATTTCATAGTTCGAGCAATCTTGAAGGTTTAAGTAACAAGATGAAAAATTTATGACAAGAAATATGTAATATTTTATAATTCGTTTTATTTCATTATCTCCCTGCCCCCGTATTGCCAACACTAATATTAATGATTTCAAATTTCAATTTAGCAAGCTTAATAAAAATACTCATAGCATATATACGTTTTGATTGATTTCGAAAGGATTAGCAAAAGCAACTCTACTCAAACTAAAATAATCTTGCTAATGTTTTGATGAATGGTGGTATGCGCACCGATTGTTTAGATTCATTGATTGAATTTAGTTTGTGTTCTAAATACTCCATATAAATTGAACAGACGGTTCTGATGTTTATATAAAGATAAATTAAGCGGAGTAATGCCAATCCCACGGTACTATCTTCAAACGTTTGCGTTTTCCGCAGTGCTTACAATGGAATGCCAACAAGCTGCTAATTAAAGCAAATCTAACGAGGTGAATTCGGAGTAAAGTGCAAATCATTTGTGAATCGAGCAGTAGGTTTATTTTGAATCACAAAATTACCTTTTTACACAAAGATGTACATTTACATTGCTTATTAATGTCATACATCACATTATTTGTTTGCCACATTTTTCATTCCATAAACCTAATACATATTTGCATTATCGCTTTTTTTATAACGAATAAATAATCAGTCGATATCATTATCTGGATGGGCAACGTAATGTCGATCCTCTCAATATATTTAGTAATTATTGTAATAAATCGTTAGGGTCGATTTAATGCCAATTAAATAAGAAGACTTATGAGAGCTACGGGGATAATGCGTGATCTAGAAAGGTACGTCGAATCACATTAACGATTCATGATTGCAAATGTACATTAAATAGAACTTACTTTTAGTGGTTCTTCTGATTCCATGAGATAACATTTATCACAATGATGGTCGGATTGGATTATTATTGTAAATATCATTACCTAGGATTTGTACGCGTATATCGTTGTTTTTGTTATTATTCTTCGAAATATTGATTTCGTACTTGCTGATCCATTGGTCTAATTCGTGGAAATGTGATCTTGTTTTTTTTTTATAATATGTAAATATACCGTATATATACTATATATTTTATAAACCTTTTAAAATTTTGTAAATTTTCAACAACGTATATCTCGTTTGCCAAGTTTTTACGTGATACATTAGCGATTATGAAAACATTTGAAGACACTTAAATACTTTTTTAATCTCATTTTGGTTTCTGTATGTTAAGTACTCATAAATGTCAGTGGTAATCGAAAAATCTTTGGTTTGGGAGTCTTCCGAGACAGGTTTACAACAGGAGTAGCACGGTAACATATTAATTTTTGTAGTTTAGTTATCAATTTACCCTTCTTTGTTCTTGGTCCTGTTAAGCCGGCAGCGCCTCCAAATACTGAACAGATTCTTTGATATCTTTCGGTAGCAGGTATCCATCCGGATCAACTAGGTCCTCCATTGGTGACATGACAGGGCGTTGGAGGTTTGGCAGTGGTGGCGGTCGGGGTAACGACATTGTCCGCATCGAATTGGGACGTTCAACCAACACCGCTCCAAGCATTTCCTCATGCGCTGCATTCAGCACTTCGCAAATGCCTGTAAATTTAATACGGTCCCGCGGCTCCGTTTTCCAGCAGTTGCGCATTAGATCCCGAATCACAGATGGGCAATCATCGGGTGGTATTAGCATAATACCCTGTAGGATAAGTTTCACCACCTCGTCGTTGGTGTGTCCATAATATGGCTGCTTACCGTACGTGTAGATTTCCCATAGAACGACACCAAAGGACCAAGTGTCTGATTCTAGTGTAAAGCGACCATAGATGACACTCTCAGGCGACATCCAGCGCACGGGTAAAAGACGTGACCCACCAATCTTATAATAATCACACGTGTAGACGTCGCGACTCATACCGAAATCTGCAATTTTTACCATTGGTCCACTAGCGACGAGACAATTTCGGCAAGCTAAATCACGATGAACAAAACGCTGTGACGCCAAATACATCATTCCGTTGGCAATCTGGAGCGCAATAGACATCAGGTCGTGACGAGATAACGTCGGCACCTTCTTTTGGTCGTCGAAGCGATTATTCTGATTACGAAGCAGTTCAGCTAGGTCCCCGTGTGGCATGTACTCAAATACCATCATCGGCGTCACGTTCGTGTCTGTAACATCATAATAATCATCTTTAAGTTATTGCAAATGTTGCCAAACAAAGTCCAACCGGTGATCGCAAAACTTACCTCTGAGTACAACACCCACTAGTGTTAAAATATTTTCGTGTCGAAAAGCGCTCATGATGTCCACTTCGCGAAGAAAGTCTTCTTCTGCTTCGCGACTCGCCGATTCCTTCAATACTTTTACGGCGACGATTACATCAAATTCGCTGTGGTCATATCGCAACTCGCCTGTAAACATGTAACCGCCAAAAAACTTAATTAATTATCGAACATGTTGAGCAATGCTCATCGTAAGAGCAGCAGGTCCATTAAAATTAAGCCTTAATGTATTGAAATGAATAAATAAAATTGCCCAACTTTTATACGGGACTTGTACGAGAGTAAACAATGAATTAATCTGAATTGGAGTGTAAAGTATTGTCAATCAAGTACGATTTGATGCAATGTCAAAAACATAAAAAAAATTTTATTGAAACTGGCCGATGTAATTATTTAGAGACAAACATGTTTTGAATTGATTTGTATTTTAATAAGAATAACTCGACGAAAATGATGCAAAATTCAACGCTTTGAGAGTGTTTCTTAAATCGTCTGTAGATGTAAAAAGTTGTTTTGTTGCAATGTTCGTTTGATTGGACCTCAACGAACGAGTGGCAGACAGTCGATGTGAAGAAACTTAGTAAACATCAATTCCGTTATAAATTTAATAGTGGTGTTGTGATCGCAGTTGCGGGCCACGCGTGCGGCAGGCAGATACTCTGCGTTTCACACCGGCTCGAGACGATTCTCAACGTAAACAGTTTCAGATTACAAAAATATTGCGCTAAAACTAACGCGAAGTGCGCTATAATGAACGTGAATTAAAATATAAACATGCACTAAATTTGGACGCATTACGGATACGTAATATTCCATAAAAATGCGCTATATCACCGTCAGTTCTGCGATATCAATTGCCAACGTTAACGTTTTACGCATAACGCGTTCTCTAACAAGTTCTGCGAAATTTTCTACGATGGATATACCAGTTTCTAGGGGATTACCGATAATAGGTAATCTCTTAGCGTTACTACGAGCTGGTGGGGCATCGAACCTTCATCACTACATCGACAAAAGGCATAAAAAGCATGGCGTAATTTTCAAGGAAAAACTTGGCGCTAACGTACATGCTGTATTCATTAGTGATCCGGATATGATGCGTGCAGTGTTTGCAAAAGAGGGCAAGCACCCGGTGCATGTATTGCCGGAAGCCTGGACGCTTTACAACGAATTATACGGATGTGCGCGAGGTTTATTTTTCATGAACGGTACGGAATGGTTGCATCACAGACGTGTCATGAACAACTTCCTTCTCAAGTCTGGCCCGGAAGATTTTATGAAGGAAGCGATTGAAGCAAGCGCCGGAAGTTTAAACTTGTTGCAATGGGAACACAACTTGGAAGAAGCACTGTACCGCTGGTCACTGGACACAATCATTGCAGTCATGTTGGGCAAAAAGCTATACCTCGAGTGTAAATCGGATATAAATGAAAAACTCGATACAGCATCACACAAAATCAAATTGATATTTGAAACCTCAGCGCAATTGCAATTCATGCCAATTCGGTTGGCGCATAGACTCGGTTTGCGTATTTGGAGGGACTTTGTTCAAGCTGTTGATGATGCTCTGATAAATACAAGCGGTTTAGTTTATGAGCTAATGCGCATTTCCCAGAATACTGGTTTAAATTCCACCTACGACATGGGCGTAATTTCACTGATGCGTAGTTCTCAAATTGCACCTAGTGACATAATCAAAATAGTGGTCGATCTCGTGCTGGCAGCAGGAGACACCACAGCGTATACCATGCAGTGGGTGTTATATTCTTTAGCGAAGCATCCGGAATATCAAAATTGCATTGAAGCCAGCGATATTAAAAATTTGATGAGGGAGACGCTACGTTTGTATCCCGTCGCACCATTTCTTACACGCATTAACACCGACCATGACATTGTTGCGGGAAATTATTACATTCCAAGAAACACGTTGATTATATATAGCTTGTACACAGTGGGACGAGATGAGAAATATTTTTATCAACCGAATAAATTCAATCCGGAAAGGTGGCGCAGCAAAACACCTCAGATGATGCAAGCCAGTTTGCCTTTTGCAATGGGAGCCCGGTCATGCATTGGACGCCGTATTGCGGAAATACAACTAATGAGCACACTTCAGAAAGTTTTGAAAAGTTATTCAATCCGACTACAACAGCCAAATGAAGATATAGATATGATTCTGAAATTAATTTCTGTACCTTCCAAACCTATTCGTCTTATTTTCAAAGAAAAATATTAATTTTGCTCCGCTCACAATGCATGTATATAGTTATTGCTGATAGTTATTGTAAACAAATAAGTATTCAATAAAATTGAATTTTAAGTATCTATATCAACTAATATCTAATTAAAGATATATTTAATCATTGAATTTAGTGTTTGAAACTATATTATTCAATTATTATTCAATCATTCTCGTGAAATTAAATTTGACGCTAATGATTAATTAAGTAATGGATCCAATTAGTTTACTACTAGAAATAGTTTTCACACATAATTCATGGTTGTAATTTTCAACTATGAATTGCTGCAGAGTTAGCCATTAATTAGTTATATAAAATAAATCAAAATCATTGTTTAACTTTCCTTAACATCTCAAACCAATGGAGAACTGACGGCTGTTTTTAATTAGGTTTGATAGAGTTTTGCTAATTAAGTATCAAGTGTCTGCAATTCCGGCGATTGCCTCTGATGTTGGATGAATGTAATGCTCTACATGGAAGTACCATGAGAGTGTTTTGAATGCAGTTAGTGTTGAATTTTTTTGCAATATGAACAATGACTCGTTGTGCGTATTTTAATGAAAGTATCAAACGTTAGTTCTCGTTAGTTAGTCGAGCAAGCAAGGCGTGGTATTAAAAATTAAAATTCAATAATGAACAAATTTCATGTGTTTTTATGGTTTTCTACGGCATTTTCTTAATAATGACGTAATTGTTTACAAAAATACTTTGATAATCTCTTAATAATTTGTTAGTAGAATTACTAAGAGGCTTATTAGACTAGCTGTGTCATTGCGCATCGCAGTCTAGTTAGTAACTCTTTGTGCTCTTTCATTTGCTCTTTTTCTTGGTATTGCATTTGCTAGACTACTACTACTATTAGTAATTCCTTTTTAAAATTCAACGTACCTTTGAAAACTTTTCCAAAGCAACCTTCGCCAATCTCAGCAATGAATCCGATCTGTTCCTTCCTCAGAATCTGGACGCTATTGCTTGTACACACAGCATATTGCGGATTCGGCGCGTAGCGATCCGGCAGGAGCAGATTCCGTTTTAGTTGAATAGGTGATGGCTGTAATAAACAAACAGCTCATTAACAGCAAAAGAATTCGATAATGACTAACATCAATTCATACATCATTAGTTTGTTATACCGCCGTTTCTTTTGAAAAACTTACCGACATTAAGTTTGTGTTCCTCTTCTTGTGATACCAACATCGTAGCAGAATCAAGCAGACAATGGAGCTGACAATAAGAAGCGTGCCGGCCACAACAGTATACAATATGGTAACATTTTGTATTGCCACCGGATTGTGATTGGATGTAGCCGCTCGGGTTGGCGGCATCTGAAAATGTAGGAATGATGTACATAATGTTTACGATTTCACCAACGCAACAAACAAAAAACGCATGTAGTGTATGTGGCAGGGGTTATTGAAGTGATTTACGATCCATTGATGTGGATGATAGTAAACGATGTAAAATATAAATGGACTGTGCGAATTGACTTAGCCGACGCACATTATTAAGATGAAAAAATGTAGACTTACCGTGGTAATAAATAGATTGGTGCGTTGATTTCTATCTTTTAGCTTTGTATCGTTGTTTTGTGGTGGGAGAATGTTTTCTATTTTTCGGGGGTCCAATGGCACTGCAACGATATAATCAAACCATTATTGATTTGCTTTTTTACAGATCATATTGTGCGTACACACAGCCTGACTATTATAAAAGGTACATGAGTATCAAATATTAGCACATTATTCTGTGCTTTAGGGACAAACCAAAATACGCAACCTCTTCTTTAATTAATATTACGTACATTTAAGGTCCTTTGTTTGGTTCAGTATTGTTATTAATTAAACATGAATTATGTATTGAACCATGATCAGTTCGGATGCATATATGCCTCATGATAATTAAATTATTTATTGATAGTTGTTGTTTGCTGATAGCAAATATATTTTCCCAGAATTTTAGTTGAGTTGGTTTACCATTGTTATTTAATACTTTTGGGGAAGTTGCATGCATTTATCCAACAATGTATAGTTTAGAAAAATAAACATTATAAAAAGTGATTGTAATACAACGCCTCCACCAAAGAATTAAAAAAGAAACTTATATTATTCAAATAATGCATTAAAATACCCCTGCTGAATATTTTATTGACATTCAGTAAACGTAAAACAATACATGGCTATAAATTAACATAATGAACAATAGATTTCTTTTCATTCTAACTAGGATATAAATATTTTCAAATTATTATAAGACTTAAAGGATTCTGGGTAAAACAAACATTTGAAATAAGTAAAGTGTGACCACAGTAGCACCATTTCCATATTTGTGGGTGAAAATTGCTGGGACGGTAGGTGTATATGTGCTTATTCACTTGACACCATCATTCTTCAATCGTTCTGTGCATATCTTATGCAAGTATTGTATCCTTATGCACAATTTATCTGCATAATTTTATGTCGCGCACTGACCGTACTCAGTTACTTGCCACCGACGCAATATTGGTGCTAAATTATGGAAATTCTTATAATCTCCACACAACCTCTGCTCTGTTCATAAACGGTCTTTCGACAAGAACAAGACGACTTGTTAAACAATGAGGTTCTTTGAAGTTTGCTTTGTTTGCCTCTTTTGTATTCTATATATGTAGCGATAGATATTTTCATTACTAGTACAGCAATGGTTCTCGTATGTGCCAGGTTTCAATTGTGCACCTTGGACCGTTATAAACCAAATTATGCGATGTAAACGCGAATATAATTTAAGCGTCATTTAATATCTTTACTTTGTGTATTTACGTACATGGAGTGGTTCTTCGTGATAGTGTTACGTAAACTTCAGGAAAATTTACGCGCAAATTTACAATGGTTCTGTGTCTGATATGTAAGTTATACTGTAGGACAACGCAAGGAGAAAGTTATATATTGTGTCTCCTCATCTTCGTTCGTATTGAGAAGCGATAACTAATTATTACAAAGAAAAGCACAAAAGATCACTAATTAAATCAGATTATGTTTGGAATCTATTGAAAATTCTCAGATGTTTCATAATAATTCGACTTCAGTCGGCACAGGCTGTATAAAAGGAAAGAAATAGATTTCGATTTATACATTTGATTAAACCTGACTTATGAATTTATGTTCGTATAACTCATGCACACCTTCATAAAGGTGGCTACAATGCGTAACTGAAAAAAATCTCGCGTGAATAATTGATACTTAGCCGAAAAAGTCATGAATCATGCATAGAGATAACATCATACAATAATGGATTTCACGTCCGCCGTAACTTGCGTCGAGATAAACGCTCAAGAATTGAAAATCTCCGGATCGAAGATTACGAAGCTTAAAACGATGAGGCTGCACGCTCACAATGGCTGGCATTCAATTCAATTTATATATCCATTCTACAGGTGGCTTGTGCCCGGCAAGAGGCGAGTTCTTTATGCGGAGCTGCGTCTTGCCACGTTAATCGGTTAATAATTTTGCTCGACAAGCCTCCGTGGTCATCAATAATATTTTCCATAAACTAACTTACCTATCGCCGTGATGAATAAAGGATGGTGTGTGCCTAGGAGCACCCACTATATACGTGTATGAGTTTTTTTTAGTATTTTAAATATTCGTCAGTAAACAAATTGTTGCTGTAAAACATTATGTTTTAATAAAAAATAAAATTGTTTTATGAAAAAAAAATCAAAATAACCACATACTCTACTAAAGGTGCTTCATAAAAATTCCCGTAATGTTATGTAATGCAACCAAATACGTATTTTGAAGCATACGAAAAGAATAATTCAGAGCTTTCGTGCAAAATATTCTTTTCTACGGTGAATAGAAATTGAACCACAAAATCCGAAATTGCGACCCTCGTCGAGCAGAGGTAATTCACTCACGGAACGATCGAACCGGTAATTTATTGTTTGTCTGAGGGTTGTTTGCAAAATCCAGAATAAGATAACGACTTTCACTAACTTTGTATATTCATAGTATTAAAGATACATATGAGGATCAGCAGCAAGATCAAAGAACTCCTGGCTTAACTATATGTGAGCATATGTAGGTAAATCCTCAACTTAACATTTGTGGTACTGGTGATATGCTTTTCGGGGGTTAATTTAAATGTAATGAATTTTGTTAGGCTCTAAGTAATAAGCATAAGAACTCCAAACATCTATGACGTGCTTATTGGAATGTAGGGAAAGGTTCGCAAACTGTAACCACTATGCAAGAATGTTCCTACCTCAGAAAATTTGTTAGTAGAACGTTGATTAATACAATATTACTTATTAGATTTATTACAAAATTAATGTTTCAGTTTATCCCTCTCTATGATTTTTCTTTTTAATTACAAAACTAAAAAAATTTGGTTTTGACTATTAGAAAAATGGTTTGTAGAAAAGGTAAAAGTATTTTTTACTACTACATTACGCTACTACATCATGCTCTAAAATATTATTTCTACAGCTTGGATTATATGCATTTAAATGTTTGCATAGAAAAATGCATAAAACATGTTTTAGCCTTATTTTAGAAATATTGCATATTTTTGCTTATTTGCTTATTTGTAGAGCTAAGTTCTTCGTCTACGTATGTTTACCTTTTAAACTATTGGTAATACCCAATATAGATAGTTTTTTAAGTTTGTAAATAAGAATAAACTTCTGTTTTGCTACCATAAGTTGACTAGCGTCTCATCTTGAACCTGGGTTTTTTGACTTCGTTTTAAGTTCGATCTAGAGCTTTGTTATCAGAATATTTAAGGCAAAATATAATTATATGGTGTGCTCAAATATCATTCTGGTTTGATTTGTTAATAATGGAATTTAGTTATAAAAACTATATTCCGATGAACATATTAACAATACGTAGTGGCTATACTGGCTATAAAATAGCTCAATTCGCAACAAACAGTTTCGAACATTTAATTTTTATATTTGTTCACTATTTACATTTAAAATTTCTGAATTGGTTTTGTATTGAATTATGCTCTGATTTTATACAAATTTATTTGAAATGAAATGTTTTTGTAGAACTTATTTTGAAACAGATGGAAGTATTGAATTAAAAAGAATTTGCAGTACTTATTATATACAGTATAGCAACATGTAATAAAGTAAAACAGACATTTCAAAAAATATGGTTTTACTGCACATTGACGACGAACAATTGCGGATTGCTTGAATTTTCAGGTTTATTAGATATATGGAAATATTGTTACCTCACAAAACTCAGCAGCCATAATGAATCATGCTGATAAATTGAATAAAACTCGCAATGCGCTTAGCTGCGAGAAGCTTTTGTATTATTCGCAAAATCTTTTCACTTTTATGTGCGCCATCCATTAAAATTGACTAAAAATATCAGCTAATAGCACAGCCGCGCTCGACTAAAATATTTCAAACAAGAATCAAGCAAATCGGAAATTGAGCAATGAACCACTAAAGAATCGCACTTGTAACTGCTTCAAGTTCATCATTCATCTGATTCAATATTTCAATAGTGTTCAAGAGCTACAATTGATTTTCCGAACAAATTGTATTTACTTAATATTTTTTATGTTATATATTGAAACACATTTTATTGATTATATCTTTCTAGACATTTGCAAATCAGTTACGTGGTTCTTTCAAAATTGAAATAAAGTTTCGTGCACAACAGAGCTGGGACGTTAATATTCATCAATTTGCAGTTAAATTTTGTACAAAAGGATGAATACCAATTCCACGCTATTTTACCACTCGCCTGTTTTTCGCGTTGGGCATCTGCCGTCAGTCGTTGGCGGCTGCATGTCGTGGGGGCAGAGGCATACAAATGTCTCATTTGGATGCTGCTGACATGCCGCTTCCTCACCGCATATTCCTTTCTCGCACTTGCCGATTTGCACGTTGTGAACGCGCTCTGAAAAAATACAGAAACATAATTAGAAAATTAGTTCAAAAGCAATACATTTCAATTCTTGGTAATTCTTTTTTCTTTGCATTGATAACAAATTCTCAAAAAAATTATTTTATTTCCTGCTTGTCGTTTGGGATTTTAATTCAAGATTAGCTCAGATATCTGCTACTATCCTGGCATAAAATAAATTAGTCTTAACTTTCAACTACCACAGCATTAGAAACACGCGCACTAACATTATAGTTTTTTTAAGCAAAACATTTTGCTATAATCTATGATAATTCAGTGGCTTTTTGGCAGCAGGTCAGGCCATTCGTTTTGTGCATTGTTTATGAAATCAATCGCCGGCACACTAAAAATATATTTGTATTCTCGTAATTGATGTGAAACTCCGACATATGGTATAAACAATTTCGGTACTAAAGTAAAACATTTGATAAATTTGTTTTTACCTTTTTATGTGAGCTGTATCCATTGTAAAATTCATGTATACAATAATGAACATTGAAACTTTTTTTATTGGTTTACTGCAAAGTACATGAAAACTTTTATTTATTATATTTGAATTCATACAAAAAAATAAAATTAAAACTTTACTATTGTGTTTACCTAATTAAAACTTCTTAAATAATACGTAAATAAAAAAAAAGTTTGATAAAATTAGAATAAATATTGCTGTTTGCGTTTATTTTCCCAAAACCTTGTTCAATTTCACTTATACAATTGGCCATATGATTTGTTTAACTTTGCTGTTAAGTACAACTTCAATTACAATTTCTATTTCTCTTAATTGGTTAGTTGTAGCTGATAATTAAAGCACTTAATTATAAATTACACTTTGCTGATACCTTCGTATTACAGAAATTTAATTTTACGCCTTGCATATATATAAATATATATAGGTAGCTATATACATTTGTACTGAGTTACTGACGACGCCCTCGAGGCGAAACATGATTAACTCAAAAACAAAAATGTAATTCAATCACGTAAAATTAAAAAAAAAATTATATATATTTTATATATATATATAAAAAAAAGTTCCGGATACACATGAAACAGTATATTCGTAAAACTCAATGAATTTTTTAAATTCAATTTTATTGTAGCAACTTCTGACGTAGTCTCTTTTTTCAGAATACTACATAATTTCGGAATGATTCCGTTTTACGGAATTAAATTTTTATTTGAATAATGGCAGCTACACGAGAATTGCATACGAAACATAATGTACTTAATATATTTATATTTTTATACTTAGGTATATTTTTTAATTCACCCACGAAATGTTAAATCTTTTGGTTTATTTTACGTAAATTACAATTTCTGCGCAAAATCAAATTTCGTATTCACATTTGTAACAAACAATCACATTGATAGTAAAATAAATGATGCGCTTTCTTCAATTGTTAGCAGCTAAAACACTTGCAGTGATTCTACCGACAATTTATTTTCTTTTATAGCACATAGCTCTTCTTAAAACGTTCTTTTTTACTGTGGCAAACATTTTTTCTCATTTTCTCAACTCGCACACACCCATCTCATCCTGCCAAAAATAACATTGTAAAGACTTCACCGCGACGACAGACGCAGTTTGTTAATCTAACGCCCATCAAAGTTAAGTGCCCCTCGGACAGTTGAGAACGTCAAATAACTCGAGCGTGTGTCTTTATTGATTCCCCGCGTGTGCGTTGTGTTTGGTTTCGTTTTCTTTTACTTCCCATCGCGTTACGTTTTTTTTTTCACCCGACACCCTCGAAGTTTGTTGACTAATTTCCCCAACATACTTTACAAAGCTCCGTGGCTGCCCGTCTTAGAAACTTTAATACAAGTACAAATACCGAAGGACTTGACTGGCGTACTATAATAGTCAATTCAACCCCAGCTGTATGCAGCTTTCCTTAAAGTCATCCCCAAACAGATATGCAAGCACATTCTTTCTGCAATTCCTTAAATTTAGGCTTACATTTTTAGAACGTACTATTGTTGTGACGATAGATTGTTTTGAAAGAACTAAGTACTTTTCGTAATGACCCGAAGTTCTAATTCTTGACTATAAATTTGTCTGATGTGTAGCAAGCATATACTCGTAGCACTGTAATAGCAGAGAAATGTTATCTCTAAATAATAAGAAACGGAACCTCTTGATCTGAGAGGTTATCTAGTAAGGACGTTTTCAGCGTGTATAAGAACGAGGTATTTTTAAAGTCACTAAAAATTACTATCCATTTCTAATACATACTTTGATATTCTGATGAAAATAAAAAATTATATAATATATTACTTAGCCGTTCTGAATTTTGTTTTAATATTTATTCGATTTTAGCTAAATAATAAATAATTCACAAGTTTTTACATTATCCGTTTTAAGGATAATTACAATGAATTTCTTATTACGAGAGGTAGGAAATTTTGTTATTTTGTTTTGCAACCAAAATAAAATTACCTGATGAAAAATAAAATTAGCCAGATTGAAAGTATAATTCTAGTTTTGTCTGTATAAAAGCAATTAATTCTTGTATTCATGTTCCTTTTGAGTGAACCAAATATTTCATTCGGGAAACCAGTTGTCCATAAATAACAAATAAAATTTAAATACATTTTAAAAACATTGTTGAATACAAAAACAAAATAAATGAGAATGCTGAAATTCTTCTGATAGAAGTGGAAATTGCAAAATACCCGCAGCAGCGTAATAAGTGTCGGAATGAAAATTCCGTCACGTTCGATTATGTTATGAAAATTCGGTCTGATATTGCTCGAAATGTGTCATTTGTCATACAATTGTATTTGTTTACGCATTTGTTCCTACCTTTACAAAAAATAAGAAATAAATGTTTGCTTTTTTAATTTCAATACATTTTGTTATTATCTTTGGATTGTTATATTTCCGTATAAAATGTTATCGCAGTCGTGCCACAACAATAGATAAATCATTTAAATATCAAATTAAGTCACTAATAATTGTTGTTGTTTTAAGCACACATTCTTTAGTTCTATCCACATGAATATGAATTGGCTAAGTCTGAAGGCGTCCGTCTGTCAGACACAAAACGTTTAATATATTTATGATTGTTCCATTGTTGATTGTTTTATTAGTTTTGCTACTGCCGAGACTAAATTACGAATTAATGGCAGTTTATTAGAATGTCTCTTTTATTAAACACATTTCACGTAGGTATGTGAGTATACAAATATTTATGTAGGTAAACCTATTCTCGAGAAATCCATTCAAACAAAATGATGGATTTGTTTCTTCGCTACCACAGCTTTATCTCAATATGGTGGCATATTGATGTATTGATGAACCAATGTTGGTGTATTATAATATTCGCTTTTTGCATTAAAACATAAGGTTCTCAAGCATACAAAAGCTTTCAGGAAATTCTCTTATTCTTTTATATAAAGTGTACATTAATCATTTTAGTTGATATAGTGAAATAGGTTTTCTTGTCATTTACATTTTGTTATGGAAAAATTGCATTACATTTTCCATTTGCATACTGTTTGTTTTTTTAAGGATTGATGTTATATTTATTAAATCAAAATGCAAATGAATAAAATAAATTATTCCAGGCGCATACCGTAAAATATGTAAACGATTTGCTAAACATTAACTGGCAATATTCACCCACATAATAATTCGCAAAAATATACTCTTATCACATCTGATAATACTTCCAATATTATTATATCAAAATATCAACATTTTTTGATAAACCAACATCAATTTAATATTTTTCCTAATTTTCTTCCATCTTTATATAGTAATAAAATCGCAAAATTAATGTAGATAATTAACTGGTACTCACCCCCCATATTGACTTCCTCTTGTCGATTCATTTTAGTCCATAATTTTTGGTTTGCACAAGGTTAGATCCTCAATCCCATATAATTCTTGGAAATTACAAACTGTGTTTGTAATAACATAGTTAGTACACTCATTATTAAATCCGTTTCTTATTAAAACAATATCAACGGAATAAAAAATATTTAACGCGTTTGTTCACTGTTTTCAGTTCGTGTTAAAGTTTAAAGTCCAGTAATGTTGCGTCGCCACTTGTTTGTTATAAACGGCCGTAACTCGGTACTCGGTGGTAGCTGGACCATACCAATCAATTCACTGATAATCCATTCGTTACACGATAATACGCTCTCTTTGGATTGCGAAGCATCCAGCAAACAAACCGCCAATTAATTATCGCTGTTTGGTGGGAGAAGAACACGAGAACAAAATTCGAACATTGCTTATCACGTGCTTCACGCGCTTCACATGCTCGAATTTCGTGAGCTTCGAGCGGGTGCTGCTGCTGCCTTCTACCGCGTGCGATTCGTACGCGAATGAGCAAGAGCAAAGCACAAACCGGGACCGAACTTTATGCGCCGGCACATACAGTGCTTGTTGCATGCTCGCGCACCACCCACGACAAACCGCGCACGAGTGCGTATCGCACGGTACTACGAGGGTAGTACAATTGTAATTGAATATTAATTTTGGAGATTTCGTAGGAAAATAATTGAATAATTGCATGTATTCCTTAATTTATTTCCTTAATTTTTAAATTCTATATACGTTTTTTTTCTTTTAAATTTTTGGCAAAAACCATATTTTTTTGTTTTTGTGCATAAATATTTAATTAAAATGTATTATTTAGGAAAAAGCCGTTTTTCAAACAAATTCGTATTTCCACCGCGTGTATGTGACATCACAATGCATATTATATTTGAAAGTTCACGTCAGATGTAAAAGAAAACATTGCAAATAAACGCATCGCTACTAAGTTCAATGACGTCACGTTTTACGTAATGTGTTTTATCTGCGATTTTGACCACTTTTATTTCTTCAATTATTAAAAACTGCTTGCTAAAATTAATGTTTAATTTTTCCCTAAAGCACCTGTGTATCAAATAATTGATTAATTACTTTTACAGATCTAAATCAGCCTGATGCAAATGCAAATTGAAGTTTTGTTACCTGCATGTAACAGTTGAACTTGACACCTAATCATTAAATTTCTATTTATTTCATTTATTTAGTTTAATTAATAACCATATTTAACTTTTATAATGTAATTATACTCATTCTATACTAGCTTTTACCCGTGACTCTGCCTGCGTCATTTTTAATAGGTGGCTCTTATTTAAAATAAGAGTTAATCTCAGTTTCTATTTCAAAATGCACTAATTCAGTTTTATAATTATTGAAACAAAGTGAATTTCCATTTGATTTATTTTGGCAAATTTTATTTTACTTTTGAAAAAATATTGTTATTTTTTTAAGTGTTTTATGTTCTTTGCAAAAAAATATGCGCACATAATTTCATGGTAATCGATGAAATATTTTCCGAGTAACAAATAAACACACAAACAAAGAAACTCACTTTTGCATTTATAATATATATATTAGGAAAATTATATATAAGGAAAAGTCACGATACAAGTATTGATACTTTAATTCTTCTGACATCTATTGTAACATATTTCCATAAATTTATAATAGTACGATCATTATACATTGAACTACAATTTAAGTATTATATAGCATTATTCTAGATAAAATTTATCTTCTAATTAAACATATTTCCTTTATCATATGTACATTATATATCTAATGACGCATATTGGCAATCACTTACTGAACATCCATTATTATGGGTTGCAAACAATAACAATAAGTTATTTGTGTAGATTTATTGAATGAAAACATTTACATCTAAACCAACTAATTGTTTTCCAGGAAAATAACTTACTTGCAAAACACGCCTTGAGATTCGACAAACAAAATTGAACATTGAATGAAAAACATTCCACGTGAGAACATGTATATGTCTACATTGATATCTTTCGCTAGATTTAATTTATCGGCGCGATACGCACGTTTTCAGTCAATCGCATTGTCCTTTGCGTCAAGATAATGGTTGCAATTTGCGTCAGTCTTGGGCTATAAAACTCGGCACAGTTTCTGACACAGAATCTTCCCTTAAATAATTTCAATATTAGGTATTGACCTTAAAAAATATATTAAATATATCAAAATTAATTTCGTAATAAAATTAAATACGTTGCAATAATAGATTAATAAGCTAAGGTCTTCATTGTTTGCAAGTGATATTAAGTCGCTGGAGTCGTATCAGTCGATGAAAATCTGCGCAATATGCCATTTCGGAGCGCCTAACATTTATTCTAAAGACTATTAAGCCAGACGCTTTTTTGTCGCGCGCCGTAAAATTTACTCGCGCCCTGTGCGGCCGTTAAGAAGTTAATAAACTAGCCAAGCGCATATGAACACGTCAGGGAGTAAGAGTCACCTGTTGTATTTCAGAAACGACGCAAATCAACTTAATTAGCAAACGTGCGCATTTATTTTATTCACGACTAGACATGACATCTTTGTCTTTAATGTTTTTAATACAATCGTATTCATTTCAACAATGTGCCCTCAAGGAGGCTGGTTATAATTAAATTAGTTTGATAATCTTATTGTGATTTATAATAAAATATGTTACTATAAAAGTGATTCATCCAATCCAACAATATTAAAATTTATATTTAAGTTTGATATAAATTTTAATGTTGTTAACGTATTTATTTGTGTTGTATTGATGTGAATTCGTGTTGTGATACTTTTTTGTTGGCACAGGACAAGTTTCACGCATTTTCAATTGTGATTTTGATATTTTGTACAGAATTCGCTTGAAACTGTTTTACATGATAAATTGTTAGCGTTTACTAGAAATCAAAACAAGGTAACAAGAAATTTAAAATAACTTTCCTAGAAAATGGCATCTACCTACTCACGGCAGTTTGTGATAGGCAGCACACGCTGTTTTCTATTATTCTATAAAGTTTTCTCTTGGAAGAAGTAACAACTTGTTGTAGTTAAATTGCAAGAGAAGCAATACCTCTACTGGAACTAATCTTTAAAAATAAGATTCTCGCCGTTTAATGTTGGTGGATTAAATCATAAATTCATTTCGCAAGTGAATGAGAACGAGAATGAATCAGAAGCTGTAAAATAGGTACAATGTGCGCCCAGCTGTTGTTTGTTGTTGGAAGTTGTCGAATCTCACCGCGTGTCAGACGCACATCCTGAAATAACAAACGCAGTATTTGGGAAGATGAGACGTTTGGATTTAGAGTGCACTTGGGCAATTGGTATGGAGTACAATAGGACCACTAGGTACGCCGTAAACTTCCGAAGAAGTTGAGCTGTTTATGTCAGGGTTAAGCGAGAACCTTGCGTTGCTTGCTCTTAAATGGTGCGAACCATTTGATGCCATATTAAATTCAACTCGTTCTAAATGTGGACCACATGCGTGTATCATATACCTACACATAAATAAAATTAAAATCAAATAAAAATAACACTTTAATATTCTTCTTATTAAAATACAAAAGTTTCTTAAAATATTGTGTTCGTATATGTACATATGTTTTTCTTAATTAAATCGTAGTATCACAAATAGTTTCCTGCCCAACAACGACTTTCGATTGCCTCGTAAGTTTGTAAACAATCATTGAGGATAAACTGAGAAATGTGCAAAGTAGAGTCATATAAAATATATACCTAAACCACCAGTCGTTTACCAAACCAGTGTCGTCCATTCGAGAAAACCACCAAATTAAACACATGATGAAGTTCTCGCTGAACACGAGCGTGAAATAGCCGTTATAGATGAACCGTACGCGCGTGAATTGCTTCTTGAACTCGATAATACAAAATAAATAAATCAACCCGACGAAAATAAAGAATACAGCCTTGGTGCGTCGGACAAGATACGCCCTCGCATCGTACAATAAGAATGACACGCACAATATGAAGTGACTGGACAGCAGCCAGATGATATCTTTAGGAAAGAAGTACGCAAACGTCGAAATGGCAAGAAAACGCGCGAGTAAAAAGCAGAACCACCAAAAAAACGCGAGTACTTTGCCTGCAAGGTCGTCCTCTGGCAGTGCGTAAATTTGTCGAATGGCCTTAGGAAAGTCCACTTCATCCACATGGGGTTCTAGATAATATACGCTACTGGATATACTTTCGTCATCGCCAGCATTTTCTTCGATCTCCTTGATGCGACGCTCTTCTATATCATTCGCAATTTTTTGGTAGTTTTCTTTGGTGCAGTATATTATTCCAGTTGCGGGCAATAGTAACGCAGCATCCACATTATCATTGTATTTGTATGGTTTGTACCATGGGTAGTTTTTGCCACCCATCTTTTGACTTTTAAATCGTTGATATTGCACGGTTGTTGCCGCCATTGTAGCCAAATTGAATACCATACTGGCAACCTGCATGTCAACTACAAACGTACAGATAAATCAATTTATTAAATCTACTGAAAATTCCCGGAAGTACTTACTTGTCTGTTGATCCAACAATTTAACATTTCTCATGAGAATATGCAGTTGCAGAAGGATTTGCGGAATTGTATGTAAAAATCCTTTTAGGAAGAAATAAAATTCGATGGAACGAGGGGCGCTAGACTTGCGCAAACATTCTTGTCTATCGTCTTCCGTCGGGGCTCGATATCCTTCTATAGCCCAAAAAATTTTTTCTGCGTACCTAAAAAATAATTGCAGCAATAAAAATAGGATTATAAAAGTCATAACGTCGCATATTTCCATGATACGTCAGACCTTTTTGATGCAAATTTGAGCCCCCACTTATTGTATGATATCATAGGCAATTCTCGTAAGAAATAAACGACTTTATAAAATTTCAAAAAAAAAAAACAGTTTGATCATTGAGTAATAATAATTAACTCTCCTTAACGCGAAAGAACTAGTTTTTAAATGCTTTATGTACTTTATGAACGGCCCCGGTTAAAGTTAGCAATACTGCATATTTATTTACAATTAGTTATAGTTATAAATTATTGGTAGAAAATACTTTAATCATAATGTAAGTCTGACTCAACAGTTCCACCTCAGATTATGAAACACGTAAAAACAATCGAATTTAGATATCGTTTGTTATTGCTATAGATTAATTATTTCTTTACTGTTTTTTATGTTAGGACAGATGCTACTATTTTTATGTAGGTATTTTGTTTTTTACCAATATTTATTTCTTTTTTTTTTCTCTTCTCCTTTGTATGAGGCAAACTTTGACCTGTAAATTTTGATTGTCTCATGAAGTTATATCGGTTATGGTTTCAATTTTCTTGCGTTAATTAGTACAACGTCAAACATAATTCGGGCTACGTAGACAAAATAATTGTGCAAGTTTTTATGCCAAAGTTAGATAGTTTAGTCAACTAATTATTACTGACTATAACCTATGTAGATATTATTTTATCTTGTAACTAGTACTACTACTTTTATGTTTTGCTCAACCCCTAACATTTTGAAACCTATACTATACAAAAATTTAATATACTATGTATTAGATTACTTCTGAAAATCCACCGTGATGAACAAATTATTAATTAATTTTTTAGACATATATTGATAAGAGACAATGCATACTTTTATAATTAATATTCACAGTCCAATAGTTGGAAGTCATCAGTGCCAGTTTTTTTTTAGCAAAAATTGGATTTTTTTGTTGTTTTGTAAAAAAAAAAAAAATAAAAATTCCAGAAATTATTCGAATGTAAATAAGCTTGTTGATGTTTGAATTATCAAATATCAATCACCCAGTTCAATAAACTGTGAATTTAATTGAATTGAACATTCCATATTTTATAACAAGAAAAAACTATTATTTTAATGACAATGCACTAAATCTGTAATATTTTAATTCTCAACAATTCAAAAATGTCCGTACTAAATAATTATATATAAGTAACATAAAGACACATTTTTTACCAAAAATTACACTCATTTGTAAAATTGCTGGTAAGGCCATGATATGATGTTCTCAGTCAAGTATCTCATTGAAACTTATAACTAGGCATATATTTATCACTTTTTTATTAATTCAAAAAACTAACCTCCACATAGTCCAAATGGGAAAAAACAAATGCTGTAATATCTTCACAGATAACCACTTGACATTTGATAAAGTGCATTCATCGTAGTCGGGCCACATTTCTATCGACGAGACTGTCAACACGAAGCACCCTATTACCGGCAAGTACATGAAGAAGAGCGTGAGACTGGCCCAGATCGGATCTTCTTCTATGTGATGCCGATGCGCCAGTACCAAATCAGAAGCAAAATGTAATATATACATAGAGCACCAGAAAATTGCAGGCAACAGATAATTGAAGCACGCATTTTGCTTTGAATTTAGCTCGTAACCCAATACGGTTAATCGCACAATGGCCGGAGTAGCTTTGAAATTGTCGCTGTCCGCCATAATTCTTTTATCTCGCAAGTTTCACTGATTGATTGTTGGAGCTATGAAACCCAAACCTAGAATTTTTTTAAATTCTAACTATCCGGTTAGAACTGCGTTTATCTCCAATATTATCGCGGATGATAAATGTTATCAATAGATGTGTTTTTATCTATGCTGAAGTTGGAGGGAAGTGAGACTTTGCGTTGAATCATAGTCTGTTTAAACGTAATCCACGCATCATCGGTAATTCACCGTTCCCCGTCTCTGAAAATATTTACAAAGTGCACAATATAAATATATGTATGCTTGAGTTAAAAATAACATTAACCTGTTGGTTGCGGTTATAATAAAATAAATACAGGGTGTTTTTTTGTTACGTGTTCTTACATTAAATATTTTATATGTATACAGTAGTGTGGCAATCACTGTTCTGTTTTTGCTGAGTATTTTCTAATGACAAGCTAGGTTTGCCTTGAAAACATTTCGCAACTAGTACACAATTAGTCTTTGATACTCCGGCGACTGTTTTTCTCGCACGAATCACATTTGTTTATAATTTTTTGTCCTCGTTTCCAGAAATTGCTTCGAACGCCTGCAATTACACTTCATTTAACTTTATCACGTGGAAGTCCAAATAAGCATAAAACAACCAATAGCACAAAATGCACCGCACGCCAGTTATGTCCCGTTTTTCCGTGTCTTTTTGAGTGCGCAGTACTCAATGTTTCATACAACACATGCGCGCGTTCGGAAAATTCATTCACAAACGAAAAAATCAAAAAGTCACAAAGAGTAACAAAAGCGTGTGGCGGAATTGGCGCCGTTCGGCGTGATTATCTGAAAGCGGAATCGACGGTATCGCGAGAATAACACCTGTCCTGGAGGTAAAACGCCGAACAGCGACTGCCAGTACGCGAACTGGTAAATAACGAGCACATTACTCGTTCCACCGACCACACAAGCACAAATGACTCGGTTGGCAAACCACACGAGCACAGGTACGCTCGTAAGTGGTAAATAATTGAGATTACACCACGTTTCATCGGATCGCTTACCATGTGATAATGGAGAGATGTCATTTTGACGAGTTTAACGAATTACGCATTTAAAACAAACATTTGATTTCATTTCGATTCAAGTTACTGCTTGTTGATTGCTGCTTCCAATTATGTATTAATTCCGGTCAGCAGCCAATGTATCATGTTATACGTATATTCAATTTTCATCTATGCATTAAACATTAATATTTACAAACTAGATAACTGCATCGGATAAAACCAAACGCGAATCCCATTCGAGTAATGCTGGTGCTATTTGTGTCAGTCAAATAATAGTCCTCGTGTTGTGCAATCGCTTCCATAATGAAGTTACATTCTGTAACTAGTATTGCAAGATCACATCGATTAACGAATTAAATACCATGCCTCAACAATTACCAAAAACACAGTCTGGTGAATTATAAATAAATACTTTTTGTAACTAACGAGTGATTTTTGTTAATTTTACCTAAAATCAAGGTCTTGTCATTTTTATATAATATTTACGTGTAATTTCAAGTGCATGATTGCAACTCAAGTGAAAATGACGCTTTGATAATCTGATAATTATGTATTAAACGTGTTTTTATACAATGAACATAAAATCTTCATTGAAACATTATTGATATGAATCAGTAGCATTGATTATTATATTGATAGCCTTTAGCAATTAATCTCGACGCAATTTAATTCTTAAATTATTATTTAAATATTTATAGTTTTATACGAGAATTGAATCACTCAATAGATCGTTAAACGATAGCTATCCATATCAGGTTTAACAAATATTTGCGTTGATTTACAATAGTTTTATATTGTATCATTTAATGCTCTTTATCGTTTAACAATTGGCTTCGGGGCAGTGTCCAGTTTTTAGACTTAGTTAAATTATTATTTTTATTATATAAGGGTATTTCTCTGAATTTAGTTTTATTTTTTGTTTGTAGAACACAAACTTTTTGACACAGAATTTGTATATTTCTTATGTTTAACTCATTATTGTCTTCTGTTTAAATTTAATTTTCACGCCAACACCGTATGTACTGCCATCTGTTAACAAAACTTGTAGATAGACTAAAAATCGAACTTTATTCGTGATTCTCACACAAAGGCTTATGTATGTGCAGGGATGACGTTTCAATCAACACAAACACCGACAGTATGTGATAAGAAAATCGTTAATATCTTCGCGATTAGACGTGTTCACTGTGCTTGTTCATATTTTTAAAGTGCAATTTATATTCACGTGTTAATGCTGTGACTTATTTAGTGTTTAGTGCAAGATCATTCCGCAAAAATGGATAATTCACGATTTAATTTAGTTGTTGTCTATGAAAAGTTCAATGCATGTTTATTAGAAGAGGATGACATTTACATTAAGGAATATCTGGAGAGTTATGAAGAACTTAACAAGTAATATCATATATACTACTACTGTGTTTTGTTGTTTAATGATGGTTAATTGTTAACAGATTTTTTGATTCCATGGGAACAATGTTTACCTTTGTAACAAAGGAGTTGACATCCAAAATGAATATAATTCGTGGATATTACAAAGGAAAATGAGGAAGGCTTTAAAACTGTGAAGGCCATGATTGCCTTTGAGAGTGATAAGTTGAAAAAATCTGGATATGTATCTGGGTGTAGAACATTACTACAATTACATAGAGCTTTAGGTATAGTTTTTATTGAATAGACTGATAATTTTAATACTTCAAAATTTATTGCAGATTTTATTCGATTGTTTTTAAAGTCAGTTGGTGAGCTACAATTTGAAGAGAATGTTGGCCATGTGTGCAGAGCTGCTTATGACCAAACTCTTGGCAATCATCATTCCTTTTTCATTGCCAAAGGTGCCAGATTAGCCATGTACACATTACCAAACAAAGCAAACTTGTTAAAAAGGGTAAATCAAACATTGACAATTAAATTTAAATATGAATATGTTTGTTGACCTTTTTGCTCAATCTCAGGTATGTGGTGATGATGAAGAATTCCAAAAATCGTCTCTGGAAGCCTTACCAAAAACATTGGATGTAACAGCTACAGTATTTGATCGTGTTCAAGATCTGTACACTAAACATGATCTGCATAAGCTGCCTTAAATGTTCCTGGATAATAATATTGTTTTAAATGGTGCTGTTTTAAAAATCAAATGATGCTTCTTTGTGATTCAAGCTTAGCTTAATTTGTAGCACATTAATTGGGTATTAATGAAGTATTTATAGAATATATATTTTACTTCACTTATTTTTTGTTAAATTTAAACTTGGATCTTGTTCTCTTTATGTTCTGTTGTCCTTCTACCACAGGTTGGGTTTGTTCTTCAATTAGAATAGAATATAAAGACTTAGCATCATTTGCATTCCCTAATAGTTTATGCAATTCGTCTTGAGACATTGAAGAAAGTTCGTCGAGGTTTTTACAGCCTCTCAACAAGATATCGATATTTTTACTACTTATACCAGGTAGTTTTTGTACAAAATCGTATACAGCGACGTTATATTTTGTCTCAACGAGATCTAGATCCACTTCTGCGCCTATAGTTGTTGCGTATTGAATATTAGGTTGCTCCTTGCCGTCTTTTAATTCTTCAAACAGCTGAGCTGATGCGTATGGTGATGGACTCCATATGATTTTCAATCGTGGGAAATGCATTGTCAACAAGAGAAGTTTTTGTTGTATGTCGAAATTATTCCCATCAGTGGACAAAATATAATTGCTCTATAATAAGACAACAGTACATTATTGAAAACCTTTTAGTCGTTTAGTAAAGAATATACCTGCCAAGAAAACGGACGGTTGTGATCAAATTCAATCAATAGCATTGGTTTTGCATAACATCTACTCATTTGTGTGCATTGCTGATATAATCGTCCAGAATTCAATGATCCCACTAAATCGGAGAGACTTTTACGTTCTATGCAAATGTCACGGGTGAGTATATAATCTCCAACAGAGATCGTCAAAGGTTCAATTTCCACCCCACGTTTATGAATCAATGCCGGGAGGTCACTGCGAAATTCGCGCATATCGACAATCACAAAGTTCCTTTCTTGAGTTTCGGGTTCCAAGCCGCCGGCTTTGCGTGTATTTGTTTCAGGGCTCTTTATTTCGCGTTGTAAGGCTAAACAATCATCCGTTTTGCCATCTTGATCTTCAGGTACAACCATAGTCTATCAAAATAATACGCAAAACAAATGAACAGTATAGTAACAGGAATACGTTTGACTTACAGATTTCGTTTGAATAAGAAACTCAAACGCCTCTTTTTCTCGGCGTAAAGAAGTTAAATAACTTTGTTCTTCTACTGTTTCCGCATGTATGAGGAAGTAAACTTTGAGTTGCCGATCCTTCTGTCTTCGCGCCTCGTATATCTCGATTTGCCTCACCGCTGTCATGTTGCTGTGATACATTATGATAAAGTTCGGCGCAATATCCTCCAAGTTCTTTTGCAACGACAGAAAGTTATCACCGTGTTTAAATGTTTGAATAAGAACTGTCGGTTGATTCATCTTTTCGAGTATTTGTGTTAGATTCATATTCTCTATCTAAAAAACACAATTGATGAAATATGACTGCAGGAAATGAAAAACATCACGTACTTCAGGACAAGCTTCAAACACAACTTGTGAGTCGCTTATTTGTTCTTCATCTACAACTTGAGTTGCAGACATATTAATACTCTCATTGAATAAAGCAGTTTGAGACATTTTAAGTACATACGAATCCCGCATGTTTTCCAATTCATCCAATTCTGATATGCATTTCTGTGCATCTTTATGATTTTCTTGTAATTTAGGCTTCTTTGCTGGCACCCCTTTCGTCATTTTTCCTTTATTATTTGCATTGTTTTCAATCGTACTCAATTCCAATTGATGTTGCGTAAAGCTCTCCTGCAACTCTTTACAGTTGGTAGTTTTGAACTTGTCGTGAATTGTCTTGAAGTTCACACCTTTTGAAAGGGCCATTAAAAACAAATAATGATGAGGTCCATAACGCAAGAACTAAAATATTTTTGATACGTTCTAATTATTTGTGCTCATGCCCCATAGCTAAATTCATACCTGATTTAGTTGGAAACAAGTTTTACTATCCTGACACAAAATTAACACTTTGGATTCTCCTAAAGACATTTTTTTGTGTTTTATTTCCGCTGGAATTTCCGATTTTAATATTTCTGATAAAGTACTCCACTTAGTACAAAACTCGGGATTCAATTCTTTATCCTTGCTGTAGATTAGCGAGTTAGCTTCAGTAAACAACAGCTCGGCGGGCTGTAAAAGTACCCAATGGCTTGTTGCAGCATACTCTTTTGTTCGATAATGCATCAATGTGGAATAAAATGTTATAACATCGTCATAAAACAGTACCCTACAATAATACAATTATGCCAAATAAATGTTGGAAAGAAAACCACTTTAAAATTATTTTTTCTTACAATAACAAATGACGCAGTGTTTTTAATTCAGTAATTAACTGCTTGCTCTTACTGCTCAATTGGTGCCAAATGCAGTCTAGTTGAGTTTGCAAAACTTTGTGAAACTTTTTTGTTAAACAATTTTCCACGGTTATTTCAGCCATTTCCAAGGTTTTGTTAATTTTTTTCAATTCCTTCACAGTTAAATTCATCAGATCTAAAATGCACGTTTGTAGTTTGCGTATTTTATCAGAAATTGGGATGTGCAGTTCCACCACTGCAGGTTCATGCTTTTTAAGACTATGTATAACTGACGAATGAAATCTTGGCCATATGAATAATTCTTTAACGAAAAGGGCGCGCATAACTCGCTCTACTTGACTGAAACCTATCGTAAAGCTTTGCGCTGAGTTTGTGAACGCCTTAATAAATCCCGTCTAAAAGTAATATTTAAGTATTATAATAATTCGATATTACTAATTAAACTCACTTTATTTGCTTGCCTAAATAATCTCAAGACAAATGCTTCCTGACAACTTTCCAACACACTATGTGCTTGTAGAACAATGAATCCTGTAATTTTTTCAATAGGGATTCGTTTTTTGAGCATATCAACAACTAAAATTCTTGTTGTTACAAAATGTACACCCCCGGATAGATAAACATCGGCTCTAAATAAACAAATAATTAAAACAATAAGTAAAACATTGCTACAAATTAATTAATAAAATTACCTCTCAGTTGTATTGGTAGTATAAGTAGTTGCATGCACATTTTCAAGTTGTAGCTTATCTAAATAATACTTCTCCTCAAATTCAGAACAATTTAGAATTATCACTAAATTGCCAGGATCAGCATAAACTTTGAAAAGGTTTAATAATACATGATCCATACTCAAACCCCTAAAATAATTAAATATAAGTTAAACATCACTTTTGTTTGCTGTCTAATTTAAAAATTTATAAATTTTAAAAGTCTTCAATCATTCGTTAATTGTTTTATAACTTTAAACTTACTTTGCTGCCACAACTACAGCATCCTGGTGCATAATATCCAAAAACAATTGAGTTTCATACTCCATCATAGGAAATAGATTCTTGTGAAGTAATTCATGTTCAATATCTGTATCTTCAGACATATTCAAGGTTTTTCTAATAATGCTTATCAAGTTTTAAATTTAAAACAATGTTGATTGTGCTGATAAAATTAAAGATTAACTTGGAATGTTGATTGAGGTTATTCAAATGAAAACATCACTGATCTGTATGGAAAACATACTTGTGTATACCAAGCGTTCACGTTAGTTTTGTTTAATGTTTTTAGTTCCCATTATTTAATTTAAAATAATAAATTGTTTTGGAGTTTTAAAAACGTAATTAAATATACAATAGTATGCTATTAATAATTAAAAATATTTTAAATCAAATGTAAATTTACATCAATTTAATATTTAACATTATTTTTATAGTTTCCGAACACATGTATACAACTTTTGACATTTGTGTACCTATGCGATTGTGTAGTTGTCATCTGTTACGGTCTCTCAACTTTTGACGTTTGTGATCTGTTCTCTACTGATTTGCATACACATTCTCGTTGGTATTGTGTTTCTTCCCAATTTCTTCAGTTCTCTAGGATGCAATAATCGTGGGACGTAACTGTTGCGACCTTTTGTATCGTATTTAGAAGACTTCAGTTTCCTATTGATTTTGTCTGGTTGGTAGTACCATTAGTTGTTTAATTAAAACGCTCGAAATATGACAATGGGTGATGAGACGCCAGTTACAACGCTAATATTGCCCGTTTTAATACGCCCTATATTATCACAGGTTGGTGTTTAATATCTTGTTCTATTGATAAGTCAGTGAGCTTGTGTATTGTTGTCTGTTTTAAAAGTAAAATGTGATGTAATTTTCAGTTGGAGCGCAGAGATGTGACTGCTTCACAAACACTGAGGGCAGCTCTTTCTAGGGCTGAATCAAATTATCCAGGCCTTACATATGATCTTGTTGTGGGTATTCTTAGGCGTGGTGATTTGAATGTTAATATGAATGAGAGCATCTTGAGGTTACAAGGTGCCCTTACAGATGCTGATGGTAAGATTTGTAATGTTTAGTTTTCTCTTAGTTTTAATACATCATGTGTTTATACAGTGTGAATCTTTGTCATGGCATTCTTTTGGCAAATAATCATTATTTATGTGATAAAATGTGTGTTTCTTATAGTTGTGGAACATCGATTGAACCGTTCTGAAGACGCATTCCAAGAATTAAATAGAAAATCAGCAACACTCAAAAAGATTTTAAGCCGGATACCTGATGAAATAACAGATCGTAAAACATTTCTAGAAATTATTAAGTATGTCATTATTACTTATAACACAAGTGCATTTTTATGATGGAGAAATTTATAGGGAAATTGCAAGTGCCATTAAAAAATTGCTTGATGCCGTGAATGAAGTGAATGGTTTCATCCCCGGATCAAGTGGCAAGCAAGCCCTAGATCAAAGGAAAAGGGATTTTGTAAAGTATTCAAAAAGGTTCAGTAACACTTTGAAGGAATACTTTAAAGAAGGACAGTAAGTATTTTATAACTATTTTAGTAAACACACCTAACTTGTTTCTATTTTCAGAGCCAATGCAGTATTTGTGAGTGCTTTATATTTGATACATCAAACAAATATGATCATCTCAACGGTAAAGAATAAATGCGAGTAACACAGGAGCAAACTCCGTACTATCCAAACTAATAATTATAATATTAAAAAATATGTTAAAAATTAACGCGACGGGTGAACTTGCGCCATTAGCAGAAAGTATTTTAACCAATATATGCATATAGCATGAAATATTTAATATTAACAATAATTATTTAATGTTAAGGTATCAACAAAGTTGCCGGAGAATGGCATAGATGTCAACAATATTTTGGATGAAAATGTTATTGAGTGATACATGCAACAGGAATAAGTATTGTTTTGAGGCATTTCTTTTTCTGTGACAATCAGTAAAAGTTCTTATTTATGTAATAATGTTTCTGGGAAAAGGTATATATTATGTTCATGTCGGTTTAAGTTGAATTATTTTTAAGAAAATACTTTAGTTATGTGTATGCCAAACCTGTTGATAAACTATGAGAGAACTAATTTAATATTGACATTTATTCTTGAAACAAGACGAAAAGTTTATTTATTATGCTGTACCTCGCGAAAAGTGTGTTCTAGACATTCTACTTAAACATCCATCAATTATAATTTTGATTTCTACACTTGAACCAGGTATGTGACTGAACTTCACTTCACTTCACTTCATTCCTTACACGGAATTTTATTAAGTTTGTTATAATTACTAATTATTTGAGTTGTTATTTATTAGGAATATTTGGAACTATGAATGCCTATACTCACAGGACTCATTGAACAAAACCATAGCGATATTTCTAAAACAAAGTAGTTTAAGAGTTGGTTGGTTAAGTTTTTCTGCCTTTTAAATCGAGCCACGGTGATTATTTCCTATTCATATAATATTCGATATCAGAAATTTCATAATAACAAGGTAAGACGGCACTGTTTGACTTCTTCTGGATTCCGCTTAGGAATTGCAATCCAGAAAACTGGTGAATCCATGCACTTTTGAGTATATATGGAGTATATAAATATTAGCAACATTTCGATCGAGATGTATTTCGAAAAAGGCCTGACTGAATTTGAAAGTGGAAGAATCTAAGGAGTATATTTAACAATTATTTATAGTTATTTATTTTTTATTAAATTATCGAATCAGCATAGAAGCTGCCACATCTTCAGCTCAGTAAGAAGTCGCTTAGTCGATGAATCTATCTGCCGGATCCAGCCAGGTCGGCGATAATTCGACTGCTGTATTCCGGAAAAGTAAATTCTAAAAAAATTGGTTGTGCTATTTTTATATTTAAAAATTTAAGCATTTACAAAATTGACCTTTTCTATGTCTTTATATGTGATTTATGAAGTCTGGGTTAAATCCGTAAATAAAATGCGGTTGTCAAATTTTCATATCTGACTCTTATTAGTGTGCCATAGATTACAGACTGTTTAAAATGAAACGTTGAATTCTCCAAATTAATCGAAATTATGAAAAATTGGCCAAATAACTCAATTTCGATTAGTCAAATTGAGGTAAAACTCTTCTTTGCTTTACAAAGCAACGTTTTCAAATTTGTATTTTATTCACACTGTTACCCCTCCATGTAAGTAAAATTACAGGTATCACTAAATTGGGCTCAAATATTTTAAGGTATATTACCACGCACAGTCATTACCGCCATTTAGTAATCAGATTACCTATTAGCAAAAAACCAAATAACGCTTCCAAATAATTGTGTATAGTTGGAAATTTGAGTGCTTCCAAAAGGGATGTTTTGGTATGTGTTTTTATAAATAGATTTCAAGGAACATCTTTGCCACCCTTTTGTTGACTCTGTATATAATTCAATTAATTGTGTGTAAAAGATAAAAATAGTATATTAAGTATTCAGTGGACTAAACGGGTACTTTACTCACGTGATTGATTAAGAACGAGCGTAGCAAGCGTTTAATCAATCGAGTGTTTAACAACGTTTAGCCACGTGATGCTTACGCTATTTTTTCTACTTCCACTCTAGTTTCACGTTGAGGTTTTTATATTTCAACTTTTGTATTTTAAAACATCGAAATTTGCTGGCATAGTACTACAAAATGTAAGATTATAAATATGTACTACACTGTGCGCCGGTCATGTGTCGCGTCGGGCCATACCGCACCGCTCCGATACAAGCAACAGCAACTCCGAAGGCAAATACGCAGGTGCAAGCTCTGTCCCGTACATAATGCCCGTGGATAATGGATATTACTCACGGCTTGATCGTCTGTATTAATACACCACTTTTTGTGTCTAAAAAACGTGGAAAAACTGGCGCTTTATTGGTGGAAGTAGAAAAATATGTTTATGAAAGTTATAGTTTCGGTTTCAGTTTCGACCGAAACAGAGGCCAGGGCCGAAAGTTCGGTTTCGGCTGAAAAACCAGTTTCGGTCGGACTCTTACATTCTTTTGAGTTCTAAAAGCCCGATCAGCTACTTTGCTGCCTTACAACCAGCATCACCAAATATCTTACCTTGTACATACTGGTCAGTTTGCCTTATTATTGATAACATGAGTTCAGCTGTGACCAATTAGACACCCAAAGCGTCTTCGAGGCACACTTTCTCTCATAAAAGCGCCCAGAGAATATTGTCACGAGTTAACGCGCGGGAAATAGTGTTGTGGCTGGTTATCCCAACTCGTGTATTTTACATTTACAATTTTAATACCGTTACATAAAAATAAAACGCAATTTGTGAACTGACAAAAATCGTTGCGCACCGAAAATAGAGACGTTTTTCTATCATCATTGCTCCGCGAAATTTTCCTGCCAAGCAGATATTTTCCGCAATATACGCCACGAAAATGCTGCGATTTACACAAAAGCGATATTCTAGATCAAGAGAATCCGTGGAATAAAAACAATTAAACATCGCGCTTAAAGTTTCAAAATACAACACCGTGAAACGACGGGTAAAATGTTCGGGCAGGTGGAGTTAGGGCTTCACGCGATACCGAGACTTTTCTCGTATCGTCTCGGTCTCGTCTCGGAAAAGCGAGACGATACCGAGACGAGACGTGTTTTATCAATTTCTCGGCGATAGCGAGACCACAGTCCGAGTCTCGTTTTTGGTCTCGTTATTGGTCTCGTGAATTTTTTTTTATGAAGTGGATATTAGTAAAATGAGAAAAGGGCCAATATATGAAATCCAATAGGGGATATATGCACTTTAGTTAAAATACAATCCACTTGAACAGCCGCACTTAAGTTTTTATACTTTGCACTAAGAAATTCATATTATGCACTATAGATCCACACACATACCACTCACACTACGCGAAACACATCTTAAAACACAGCCACCAACACAACACACTCTTAAACGAACATATAAATTCAATACACGACACTATTTTCAAATCCCTCAAAAAGCTCCACATACCTACTACTGACGATAACACACATTAACACAACATGCCATTCCAATATATGACCATCTGTGAAATATTTCTTTTGTATATTCAAAAGAACAAGTCAGTAACCGAATATCATGACCTTTTTGCCTTTTTAAAAGTTTTATGAAAATTTTGTCTTTGTTTATACATCCGGGGACATATTTTTGTGTTTTTCTGTACTTCTTGAAGCAAATATATGAACAGCAAAAGTATTGTATTCACTGGGCAAGGGTATATAATAAATCTTGTCAAATAAAATTTATGCTATAGTCCGGGACGAAAAAGTGTTCATGTTGACAATATTTTGTAGACAACTTAATAACCGAATATGATTTTGATCTTTTTGACACACAAAATTGAATTGTTTGATAAAACTAATTGGGGAAAAGAATTAAAACATGCAGCTATCCAATGTTTCGAACTATTTTATAAGGAATATGCGAAAAACACCCTCGAGCAACCTATTGACACGATAATTGAAAGAAATTCCAATTCAATTAAAAAATGTGATAATTGTGATAATTAATATTTTAACCTATGTATGTATTTTTGGAGTAATTAAATGATTAAACTTTTGAACTGCAAAGATCTTCAATGTTTTCTTTACACTTAAAACCATTAAATGTGAAAAAAAAATTATAAGAACAAAGGCTTCACGGGTATCGCGAGACTTTTCTCGTATCGTCTCGGTCTCGTATCGCTTTTACGAGACGATACCGAGACCGAGACGATACTGTTGATAGTCTCGTCCAGTCTCGTCTCGTGTGAAGCCCTAGGTGGAGTCGTAATACAGCAAAACTCTGAATATACCTTTGTAGGTAGAAAATGAATTAATATGCTGTTGCCATGCCAAACTGGTGCATAAATCTTACAACGGGCTTTATTCTGAAATTAATGGACTATTGTAACATTTCATAGTAAAAATATTATCTTCTAATAATATCGACCAAGTAGAAACAAAAAATAATCACACTAAGTGTTTTATACTTAACCGAAACTTTTATGATCTTTCATTCATATTAGCTGGAGATATCAATGTTAAAGAAAAAATTGGAAAGCATACATCTTTTTTACCAAGTATATTTGATTTGAGTATGAATAATGATCAGTGGCGTAGCGTGCCTTGTCGGGGCCCCGTATAAAAAAATTTTTGGGGGCCCTTATATGGAGGTAAAGGTTTTTCCTTACACACTTTGGGGGCCCCCGTGGCCCGGGGGCCCCGTATAATTGATACGGCAAATACGGCGGTAGCTACGCCCCTGATAATGATCCTGCGCAGTTTACAACAAAATACTGTATAACCGTTGATATTGTATTCTCGAGATACTTGGATAAGCTTTAATCACAAACATATGTATCTTATTTTTGTTACCATAAGCCAATGTTGATCCAATAATGATAATGATACAATACATGTAATGGTGAAATTTAAAAATAATTTATCTTTTATAATAGTTTTATATAACTTATAATTCGTTGTCTTGTATTTAATTTTGATTAAAATAATAATTATTTTCCAATATATTTAACGAAATTTATTACTTGCAAATTTATTATTGAAAAAAAGAGAGAGAGAGAGAGAGAGAGAGAGAGAGAGAAAGATGAATAAAGGAATACTTTACGTTTCGGTACCTTAATATTATCAGTAAAAATCTACATTTTAAAATATATTTTCAGTTACAAAAAGTGTGACAAAAACTTGACGGAGGTCCCTCGACCGTCTAATTTTTTTTTGCATGTGAAACAACAAGAGATGTCTGATTATATTTTTTAAATGTCCATGAGTTGACACAACAATTATGAAACATGTGATTACAAATTGAGACCATTGTATTTCATGCTTTCGGACATCGCCTACGCGTTGCATTCTGCTAAGCGCATTGCCCGTCTACGCGCCTCGTGCAGGAAACGTGTGGTCGGTACACGAAAACCGCCTGTGAGCGGGTGCATCGCGATAATTTCTGGACACGAGTTTCGCACGCACATGTTTGTCGGAAAAGGCGAGAAATCGCTCGCGTTGCTCGGTTTGTGGCTTCTTCACTCAACAACAGCACAGGGATGTATTTAAATCCTTCAGTAAACCACTCAAAACACACTAATAACACGAAATCATCAGAACCTATTAACTATCATACGATTGCTTATAGTTTTCTATGACTACAATTTGGGATTGATTTTTAAATTTGTAAAATTTTGCTTATAATGTGGAAAATTTTCTGGATCTATCCTGGAAAATGCCCAGAGGCCATGCGTTCTATCGCTTTGCGTCTGGGTTGCTCGCATTTGTCACGTTGAGAAATCACGTGAATGAAAATCGCTGAGCACGCTGCCTGCTCGCTTTGGTGCGCATTACGGGGGATGATCGGAGTACTCCGAGCCCTGCCTCTTTGCGGACACGCATCATTCGCATTCGTAAAGCGAACACATTTAGATGAGAGCTTACATCTATTTTCTGGCCGTGCTTTTCAAAGTGCACTACAGTTTTCACTTTGGTAGTTAGTATCATCATTGATCAAAATCATCATTTCGTTTTCGGAGTGGTACGAAGATTTTTCTTTTTTACAAAAGGAAAACAAGTGAGTACATTTTCAAATTAATTAATTTAATTAATTAGCTATAAGAAAATTTATCTCGCTTTAATTTGAAGTAATAAATAATTACGCACCTTTCGAGTTCATTTTTGTTTTTACTTTGTGTTAATCTGTAATTTAGCTGTCTTGTTATATAACATTTTACGTAACAGTGTGTAAAGAATACCGCGTTTTTCTTATACAATATTAGAAGAATAAAACAATGTTTTCAAAGAAAAAGTATAGCTTTCTGGCAAAATTAAAAAATAGATTTCTTAATTTAGTATAAATTTTAATTTTGCTTGACTTTTCTTACAAACCTTTTTATAGCTTGGGTTGAAAGGATCTAGTATTTACAATAAAAGATTTTTTTGCACAGAACTAAGGTGGTAGGTGGCAAAAATGTGATAATTTTCGTAAAACTACACAACATCGATAACTTATCGGTACTTATCGCTCCCCCATAAATATTTATAAGCTGGTTATAAACACAATTACTTTGGGAAAAAGAACTGTAAACATTTTCAATTACCAAATTGAACACTACAGATAATTCTATATATATTATATCTATAGCTATTAAACCAACTTAATTGTACAAATCTCTGTGTTATGAGATATACTCATCATTAGGGGTTTACTTTTAAAAATATTGTACATAACTTTTCTGATATTATCCAAGCAATTTTTAATTTCTGAAATGTTAACGTTTTGTCTATATAAACTTTAAATAAGGTTCGATACCGTTGATATACTCGTACATATAAATATGGTCACGTTCCAAATGTATGAAACAGATATTGGAACTGGAGTTGCGTGATATTGATCATGAAAGTATTTTTACTGTTCTCAAGGCTCAACATCCTATCTAATGCCTAAGGCACATCGCGCAAGACTTGGATGTTTGTAATTGACATTAAAAATATAGAATTTGATAATTAACTGTTATATAAAGTTGGGCTTATTTATAACGGTATATATATAGCGTTAGTGCATAAAAGTATTGCAATTATATAACTAACTATAAAACAAAAGGAAATCTTATTGTTCTTCATAAACAAATACTGATCAAACCTGATTTTTGGAAATATAGTTAATAAACTATAATATGGTATAAAATTTTACCGAAACAAAAGAGTAAAATAAAATAAATGCCGATGGCAAAATACAGGATTATAACAAGATATACGTCAAAGTTTTGAATAGTTTTATTTATTATGAGTTTTTTTTTAATTATTAGTGTTAAATGCAGTCTTATTCTAACTAATATTAATAATGCAAATGTGAGTTTGTTTGTGTCGCTAGCACGTAAATCCCCGGAACTCATTTTGATAAATTTTGGTACAGAGATATTTTGGACCTAGGACAATATCGTAGGCTACTTTTTGGGAGAAAATATATAACATAAAGGGGCTGCAAAACAATGCCTAAAATATAATATACAGTAGAGTCCGGTTATAATGACATCGAAGGGAATTGACAAACACGTCATAATAAGCGGACGTCATACAAAGCGTTTTGTGAAATGAAAACCCTTTTTTATGTAAATACACATACATATACATACATATTAAATCAAAATCAAAATTGCACGTAATCAGCACATTATAACACATTCAAGTGTATTTTTTACTGCAAGTAATCTGTAATTTTTGTCTGCTTTTGTTTTTTCATTTAATTAATTTTCTTGTGATTTTCGAAGCATCTTTGGTTTCAAAACATTTGAATTGAACGATTGCTTAATACGGCTCTTGTTTTTTAAAAAGCATTGAGATTGTCGAATGACCCACGCCAAATTCGGATTAATGGAAAATACGGATTAAGTCGTGGTCAAGGTGCTGCTGCCCGAATGCTTATATTTATTATTTAAGCATTTGGTCTTTCCGATAGTAAATACATAAAAGTAATTTGACAATCATAAAAGAAATGTAGCAATAAATATAAAAAGTTCGCCACGTGTCGAACATCGTCGGGTATCAACGAACATTACCGGAGGTGTCAAGAATCATGTTGGTCATTATAACCGGACATAATCTATTAAAAATGGGTCATAATAAGCGACATGTCACTGTAAGCGAAGTCATTATATCCGACTTTTTTATACAGAATTTTATATAAAAACCAAACTTGGTAGTGTAGTTACGTCATAATAACCGGTTGGTCAATATAAGCGGAGTCACAATAAACGGATTCTACTGTAATTTAAAAATTACAATTTCTAAATATCGGTAATTCCAGTCAAGCAATAAAAAATTATCAACGCGTTTGAAGCCACGGGAAAAACCTAGTTGCAACACTTCTCTGTTGACATTGGAAAAAATGTTGTTTGTTTCAAAATTACATATAATAATATAATAAATTGAGCATTATTATATGACTTCTATTGAACTATCATCGTAAGTTTTAGAAGTTATATTTAGGCACCTACCAAAACTAATATAATTAGTTTATGCAACAAATAGATTCGAACAGTACAGATGAAAGCTGTAAATGTTACTCCACAATAGCGACATAAATAGTGACAATTTAGTGGTGGTTAACTAATTCCTAATGTTATAAAAATACTTTCCGTATGGAAGCAACCTGTAGAGTGCGAAATGGTGTCGCTGTCTCTGAGTCTAGAATTCTCGATGGTTATACAGAGAGTTAATTGCGCACATACAAACGCACCCGGTGTGCGGGTCGCGTGTTCGTCCGCGTGATCCATTGTAACACACAGCAGGCAGCAGGCAGGCAGGCAGCTTTTACATATATCAACATCTAGAATTCTAGAATATGACTGACGTACTTGCAATACATTGTTTAGGTGTGTGAAACAAGGAACCATAAAAGTATTTGCTTCTATTAACTACATTGTTCCTTAATTATAATTACTTATACAAAATGTAAAGAATCAGACACACAATTAAAACAATTGTGCTATCAGGGAACCCAAGTCAAGAATAAAGCTTTGCATATTAAACTACACAAAAGTGATTTAATGCATAGATTTCTATTACTCGTATGTAGGTATATATTTCTATAATTCATATGATATATGATACTTTGCGAAGAAATTAACTCTGGAACTTTTTTGCCTCGTAGCAGGTACCTACAAGTACCTACGCAACTTTGTGTGATATAAATCCAGACAGGCAAAACGTGAGATTAAAATTACTGCTTTCCGTTTTTTGCTCGTTCGCTATGCAAAAAAAACTTCGTTCTACAAATTCACAATTTTATAACGACTGATATAAGCCCGTCCATTCAAAATAGCGCCGTATATTGCGATACTGTTACTAAAAATAGTTGTAGGATTAATAGTTGAAAACGTATAGGATCCAAACGAGACAACGTGACAAAAATTCTAGCAATTTGTATTTACGTGTGCGAATAAAGGGCAAAGTGACGTTTCTAATTTTAGCCCCTTGCTATATGTCTCTTATTAGGTGTAATCGTAGATGCCGGTGAACAGTGGTAGCAGCGGGAATATGGCATGGATGTCTTCAAATCCGCTGATACACAACACGTTTGCATCGTTGGGAAAGCGACATGGCGACACATTTAACGTCAGCGATGACTGCTTAAGTAAACATCGCCATTACAGTTATTCTATTTCTTTACAACTCACGTTTTTTTTAACAATTGTTATTTACAGGCATTTTAGAGGAAATTCTTCGTAAACTGGCTGTTGAAGACCAAACTCTGCGCACATTCAGACGTGCCATCGGCTTCGGTCAAAATATCTCCAAGGATCTAATACCTTTGCTTATTTATGTAAAAGATGATACAAAAACATGCGATGCGTCAAAGATCATCGACACAACCATTAAGATACTAGTAAACTTGACTATACCTGTCGAATGTTTACTGTCGATTGATGCAGTCTCGCGAACGGATGTTGGTCGACATACCATTTTTGAATTAAATCGTCTGCTGACCACCTCCAAAGAGGCGTTCACTGACAGCAGAAGCACAAAAGCTGTAATGGATCATATCAAACATGTCGTAGAACAGGACGCCATCTTGGATGTACAGCAATGTGACAGTATAAACAATTGCCTGTCGCTGTTGAGAAATATTTTGCATATTCCGGATGACCGTGCTACAATTTCTGATTGTCCTTTGGCTCGCAGCAGCATGCAAAATGAAATTATTTGGAACTTATTTACGCAAAGCATTGATAAAATAATTATTCATTTAATGTCATGTCCACAAAAAGTAATACATTTTTTTCTATTAGTTTATTTACTTGATTACTAATGTTGATATCCTGTTTAGATGTATTGGGGAGTAACAATGGTTCAACTAATTGCTTTAATGTACAAAGACCAACATGTCGGTACATTACAAAAATTATTAAACCTTTGGTTGGAAACATCTCTGAGCGAGAGCAGCGAAGATAATGAAAGTAATACTTCGCCACCTGATCAAGGCAGTGGTGATTCATCTCCTATTATCACGTCTGACCCAACATCAGATTCCAGCGACAACGGCAGTGGAAAGTGCAACGATCGCACCTATGAACCAACCAACATGTCAAATAATGACACCATGCGTACTAAGAACAACTCTATGGACGTAGTACGTGCTGCTCACAATAGAAGCAAAACTCTTGCTGGTTTAAAACGCGTCAAGTCGACAGAAACAGAAAACAGTAGTAGCAGCGGTGTGTCGTCTATGGGACAAACTGATTCCACAAATTCTTCTATCTCTAAACCACCTCAATCTCTACCTTCTCTGCAACAAGCCACACCTACTATTGTACAATCCAACAGTTTATCTGTCACCAATGAACAGAAAAATGGCAAAATCGTTGCTCCATCTTCCCAGAGCGAAGTTTCAGATTGCGGGTATGTCACTCAAGTGGAAAACCAGGAATCAATATCTACCTCGAGCAATGATGATGATCAACCACACCAGAAACCGGTACACCAAAAACCACACACCTTTCAGAAGACAAGATACAATAATCAGAAAAATCGTGCTGCCATTGCTTTAGAAAAGAAGGAACTAAGAAGGAAGAAACTCGTAAAACGAAGCAAAACTAATATGTAAGCAAATATAAACTAATATAATAATTCAAATGATTATTTTTTCTCTTTAACGACTATTTTTGATTCAGCATTAATATGAAGGGATTGATTCATCATCAACCTACAGATGAGGATATATCTAATATATTGAAAGAATTCACAGTGGATTTCCTCCTTAAAGGATATGGAAGCTTAGTGCACGATTTGCATACTCAGTTATTGAGTAATGTTCAAATGCCCATTGATACCTCTCACTTCTTTTGGCTTATCACTTATTTTCTGAAATTCGCTACACAACTTGAGCTAGATTTGGAGCACGTCTCACCAGTCTTGTCGTACGAAATCATTTCCTACATTATATTTCAAGGGGTTTGGATATATGAGGAATTGGAAATCAGTTGCCTTCTCCCAAATTGTGATCTGAAGCCATGTTTACGTCGTCTTCATTTGGTATAATAATTTAACCTTACTTATGAGCTTTAACCAGTCAACTTATTTGTTTGAAGGTGGTCACTGCCATACGAGAGTTTCTACAAGCGGTAGAAACCTATCACAAATTAACACATCTGTCCGAAGAAGATCGTATAGCACTCAAGCGCCTTGAGGAACAGATTATTCAGACGCAAGACCTCAAGCGTTTGTTCCTTCTTCTTTTGCGGCAGTACAATCCTAGCCTACAGAGTCGGCAGTACCTGCAGGACCTGATCGTTACAAACCACACGTACTTGTTGTTCTTGGACAATACGTGCAAAGGCGACGAACGATCCAACAGTATAATGGAACATCTCAAACAGTAAGTCTTTCAGTTTCAAATGTGCTTGCAATCTAAACTAGCAGGCGAACGATATAAACGGACTGGGCATGGGCTAGTATAATACGCGTGGCTCGGGTACGTGCAACTTATTTACTGATGTTCCAGGTGGCATTTGCAGGATTTATTATCGGCGCGTGTGTGTACACGTGCGAATGCGAATAATGCGTTCTGACTTATACGTTCCAGGTTCGCGACAGTTGAGATCATGCGCCAATATGGGCTGCTCCTCGAATATTTCAAGGAGAACGGTGAGTTCGTCAACAATTGCGTCTTTACGATGATGCATCACATTGGTGGCGACCTGGAGCACATCTCCACCCTCTTTCAGCCGAGCATACTAAAAACGTTCTCGAAGATCTGGGAAACCGACTACGAAATTTGCGATGTACTTACTTTCAGTGGTGTTATCTCTGCTTCAACTGTCAATGCCTTTTTAGGATTGGTGTGATCTTATTGAATATGTTATACATAAGTTCATCAATACGCCGAGGACAAATCACTGCCCGCCTATATCTACTTCACCGTTGGTTATTGAAGAACATCTTCACAAGAAAGGAGAAATTACCCAAAGGAAAATAGAAAAGAAGTAAACTATATTATAACCTTTCTCTTACCTATATTGTAATTGTGATACTTTCAAGATGGACCGCAATTGAAAACGATGACCTCGATGAGAACGCCGAACGCCGGGATTCATGCGCAGCTCGCAACAGTTTTGAATGCATCGGCAACAAACAGAAAACTCATCAAGCTATCATAAAGGAATTGTTGGAGCAAAACATTATCACGCCTGCACAGTATGAGGAATATATGACTCATCCTCAAGAGAATTTCTCTCCGGATTGTACATCCACACAAGAAGATGGCGACGTGCGTGTGCTGAGAGAATATCTATATAGAGAAAATCAAGGCACGCAGGTTCTTTTATGGTTACAACATATTGCGATAGAAGCCTGCTTCGTCAAACTAGTACTTAGCAATGAAGCGATAAAAAGCGATTTTATATCAGAACCATCCGTGTATTACTATGCATGTAAGTATTACAAGCATTGTTATACAGTTGAGCTCATTTTGTGATGTATTTTAGTACTGCACTTGCCTATACCAGTGATTCCGTGGACATTCGATCAGAGTAATAACCTCAAACAGCCGCCATTCATCCGGTTATTGCACAAGCTTGGATTTTATTTACCTGTTGACACTGGAAAGATATTTGTACGAATACCCGATTTCTGGACGCCTGATTACCTCTTCAGTATTGCGCTACAACTGGGTCCCATTGACACAAGTAAATTGAAGTTCGATGTTAGTTTGCTTGACGGACAAAAGAAGAATGAGTCGAAAATTGATGCAAGCGATGCCACCGTCAATGGCGCCGATAATCGAAGGTTTTCGGTGTCGGATTTGAAACAAACTCCATCCATGGTTCGATATTCTCCCCTGTTAGTATAACTATTGACATATATTTTTAATATTTATTTTTTAAACGCAATAATTAATTTCATTTCAGTCCCAACAGTACGGAATGGGTGCAACAAATATTGCAAACTAAAGTGTCACCTACAATCGATTCTTTGTTACAAATACCAAGGTAAGTTTTGTAAGTTACGTAGCGGCCATTATGATGTCACAAAGTTAACAGTTGCCAAATTTAAAGTGGAAAAATAACACACTAAACGTAATATCACGACATAACCAAACATAACCTAAGATTTTGGAGAATAAAACATTTTAGCTATTTAAACGGTAAGTTTATAAGTGCGCTGCAAATACATGGTTTTAGTGCAGCCATTTAGAGTTTTGAACTAATTAGAATGGTTTCCAGCACACATGACATTCCAATGGCTTTGCCTGAAATTGAAGCATGCGGTTCCAGCTCAAAAACTGACCGTAATATCATCGACATGGACATCCCACTCTGCGAGGATGTGAATGTTGATGTTGACTATATAGAACAGCACAGTACATGCGAAACTGCTTCCGTCGCGTCCGACTTAACGCGCATGTGTGTCAGTGATGAAGAGGAAAAGGGCTTCTTGCAAGACCCAAAGAGCATTTAAAATGCGAAAACGTACACTGCTTTAATTCTAAGATCGTTTATATTACCTACAAAGATTTTTAAACTCAAGAGCGCATTTTTATTATTGCATGTTTTAGTGTGCAAGGTACTGATACCAATATTTATGTTCGGTGGTTTCATACTTTTGCTACAGTTGATTAATGTGAATTTATTTGAACAATTTCTCTAAAGCAAAAGTATTAAAGTGTGAAACATTAAGTTCAATCTAAATGTGATTCATTAGAAGTAATAAATTATACTAATAAATTATCATCTAGATTTAGATCACAGTTGTAACACTATAAGCAAATGCACTTAATTAGTGATTGTATAATCTTTACACACAATTCTTACACCTTAGAATAACTTATTTTCGGTTTTCTCATGTTGCAGGATGTAGATCTTTCAAAAACATCGAGTGCTTCTCTAGCATGTCGACAATATCATCTTTCTTGTTGAATTCCTTGTCATATTCCGGCCCAACTGCCCATAATGAATCCAAGTCGTAGTATTCTCTAGCATCAGGTGAAAACACGTGTAGAGCAATATTTCCCAAATCCATGGCCATCCATTCATTTGAGTTTTCTCCTTCTACCTTTGGTATATCATCGCTTTCATTCCTTTTTTGTTTATAAACTTTACGGACAAATTGTGTAATTGCTAGCATGTGCTTTTTTGATTTACCAGTCACCACAACTATATAATCAACATAGTTGTGATCGGGTGGCACATACGCGACGAATATATCTACAGCGTTTTCCCGTTTCAGTAACTCCACCAAATCATCAATATCATAAACTCCAGTTATACCCCAAAAAAAAAAAGATTTTATATTTTAGTGGGTAGTTTTAGCAATCTCATTAGATTGTTTTGATAGTAAAGTTATAAATGGTTTTTGATAGACTAATCTAATGGCATCAGTTCATGGAATATATATAATAAATTTCATGTTTGTTAATATTAGTTGATTTTTAAAAATTCTTTTGACTTTGGAGTTTTATTCTATTTTATTGCTCCAGTGAATGGTACAAATGTTAAACTAAATTTGCCTGTAACACATCTTTAGTAACTAAAAACCACGTGGTTTTCTAACATGCCACTGAAGATGCCTTATAGACAAAACCTGATACTCTACAAATAGAGTTTTACTATATGTTGAAAAGAAGCGATTAAATTAATACTAGACATATTTTTATAACTAAATCTTACTTTGCAAATTAATGCCTTTGTATATATCGTCTTCTTCAGGCATATCATGCTCATCAAGCAGATCCTTATGATATTTAAATCTTTCTCTTTCTTCAAAAACATCCAATATTAAATCAGATTCTTCCTCCTTAAATGGTTTATATTTGGAGCTCATATCACCCAATTGAAGGTTAGATTTGTCATCGTTCGCTGATTTTGAATAATTCGTAGTCTGTGCATATTGTATCACTGATGAACACTTGCTTTTATGCAAGCAGTTGTACTTTAAAAGAGTTAGGTAACGATTGAAACTTTTTAAATGATTCATTTTAAAATCAAGCTAAAACATAAAAATCAGGTAACACAGGAAAGTGTTTGCAACCAAATATACACTACAAACACTACACGATCAAATGTAACGATTTAGCTACAAAATTTTATCTTTTAACGAATTGAATAAGATATAATTAAAAAAAGATGCCAGAATTACAGGCAGATTTAAATGAAGCGTATTTAATTAATCATGATAATAAGATTCCGCGCGTTCTAAAAGTATATACATAATTCAAAATTAAGGCAGCACGGGCGAGCAATCCTACATGCATGTAAAACTACAGTGCTAAACGCATGGCATTTGAAAAAAAGCTTTGAAGTGATCACTTATCAAACAATTCGTTCATATTTAATAATAATTAACGGCTGTCATTCTTACGATGGAAAGCGTCAAAGGTTTTTTCGATTTGTGCGTAAATGAAGCTTCTATCAATGAATCAACGATTAAAACTTTATACAAGCGTGAGTTAACCTATATTTATTATAAACTAGCAAAAACAAAAACACATGAGAAACAATTCTTGTTTGCAGACGGTTATAGGACAATTGCAATTAATTATGAAGTTAATGAAGAAGAACAGGTGGAAAATAGACCACAGGGGAAAAAGAAACGAAAAGGAGAAAATCAGGCAAATGAACCTGAGAAGTCTCTATTTCCACAGGTTAAACCTTTTAGTCCTATTGAGGTAATTAAACAATATTTTTTTTATTTCTATTGCATTCTATTTATTAAATTTACTTTCAGGGATGTGATGGATTAACTGTTTTGTTCCGACTTACAGTACATTTAGCTACAAAAGAGTTTTATGCAAAAATAGTGAGTATTAATCTTGTCAAAATCCATTAACTTTAATGTCACATTTTTTAGTCTAAAATGAGTGAATTTAAAAAATTTCACATAATTGCAGTTTTACCCTTAAATCAACAAATATTTAGTGTAGGTATACCAATTATATTTTCAATTATAAATATTTGTTGTTATTTTATTAATTAAATTGGTACTATTACAGGTGTGTTGCACAGAAATAGAAGCTGACATATTAACATTTAAATCACATTATAAGGCCGAATTTAAAGTATTGCGCAAACATTACAATCAATGCCTTGCTCATGGATATCATTTTGAGTTGTTATATGCGCCGACAATCACCAATGAGTCAAGCAGGCGCGTGATGATTTCAAACGCGCACAGCTTGCATGTGGTGGGCAAGTCGCGCAACGTAATTATTTCAAGTGGCATTAAGAGTGCAGTACAGATTCGAAGTCCATATGATGTCATTAATTTGTATCCTTTTTTATATTGATATATTAATGTTAGTTTTTATATTTTATTAAATATTATATCTTTCACTGAACCAATTAGAGGATTGATCTTTGGTCTCAATCAGGCTCAAAGTAAGATGGCGGTGATGCAAAATGGTCGAAATGTTTATTGTCACGCAGGTAACATCTTGTTATGCTAGAATTACTAAAATAACTTAATACTTTCGTCTTATTTTAATTCTGTGGTTTTCATACATTTTCTGTTTGTAAAATATTCTTAGAACATCGGAGCTGACTTTCTATTGTTCACTGTTTGCTTATGATTCTTGCAAGTGCTTGTTAAACTAACAATTATTTAAATTACAGTTAGCAGACGTTACGGAAAAATTGCAATGCTCTGCACGAATGTAGCGCCGATTGCAGGCGGAGAGGAATGCACTCAAATGGATGTTTCTGTTATTGAACTCGATGACGACGACGATGAAGATGTGGCGGATGTAGGACACCAGTTGAAGAAAATAAAAACTTAATAGAAATATTAATCTAACGGTTGTGCAAATTATTTGCATGCGCAGTTTGTGCGCAGGCAACTTTACATACCATTTTACAATAAAATTTTCCATTTTATCAACATTGAAACGTTTGTTTACACGGAAGATCAGTAATTTACCAGTTGTGAACAAAATTGGTCAGAGAATTTGTTGGGGCAATGGTAGACTTACATTTTTCGTTATTATTCTGGATATTACATTAGGTTTTATTTGGATAATGGTTTTAGATACTTATTATGCAACCAAGTATACAATTATATATCAATCTTTGTTTTGAGCAAATCTACAATGGTTGCTACTAAAATACCATTATTTAATTAAATCAATAAACCAATTATACGATTTGATATATTTTATAGTTGAACGTTTAGTTCATATTATATATTTTCTATTTTTTGCGAGACAAGAATTGTATTTGGCGCGGACGACTGCGCATGCGCGCGAGGCGCACATAATTGCTCGCCGCAACTCGAGGCGTCGCTTCAGTCGAGCACAAGCGTAATGATAAAATGGAGTACTCATTTATACATGCAAGTTTGTACACAAATTTTAATTAAGTAAAAATTTCGCGTAGTTTAAGTTCGCCGGTATCGGAGTGTCGTAGTGAGTGCGACTGTTTGTGAAATGCATCGAGTGGCGATCGCGACGATCGCATCGCTGGATTGAAGTGCTTCGGTTCCGTGTACATACAACACACACATCCGTCGTCGGCTCGGTTGGTCAGCGAGCAGCAAGCGGTGAGCGCGGTGATATTGGGATTTTCGGGAAGCGGTGTATGCCCGGCCTGAGAGACCGACGGTGTCCATGGTAAGTGATGATTTCCGATCGACGGTTCACCGAAAGGTGATTAAGGCGTCTCCACAAGCCCACCGGCGAGCAATTGATGTCTTCGGCGGCGCCGTTGCCGATGATTTTGCATAAATAGCGTCCATTTTCGTTAGCGCTGCTCCGAACATGCATAAGAGGGCATTGTGTTAATTTTTCACATGCGGCGCGCGCTTCGGCGGCGAATTGCGCCCACGGCGGCGCATGTTGGGCCGAATCGGTCATGCGGCATTGAGTAAAATGAGCGTTTAGTGGAATTTTTGCTTGCGCGCCGTCAAGCGAGCGGGCATGATCCGGTGTCGACCATTGCTGCGCTGCTGCCGTGCACCCGTATCACCTGATTGGTTGCATATTCGGTTTTAATTAAGGTAATTAAAATCTCTATGGCGTCTGTTGTATTGTCGAGAGCCGCCGCGAGAAAGCAAGTTGCGATTAGCGCAAGTCGGCGTATCGATGAATACCTGGATCTGTGAGCCTTTGCGCTGGCGTACGATTTCTTCGAGCCGAGTGTTTTATATTCGACGTGAAGAATTTGCCGTCATGTCGATGGAAGGTAATCGACTGTTGGGTGAGCACAACAAACAAAATATACATATACAATCCATTTTTATTAATGTGATTTCAATTTGAAAACGTTAAAAATAAACCGAAGAAAACATTTTCCCTTTAAATTCCAAATGGGGTATTTAAATTCACAACAGTTGACATCGCGATGAGCGAATGCATCTGAAGAATACGATTTGATGTATTCACAAGGTGTAGAGTACAGTAGGCATTTTTATTTGTTTCGCCGCGCGGCAAGAGATTCCCGGAGCGATGTGTTTGCCGGTGTGTTTGTGTGCGGTTGCTACGCCGCCGTGGACAGATCTCTGCCGCTCGCCGAATGGCGGTCTCCGCGTCGCGGTAAAGTTCATTGTTCGAACGTCGCGCGCGCGATGCCGCGGAATCCGATAAGTTCGTATAATTTCTATAGTTGCGGCGCGCGCGCCGGCCCGAACGCTTTAGCAATAATTACACACCCGTTCGGTCGCGTACGCTTTTTTTCCAAACGCACGGAATTGCCATCGTTTCATTCGGATTCGCCGTGCACGTCGTGAGAGCGGCCCCGCTCGCTTGGGTCGCTTGCGCCGGCTGGTGTGGTGTCTGGTGTCGGTGTGTGCGTCGCGCTCGAGACGCCCCGGCGCGTCGTCTCTTTTTCTCTTAAGGCGCTCCCGCGGCACGCACGCAACCAGATTAAGTACACATGCATGGCGCGTACCAAGTGTGCTCGTATACCTAAAGCTTGCGGTGTCGAGTATCCGATTCTGGAGAGGTAACGTTCTCTAAGATCCCACCCTGTGGAATATACAGAATGTAGTTGAAAACAAAAAATAAAAATGGAAAGGTTTTTTTGATTATGGTATGTTTTGTCGGATGTGTCCTACACCCTCCTGGATTCTATTCCGAACATTCGCGCACAACAATCGACGCACTACACGCAGGCATCACCCACCCCTGCTGCTAATCAATCTTTAATTATCAAAATCCAAGGATGTCATGCGTTTAAATACTGAAATTCTGCCCTCCCTTTCTAGTCTCCGCGACGCCTATAACAATCCCGATTGTGTTTATTTTTGTGCGTACCCGCTCGGCTTTTCCTTCCTCCCGTTTCATGCCCTCGTGCGTTAATGTCAACTGTGCTCCTCTTCCAGGCGTATGCATATAAGCAATAGCAAAGGGGAAGAGGAATGCAGTAAAATTGCCCGCGACACCCTCATCCCACCGATTTCCTGCGTCTCTAATTCTCCCGTTCGAGTTTGCCACTCGCTCAGCGTGCTGAGCGCGGAGGGATGACAAACGCATCCGTCTCCCGTTCTCTTTTTGACTTGAGTATTTTTTGCAAGACGGCAAGCGCGGTGTACACCCACACATTCAACAGATCTCTCTTTCGGGTGGTAAGCGCCGCGCCGCGCGTCACCATGACGACTTTTACTCGCGGGCGCAGTCGGACCCACCATTATAGGTCGCGCGACTCCGGCCCGCCGCCGGTTGTCGCTCGCGGGACTCAACGGGACGAGTTGAGAGCGTCGTCGCGGTCGTCGTGCTGAAGAGCGAAGAAGTGAGCGCGGCTCGAGTGAGTGACATCGAAGTGTGCGCGGCGCACCGCCGAGTCCATGTTTGCGTGCGCTCGCGCGCGCGAACGAACAGCCCATTTACGAATGCCGGCATGCGTTGGTGACCCTCTCCTGATGCGACGTGTGTCCATCTCTATTGTTAATCGACGGTCGGTCTTGACATCGCGCGCGTTGTAGGGGCTGCACTTACTTGCCGCGGTCACTCGGCGGTGCCATGCCGCTGCCGCGCGCTCGCCAATTTTATCTAAAAAATCAATAATACATGCGCGGGTCTCACGCCGGCTCGATGTCCCTCTCTCTGCGCTCTCTGTATTTTATCTCATTCATTTCTACCTCGATTTAATCACTCGCGCGGCACCGCCACCGCCAGTATCGTCGGCGGTCGACGTTGAGACGCGCGATATGGATGCCTAGTGTCTGTTTACCTTAGCCTTGCGGCGGGCGTGCAGCCGGTGTATGCCGACAAAATGAAAACAGAATCGTGAGACTCGTAATTTAGTTTGTTCTCGAGTTGCGACAATAACCCACTCGCTCGATGTACGTAGTCAGTACGTGACGTAGACTCAATTATTAACCTCAAAATTAGCTTACAACATTTGTTGTTCATTAGTTTAATTAATAATGTACCTAAGACACTTGCATCATATGATGTATTTTTTTGAAATGCAATAAGAATTGTTTTCGGTCTGAGGGTGAAAAGTCGTACAGCTTTTGTAGAATTTAGACAGCATAAGCGTATAGCTTTTCCCCTTTCGACTGAAGACCCAAGCTGCCTCCAGTTTTATTTAGCGTATAAATTATTACATTTAATAAATAAATAATTAAGGTTTAGTCGAATGCATTATGCAGTTTGTTTTTGTGCATGCCAGCGGCCCGCCGCGCTGCAATTATCGATTTTCGCTAATCGTGTTACTGAATTTTCGCGTTCCTGTTTTGCAGAGATGCTGTAATGAGATGAGCATCAACGAGGCCCCGATATGTGCCGCATAAAGCGATGGAGTCATACGACCTATTCGGCGAAGATGGAGGTATGTTGGAAGGCCTGCCCGAACTGGGTAATGATAATTTCGAGTCAGCGGTGACTGGAGCGCGCAATGCAAATCCATCGTTTCCGCAACAGCAACAGCCACAGCAGCAACAGCCTACCTACTCACAGGTACACGCAAGGAAAAATGTAATTTCGCTTTTTTTACTATTTGCTCTATAAGATAAATAAATAAGTTAACAGCGGGCCACTGTAGCTAATACGCGCGTACGCGTCCTGCTTGTAGTTGCAGCAGCAACAAGAAACTCCGCTGCAAAAGTTGGCATCATTTGGTGGTGGAGGCGAGTTCAACCACATGGATCCGAACGCGCAGAACATGTACGCGCAAGGGTACGGCGGCGACCGGCCGATGGGTCCGCCGGGAGCCGGTTATCCGCAGCATCAGCGACAAATGGCTCGTCCACCCGCCCCACAAGGGGGGACGAGTCAGTATCCCTATCAGCCGGATAATATGTATTCCATGCCCGATCAAATGAGTAAGTGTCACTTGCTTTATTTACGAGTTCGCTGAATTTACTACCACTAATCCATGCTCACAGGTATGCAAGCAGCAGCTGCACAAGGTTGGTCCCAGCACAGCGGTTATCCAATGCACCGATATCAGCAGATGAACGCCGCCTACCGGCAGCAGCACATGGGGTACCAACAAGAGCAGCAGAAACAGCAGTATCCGCCGACGCAACATCCAATGATGCAGCAACCGCACCAAACAAGCTATCCCATCCAACAAAGACACGCTGCATCACATTATCCTCAAGGCACATCGTATCCCAGCGCCGCGCAAGCTGCCGCTCAGGCGGCGTACGGCGGTTATATTCATCAACGTATGCCACATCATCATCAGTATCCGCAAACGCACCATCAGATGGACATGAGCGCTAGTCAAGCGCAGCAGTATAACCACATGGGCCACAGCCAGGCTATGTCGCATGCCGCACACGGCGGAGCGCCGACGGGCCACATGGGACAAACGCATCCGGGTCATCCAGCGGCTCAAACACATCCAGTTCATGCGGCGGCACAGGCGCATCCGGGTCACGCGGCGGCGCAGTCGCATGTACCACCGACACAACAAAGTCACGTACCTCAATCACATGCCCCGCCGACGCACGTTCCTCAAACGCACGTCGCTCCTACTCAGCAACAGCAGCCGCAACAACAACCACCGGCACAACAGAATCCAATGGTGCATCCGGGCATGGGATACCACCAGCCTACGATGCAACAAATGCAACAGCGTGGTATGGACGGGCCACCGGCGTCCGCAAGCCAGCAATTTCAAGCGAAGCATAATCAGAATCCGATGGGTAACGCGAGTCCGCAGTATCGTGCGCCTTTCCCGCAGCTATCGCCACAAATGTCCCCGCGACCGCAGATGTCACCGCGTCCGCAAGCGCCACAAATGTCCCCGCGGCCGGTGATGTCACCTGCAAAACCCAACTTATCACCACACCCACAAATGCAGCAATCGACGTTAAGTCCAAGACCTGCTACTAGTTTAACACCTAAGGCCACCGCTTCGCCCGCACCAGTACCAAATTACTCGCAGCAGAGTACGCTGCAGGCTCTCGAACAGATGGTTATGCCGCCTTCTAGTACTAACACAAACGAATATCCTTACCAGCGAAACGCATTGGGACCGTCGGTGGTGCCAAACCAGATACCTGTTTCATCACCGCATGTTCGTAATCAAATGGATCAATGGGGACAACCACAACCTCCCCAGCAACAGCAACCTCAAGCTGTACAGCCACAAGCCGTGCAACGTCAGCACGTGCCTAGCATGAACGGTATGAACATGATGGACCAGAACCCGATGGCGCAGAGTCAGCAACCAATGCCGCCTACTCAGCAGACACTGCCTCCTACACCGAACATCCCGAGCAGTATACAGAATACTCAGATGAGCATGTACAAAGACGACTTACGTTCTGACATGAAGTCGCAAATTCATGCGCCCGAATTAAGTCAACAATCTCAAGTACCACAACAACAGATGCCGCAACCTGTACAGCAGCAGATGATGCGCAGCGAGCCACAACAGTCCGAGTTGAGCGTGCAGAGTCCCACGACAAGCATGCCTGATAAACTGCCCAGTAGTACGACGCACGTGGACGTTCATAATTCGAATAGTATAGGAATGTCCTCATCGCATCCGTCGACACCTACCCCGTCTAGCACGACGGACGATCTAGCCAACAGTACCAATCAAGACTCATTGCTTGCTGATAAACAAAACGAAGACTCCTTGCTATCGCAATCGAGTAGTCAAGGTTTCGGCGACTATAATACGGTTACGTCTATGACACAAATGTATCAGCAACAAATGGTGCAGAAACCAAAGCAGATGGACGATTTGATGCCTTCAAACGTGTCTTCAGTATTTTCGCAGGATTCAATGACGACATTGCCACACGCGCATCCTCACGATGTTGGCGATTCGCAGAGTATTTTGCAACAAATTGGTCAAACGCAATCGCAAACGCAGAATATGATGAACCAACAACAAAATACGAACCAAATGATGACTGGACAGCATGGACGACATGAACACGCACAACACGCGCAGCAAAATCAGTCCTTGTCAATGCTATCGTCGGTTCAACAGTCGCAGACGCCGTCGGTGATGCAACAGCACAGTCTGCCTTCAATGCAACAACAAACATCCAACCTGCATGGCAGTATGCAACAGACCCAGCAACCGTCAGCGCAGTCCCAGCTCTACGATCAGAATGCACAGCAGCACATGATGGGCGCAAATGGGATGGCGATGAATCGTGGTATGCATCAAGGGATTACACCGATGTCGCACCAAAATATGAATATGGGAATGCCCACGTCCATGATGCCCAATATGCAACAGCAACCACAACATACTATAATGCCCACGGAAAACATGGGCTACCAACCACCTATTAGTCATCACCAAGAACGGGCGGCTCTGCAGCAACAACTTCAGGAACTTTATTGTATGCCACCTGCCCCTGAACATCAGGAAAAGATTGTTAACTTACAAGAACGATTAAGTATTCTAACGCAACATGAGCAAACCGAACAATGTAATGGTGGACCACAATGCGTTTTACAAAGTCCAATCTTCACCTCGCCTATGATTGACAGTCCGCAGGTGACTAGTACGACTGGAAGAGGTCGTGGACGTGGTGCCCCAAAGACTAAGAAACCTAGAAAACACAAGGGCGAGAAAGGTATGTCTCCCATTCCTATGTCACATATGAATAATATGAGTCCGATGGGATCACTTTCACATCAATTGCCTGTCTCAGAGGACTGCGTAACACCGGGCGCTGGTTTGAACTTGCCATCCAGTGATATGTCTGAGATGACAGAACTCGGGTCAGATCCTTTCGGTGATGACTTTGATGATGAAAAACCTAAAAAACGTGGAAAGAAAGGAAGAAAGCCAAAGGGAGACAAGTCGCCTAAAGAAGCTAAAACACCGAAAACGCCCAAGGAACGAAAGAAACGTGAACCAAAGGAACCAAGAATTAAGAGAAAGTACGTGCGCAAGAACAAGAAAGAAGTTGATGAGAGCATTACGGACGATTCTTTTAGTAAAAGCTTCGAAAACGGTGATGACCTGGAGAATGATAATGATGAATTAGAACGCGAACCGACGGAGTTGATTGAACGAGATACCGATTCTAAACCGCTGTTATCGGAATCTGAAAACACGATGGAAAAGATCGAGCCTGAGACTACAACGTTTTCTTCTCCGGAACCGGGTCCACCTTTACTTGAACCTGAAATAACACAGGATCCCTTGGAGAATATCGAAACTCCTGAGGATAATGAGACTGAACTTGAAGAAGATACTGATGTCAAAGAACCTCCTCAAAGTGAAGACGATGCACCTCTTATTGATTCCCAAAATAACCTTGAAGATGGCTATGTGGTAGAAAAAGAAGAAATTGAACTGGAAGAACAGGTATCAGCGGTCTTGAATGAACCTACAACTACTGAAAATTTCGAACCTAAGGAAGAAGAGGAGGAGGATGAAGATGAAAAGGCAGAAGAAGTTGAAGGTGCTACACAAGATGAAGGTGAAACATCTCTTGGGGAGAAATCTGAAACAGCTGCAGAAGGTGAAGAGGAAGCAACCACAGAGAAGACTGATGAAGAGAAGAAGAAAGACGAATATGCATTTGATGACAATTCCAGTCCGAAGGAGATTGAAGAGCTGCCCAAGAGAACTCCACGACGATCAAAGCCCAGTTCAAGTTCAAGAAGTCGAGTATCATCAAGTAGTAAAAAGCGTTCTGGTAAAAGCAAACGGCGTAAAGGTGCTATGGAACTCTTATCCGAAGGTGAAGGTGAGGACATGCCAACAACACCTCCGAGATCTCCACCAGCCGAAGAAGATAATTCTAATAAACGTCGCTCAGCGAGGAACACTCAACGCAAGAAATACATTGATGATGTTATGCTACGGTTTAGTGACGACGAGGCCCCTGTCTCCTCGAACTCTAATAAGAGCAAAAAGAGTGGCAGTTCATCAGCTTCTGCAGTAGCTCCAGCGGCTGGAAATAAAGATTCTGAAGAAACCCCGGTTGTTGAAACCAACGCTAACAAACCCAATTTTGTTTATGTAAATACCACCGAAGAGGACAGTATGGTTGTTCATCACATTTTGATATCTCGAATGGGTAAGCGACCAAAGAGGCCACCGGCGCCTCCCCCTGCTCCTGCACTACCTAAAGACGATATGAAAGAAGTGGCCGAAGAAGGCTTAGAGAAACCCGAAGACGGGGAAAATAAAGAAAATAAAGATGAGGTGAAAATTGAAGGTGAGGACGATGTAGGAAAGGATGGCAATGAAGGTAGCACAGATGAGAAACATGATATTGAAAACAAAACCGAGGAAGAAAAGGTAGCGAAAACAAAAATTGAGAAGGATGACGAACTTCTAGAGGAGGATAGTGCTGAACAAGAAAAGGCACCCAAATCTGTGGAGGGCGAGGATATGTTAGAAGACTTCAGTGAAAAACAAGTCAAGGATGTTGCTACGGAAGTGTCCGAGTCCGCTAAACCGGAATCTCTTGATGAAGATTCAAATGTTAAAGACGGTGATCAAATGGAAGTAGATGAAAAGAAGGCGGCTGCTGAAGTAGTACCAGTTGATAAATTGGATCAGGATGCAGTGCCCAAGGAAGGCAAAGGTGATGGCGATGATTCCACCGAAGAAAACAAGGACTCAGTTGAACCTAAAACGGAGAATAATGAAGATAAACTTATCGATTCGACGGAGTCGAAAGGTGTCGACGATGACAAAAGGGAGGAGGAAGAAGTCGAAATGATCGACGTTGAAGAATACTACGTCAAATATCGCAACTTTTCGTATCTCCATTGCGAATGGAAGACTGAAGAAGAGCTTTATAAAGGCGATAAACGCATCTCTAACAAAATTAAACGCTTTCGTCAAAAGCAAGCGACACAGATGAACATTTTCGAAAATCCCGAAGACGAGCCTTTCAATCCGGATTACGTTGAAGTGGACAGGGTGTTAGACGCTGCCGTTCACACCGATCCTATTACTAAAATTACTGTACGTCACTATCTTGTAAAATGGCGTTCTCTGCAATATGAAGATAGCACCTGGGAGTTGGAAGAAGACGTAGATCCCGACAAAATTAAACAATTCGAAAGATTCCGTAAAGTGCCACCACGCTCCGAATGGAAAATGAAGAAACGTCCATTGCCGGAACAGTGGGACAAACTGGATAAGTCGCCTATTTATAAGGGTGGCAACAGTTTGCGCGAGTACCAACTGGAGGGTCTAAACTGGTTAACGTTCTCGTGGTATAATGCTCGCAACTGTATCTTGGCCGACGAAATGGGTCTTGGGAAAACAATTCAGAGTTTAACATTTTTGCACGCTGCATATAAATATGGTATTCGAGGTCCATACTTGGTCATTGCACCATTATCCACAATACCAAATTGGCAACGTGAAATTGAAAGCTGGACAGACATGAACGTGGTGGTTTATCACGGATCGGCAGCTAGTCGGAACATGTTGCAAGAATACGAAATGTATTATAGGAATGATAAGGGAAACATTATCAAAGACATGACAAAGTTCAATATACTGATTACAACTTTTGAAATAATTGTTACCGATTTCGCCGATTTGAAACCATTCAATTGGCGCATTTGCGTCATTGATGAAGCCCATAGACTTAAAAATCGTAATTGTAAATTGCTCGAAGGTCTTCGCCAGTTAAATCTCGAACATCGCGTTCTACTTTCTGGCACGCCCTTGCAAAATAATATCAATGAGCTCTTCTCATTGCTCAACTTTCTTGAACCGGCGCAGTTTCCTTCGTCGGAGGCATTTCAGCAGGATTTTGGTGCATTAAAATCAGAAACGGAAGTAGAAAAGTTACAAACTATTCTTAAACCGATGATGTTAAGGCGATTGAAAGAAGACGTCGAAAAAAGTCTCGCCCCGAAGGAAGAAACCGTAGTTGAAGTGGAATTAACGAATATTCAGAAGAAATACTATCGTGGCATTCTCGAAAGGAACTTTTCTTTTCTGTCCAAGGGCACCACACACGCAAACATTCCGAATCTTATGAACACAATGATGGAATTACGTAAATGTTGCATACATCCTTACCTACTAAATGGAGCAGAAGAACAAATTCAGTACGAGTTTAAAAACCAACATGGAGAGGATAGCGACTCCTATTACAAAGCTCTGATTAATAGCAGCGGTAAAATGGTACTGATTGATAAGTTGCTGGCTAAACTAAAAGCAAATGGCCATCGCGTGCTTATCTTCTCACAAATGGTTCGTTGTTTGGATATCCTTGAAGATTACCTAATGTATCGAAAGTATCCATTTGAACGCATTGATGGTCGAATTCGCGGTAATATGCGACAAGCTGCTATTGATCGATATTCGCGACCCGATTCAGATCGTTTCGTATTTTTGCTTTGCACGAAAGCTGGTGGCTTGGGTATTAATTTAACCGCTGCTGACACGGTCATTATCTATGATAGTGATTGGAATCCTCAAAACGATCTGCAGGCACAGGCGCGTTGTCATCGTATTGGCCAACGAAAAATGGTTAAAATCTATCGGCTACTATGCAGGAATACGTATGAGCGTGAGATGTTCGATAAAGCGTCATTGAAGCTTGGTTTGGATAAAGCCGTTCTGCAAAGTATGAATACGGCACAGGGCAAAGACTCTGGCAATAAACAGTTGAGCAAGAAGGAGATTGAAGATTTACTAAAAAAAGGTGCTTACGGTGCGCTTTTGGACGAAGGCGACGGCGATAAATTCTGCGAAGAAGATATCGATGTCATTTTGGCGAGACGTACACAGGTTATTACTATGGAGTCGGAGAAGGGATCAACTTTCAGTAAAGCAACATTTGCAGCAAGCAACAATAGATCTGACATTAATATTGACGATCCCGATTTTTGGAACAAGTGGGCCAAGAAGGCCGACATTGACACAACTGAGAAAGATGATAGTGAAGACTTGGTACTTTCCGAACCAAGACGTAGGACGCAAATCAAGCGTTATGGGCATGATGAAGCTGCAATCGATATGTCCGAGCTTGAAAGTTCTTCAGATTCTGATCTAGAAGGTGACAACGTGGGAATTGGTGCTCGAAATCGTCGCCGAAAGGATAAGCAACGCAAACGGCTTCGTGGAGAAGAGTACTCTTTGAATAGAGAGAGCAATGAAATTGTTTATGGGAGTTGGGCTCGCAGGGAATGCTTCATGATTGAACGCGGATTACTTACCTTTGGATGGGGCCGATGGACGGAAATTTTGGCACACTCTCAGCTTCGTAAAGGATGGCGAGAGCAGGATGTAGAAGATTGTGCCAGGGTTATTGTAAGTAACGTAACTTGAAATTTCTTTGTTAACTATATAATGATGAATATCATGCTAATTTCGAGAATGTATTTGGCATTCTATGAAAACACCTCAACTTCTCAAACACTGATTCTCTCGATAGTCATAATTATTGTAAGCTTTTACTAAGTTGTGATAAAACATATTATATTTTTCAGTTGTTATTCTGTTTACGTTTCTACCGCGGTGATGAGAAAATACGCTCGTTTATATGGGATCTCATATCACCCCTTGAAAATGGTGAACAGAAAATAAGCAAGAACCATCAAGGTCTTAAAGATCCAGTGCCTAGAGGAATTCGAAATAAAAAGAAGAGTAAAGGTGCTGCAGCAGCAGCAGCCGCTGCGGCCGCCAAGGAAACAAAACACGCTGCACTTACAGATCCAAATCATTGGTCAAAGAGTGAAAAGTACGACGGTGACATTTTCTTGGAAAGTAACTACAAGAAACATTTGAGTCGTCACGCCAACAAGTAATTAATACTTTTTAATGTGTTATAATGTAACGGATTCAGCATTTAATGAAATTGTGATTTTTAGGGTGCTACTTCGTGTTAGAATGCTATACTACATTAAACATGAAATAATCGGCGACCTGGTGCAGCACATCGCCGATGGGGTCAACGCTAGGTACGTGGGAGTGCTTGCTATCTATCTCATTGATTTGTCATGAAGGGTTCTATTACTCTATGCATGTGCTTGCGGTGGCCATACCAATGTTCAGTGGCTACTTTTGCAGCAATCGCAGTGATACATGCGGTTTGCAAAAAAGTGCGCTTATATTATTTACCACACACACTCATTTTTATATTCGATCGTTTTCATTGAGCTTTTTTGGTGCTTTTCTTAACCCTGATATTTGCAATTTTGTTTGATCGTTAATCATTATTTTACCATTTATTACATATATTCACGCACTATTATTATAATGTTAATCACGACAACGTACTGGTAATTATGCTCGTAAGTTCTCGTTGCGCTATTGCGAAATAGCGCGTGGCAAATCGAATCGAAGACAGGGTACGGCACTAAGAAGTGATGAACGTTGAATACCAAATTGCGTATGCGATAAATTTAATTTCTTGATAGCAAATCAAACTCGAATCGTTCTAATGTATATAGTTTATTTCTTTTCTTTTTGATAATTTATTACTACAGCGATAATTTTTCTGTTAATTTGGTGCGAATCAAAATTGTTTTGATTATGAATTGGCTTTTACGTGGTGATTCGCAGTGCCCTGCCTATAAATCCGCCGCTAACGGATCAAGTGCCGGGCGAGTGGTGGGACGCCGATTGTGACAAGTCCCTGCTCGTCGGCACCTGGAAACACGGCTATGAGATGTACTCGGAGATGCGCGTCGATCCTACCTTGTGCTTCCTCTCCCGCTGTGGCCCGCCTACTGATCGCGAACTACAGAACACTAACACCCAACCCGCTACGCCTGCACCGTAAGTAGATCATTTTATTTTGATTTTGTTCTTAGCAGAAGATCAACTGTAGCGGAGTTACGACCAATGTAAAAGGTTTCGAATTAATCTCCACTGTGCTTTGATATGCACGGAGATTTTCTCGAATCATGTTTAGATTTAAGTATATAGTTCATCAATGTCTCCATGGGATGATCCGTTGTGGTCGTTATAAAACCGTAAGTAGTAGCAAGACACGACGACAAAATCAGCTTCAGCCAGTTTTGTGCACGTTTTACATTTCGTACTGTTTTGGTTTTTGTGTATGTCCTATGTGTTATGTTTGTCTGAAATTTACTAATGATTACATCACACCCATTAGTCGTTTATATCGTATTACTTGTACCCGATTGCGTTATTTAGTTGGCAATTTCTTTTAGTGATGAATTGGAGGACGATAACTCCAACGAAGATGGAAAGAAACTTGACGGCAAGTCTGATGGCACTGAACCATCGCCAGGACCATCCGTCGGGGGTGACACACCAACTACAACTGACACCGTCGACATCGACGATCCGGTGGTTATCATTGAAGAAAAGAACATGTGGCCATCAGCCACCGACCTCAATACAAGATTGCGTCGTGTAATTACTTCGTATCAAAGGAATGTGCGGCGTGATGAACCTTCCTCGCAGACACCACCACCTGCCACTCCACCACAATCGGTGCAACCGCCGTCAAAGCCTTCGACGCCACAACCACCAACAATTAAGAGTTCTTCAAAGACAGTCCTGAAGGTATGTTTTTTTTTCGCCCGCATTATTTAACGTCACTCCACTAGTCTAATAAACTTTACGGTTCATTTATATCAAGGCAATGCAAACATCAGAAGATCGATGTGACCTTTTGTCATAAGTGTTAATATTAATACTTCTTTTATTAATTTTCTATTTGTGGTGTTATATTGGAGGGCGCCAAGCCTTTTCCGAAGTACTTTCCTTCATTTACTTTCAATTTGAACGTTATTTTTCTTTGATTCAATATTAATTCGTGCATCGCACTATTTATTTATAAATGGTGCATGTAGTTTGCATTATGTCGAGAGAATGTGTAGAATGTAGTCAAAACTTGCACTCCGCAGCAGCCCGCTGACCAATCCGCTTTGTCGAATCCATTGGCCGCCCTGGCCCAGGTATCGCAACTAGAGGGACGAGATCCATCGTCGTTGAACAACCTCCACGGATGGGATCTTCAACAGCTTGCTCTTTATCTTCTGGTTAGTATATTGTCTAAATGATAAAGATAAAAAAGAACTTAAAATGTAAATCAACAAATACTTCACGTGCACGTATAGCGGTCAAGTTACAATTCATTTAATTCAATTTCACCCATTGGTCATTTTTTATTGATTCGTTTGTCCTACAAGAAGTAAGTTGAAACTGCGTGTAAATCGGAACACACCAAGTACTGCGGTCAAAACATAGAGAGCATTCAACTCATTAGATTATGATTAACGTTTCTAATTTGAGATGGTGTAGATTTTTCTTAAACTAAACAATTAAACAATCTACGTTTTAAAACAACGTTTAATGCATATAATTACAAGGTAAGTGTACCTGTTTGTGTAATTTTAATGCTCCCTTCTCCGTTACCGTAACTCGTTCACGGAATGTACTTGTTTCTATTGATTTTATTTGGACCGATACGCTGTGAATAGCTGTGTAATTACAGCAATTAGGTAGTAATAATCAATCGATGATAAGTCCGCCTTGTGCTACACATGGGTAACCTTTTGCGATGTTTGTTTTTCTTTTTCACAGATGGAACGGCAAGGCAAGTTGGATTCAGTAATACGCGATAAAGATCGTTCGAACATTGCTAAGAAATGGACAAAACGTGAGGAGGCAGACTTTTTCCGCGTCGTATCATCGTACGGTATCAATTATTACCGAAAGAAAAAACTTTTCGACTGGAATAAGTTCAAACAGCTGGCGAAATTGGAGAAAAAGGCTGATGAAGATTTGACTGACTATTATAAGAACTTTGTTGTAATGTGCAAGAAACAAGCCGGTGTCAAATTAGATGACGAGCACTACGATACTAGCATTGAGCATGTTACGGAGGAGAAAGCGCGGAGGACTTTGGATCGACTCGATCTTTTATCGAAAATTCGTGAAGAGGTAATTACGCATTCGAAATTGGACGAGCGCTTAAAAGTTTGCCAGACATCAGCGGATATGCCTGATTGGTGGATTCCCGGCCAGCACGACAAAGATTTATTGCTGGGTGTTTCAAAGTAAGTTACTTGCAATATTTCTGTTGTAAAATAATAAACATTATGTTTGTATTAATTACAGGCATGGTTTGGGACGAACTGAGTATTATATACTCAATGATCCAGAACTTTCCTTCCAAGAAATTCTACGCCGTAAGGTTCAATCTGTTATAGAACCAGAAAAAACTGATATGAAAGACGCTATCAAGTTTGAGTGCCGCGAAGATATACTGAAATTTGATAAAAATGAAATTCTCGTCAAACTTGAAAAAGGAGAGGGGACGTTAAAGATTGAAAAAGTTGCTCTTAAGAAGGAAGACGACAAGGTTGAAAAACTTGATGAAAAGGAAAACCAAGTGGAATTGACTCTTGTGAAAACTGAGAAGGAAATTACCGAAGAAAAGGAACCAGAAACAGCTGAAGAAGAAAGCAAGTCTACCGATGCAGCAGAGGTTCAAGCGCCTGAAGAAAAAGGCTTCGAACATGACGATGAAGTGAAAGACTTAAGCAAGGAAGAAGTTAGTACCAACAATGAAACTGATCAGAAGAAAGATGCATGTGACGAAGTGGGAGTGATAGATGATAAAGTTGAAGAGGAAAAGGAAAGTTCTGAGAAAGAAGAATCTGTAAAGGAGGTAGTACCGAACGACGAAGTGGAAAAAATGGAAATTGACGAGAAGGAAAAGGAAACTGTGAAAAAAGATGAAGATGTTGTAACGGAAGAGACAAAACAGGAAATCATTGCAAAACCTACTGATGAACCATGTTCTAAAGAAGTAAAAATTGACAATGATACTAATGAACAAGATGCTACATCTGAAAAGAAAGATATTGAAGTGAAAGAGACAGAAATTTCTGCTTCAGTAGAAGCTGAAATCAAGCCATCTGATGTTGCAGAACCTGAAAAAGTTCTCAATGTTAAAGAAGACGAGAACGTTGATATTTCTGAGAAAGATGAATGTGATTCCAAAATAGCCTCGGAAAAAACTGAAAATCAGGCAGACAAAGAAGAGGGTCACCCAGATGAGAAATCTGATTCTCCAAAAACTCCTGCAACCAGCGAAGCGCCCGAAGAGAAGACAGAAAACAAGACCGACGACGACATCACTATCATCGATGATTCGAAGAAGACTATCGACGAACCTAAGGTTATTGATGCTGATTCGAAAGCTGTACCTGCTAAAGAGGAGTCTGAAGAACCCATGTGTTTGGATTCGAAGCAGATTGAGAAGGAGGCAGCTCCTCCAATGCTTTCAGAAGCTGAAAAACAAATTAAAAAGGAAGAACTTGAAAAAGACATTATTGACGCTGATCTGTGTTCCAAGCAGGCAGCGGAATTGAAGGCCAAGTTTCCTGACTTGGAAGTGATCCAACCGCTTTCAAGAGCTTCTACTCAAGCCCAGGCACAGGTACAATCTGAAACGTCTGCACTTAAAGATAAACACAGCGCTGGTGAGTATCTTTTAATATTTGCTTAACTTTGCTTTTCTTTTATATGTTAATTCATTATTCATTACTTTAGCAGCGTTGGACTTTAGCGAAACTACCGTCGCTCAACTTTTCAATAACGCTGCAAAGTGGCCCAAAGAGTACGCAATTCAAGTGCGTCTTCAACACATCATTTACGCAATTGAAACTAAGGAATGGCCGGCACCTAAGAGGTTCTCTGCGTACGCCAGTGGCATTGGTAATGAATATGACATTCCCATCCACGAACTACCCAATGCAGAGCCTTCAAAGCGTGAAACGGCTACACCGATATCATTGGGAGACTTGGAAGTTATCTCCGTGCCTTCGGAATTTAAGCGCGGAGTGCCCACTTTGCAGAGCAACACTGCTGTCCCCAATAAGAAGCGTAAGCGGCATATTGCTATCGATGTAGAAACTGATCGCGCAAAATTGCACGCACTTCTGAACAGCTCACATCTTGGTGGAAACCCAATGAGCAAACATGGCTCTTGGGATGACGATTCTGATGATAATCGACGGTCGAAAAACGTGAACAGTATGTTGCAACCACCACCTGCCCATCAACACGGTGGTACTAAGATCACGTCCTTACCGTTTGACTTAAAATATACTCCACCTTTATCAAAAACGCAAATTGGTCAAACAACCGTTATACCTGGTACTAGTAGCACTTTGACTCCCATAGATTTAAGCTCTGGGTAAGTGTTTTGGTTGGTCAATAATTTACTATTTATTAATTCATTTATTTGTATTATTTAGGTTACCGAAGATGAACACTTTAGAGATACCCAAAGTGTCGAATCAGGATATGCACAATGAAGTACAGGATTTCTCTATGCCTTCCAAGAAGTCACAAGGCAAATTGGGTGGGAACAAGCTAGACGATACTTTATCGAAGTTAATGAAGCGGAAAAACTGCGTAAGACTTTGATATACAAGTTTTGTTAATGCCGATTTTAATAAACATGCGTTATTACAGCCCGAACCAGAACCAGTTGTCGGAAAGGAGAAGAAACGTCGTAAACTAGACGAAATTGTGCTCGGATTAAGCGCCGCCAAGGAGCAATCTCTCTTCAGCGATCCTACGCCGAAAAAGCAAACAATTACTCCAAGTGTAACTGTCATTCCTACCTCAGCTCCCGTTAGTTCAGCACACAACCAATCTCAGAAGCCGTTCTCGCTCACGGTTACGTCAGTGCCATCATCGTCTGCTTCGTCAACGTCGTCGCGTAACACTTTGCAAAACATGATGGCTTTAGGAGGGGGAAAAGATTCTTTTAACGCATTGCTGGCACAAGCCGAACAGCAAACGATGCTGCTGAAAAAACAGCAGCAACAACAACAACGCAAGAATTACGAATCCCTTATAGCGGACATCAGCAAAGTAGCCGATTTTAGTAAACAGGTGGGTGGGTACTCGCACGAGGCAAAAGTAAATAAATGGCTGGCAGAGCAAAACCCAACTTTAGCTGATCAACCGTTGGGGGCAGAGTACTTACCAACGCGGAGACGGCGAACCCGAGTAGATCATCAACAGCAGCAACAACAACAACAACAGCAGCAGCACCAACAGCCACACATGGTTGATTGGAAGAAATTTACTGGCGACGAGCCTGTGTCAGTTATTCATAAAATGACTGGTAAGAAATTGACAGGAATTAAGGCGCCTATGCTGAAAAACTTAAGCACTTGGCTTATGGATAACCCGATGTACGACATCGACCCCAAATGGGGTGAAATGGCTGCTAAGGAGCGTAGTTACGCTCCCGAGATGCACAAACGTGTGAGCGTAAATAGCAGTAGCAGCAGCAATAAAAAGACGAATTCTCAGGGACGTCCACCAGTATTATCGAGTCCAACTGGTTCTACATCAAGTGTGAGCTCGGCAAATTTGGCTACATCCATGTCTTCAAGCTTGTCATTCCCATCTTTAAGTCAATCCGGTTTGAGCGGTCTGAACTCAAGCTTGCTTTCGGGGCTGTCGGGCCTAGGACAATTTGATCCGAAAAATCCACTTTTGATGCCGTTTGGGGGTATGCCAAATATGAACGCATTGAGTTCGATGGGCGGGTTGGGTAACTTAACAAATATGAACCTCTTTGCTAATCTGGCAAGCTTGGGACTACCGGGTTTAGCTGGAATGGACCCCTCAGCAATGACTGGTGAGACTAGTAAACCTTCGAAATCCTCAACGAGCAGTTCAAAATCTAAAGGAGAGTCTCATGCATCAAGTAGCAAAGCAGCAGCGAGCGCTGCCAGCAATATTTCTACAACAAATCCATTCCCATTTTTCTTCCCCAATCCGTCATTGTTATACACACCGCTCGGGTTAGGAGGCCTCAGCCCGTTCTCATTGCAACCTGGTTTATCCTATGATGCTTTAGCACAATGCGGCTTATTGAACGGTGGACTCAACCCTGCAGCTTCGCCTAAATCGAAAAGTTCCCGAGCACAAACAACGACGACATCGGCGACGGCAACGCAAAGTTCAGCGAGTACTAAGAGTAGTCGAGCAAGGGATGCACAAATACAACAGTTACTATTACCCCCTGACACTCATTTACTAGAGTCTTTAACTAAAGCTGCGGCAAAAGACAAAAAAGCGTCTGATGCAGAGAAGAGGAAGGCGTTCGAAAGCTTAAGCAAAATGTTGCCTACCGACTTTATGACGCCGGACAAAACGAAAAAGATTCCCGGTTTTCCAGACTTCAACAAACTTCTAGAACAGGTTAATCCAATGGCAGCCGCAGCCGCGGGCAGCTCTAGCAAGAAGAGTCACGAGCAACAAATGAAGGAAGCGATCGAACAACTAAGTAAAACCACTAGCGCTGAACTTTTAGCGCGAGCGTCCATGATGAGCGATGAACATCTTAAATCATCGTCTTCGAAGCGGTCACGTGAAGTTCACGAACCAGTGCCGCATAACTTTACTATGCCGGAAGATTTAGCTCCTCCTGCGAAGAAAACTCGCGCAGAGGAGCCTCTGCCGATGTTGCCGCCGAGCGTGACTTTGTCGCCAGCAAACACACCAGGACCGTCCACGGGCGGCCCGGTAGACATTGAAGCGCTGCTGCCACCGTCGACTGTGGTCAAATCTAGCAGCATGCCGTCGTCATCACCGATATCGCATGAAGACAAGGCCGATAAGCCACACACGCGTTCATCTTCGATCGATCAGGAAGAACCCGAACAAGAAAAGGAAGGGGAAAAGGACACGGCGGACGAAAATACCGAAGATGCGCCGAAGAAGAACGCCAAACGGACTAGAGGTAAACGCAAGTCAGGTGATTTAATGCCCATCGATCCAGAAAGCATCCGCGAGAAGAAGAATCTGCGCAGCAGTGCTAGTCGTTCTGCGGCTGCTGCACAGGCGCGTGCCGAACGTGCCGAGCGCGAGCGGCAAATGGAGGAGGAAGCGCTGCGAGCGCAGAGGGAAGCCGACTGATCGAAGGGGAACAAGCGGACGCGGTTTAATTTGTAACTCTTCATTCTGACACAAATATTCACTCATTGATAGTTTTCATAAGTAGAATTTTGATACGACTCTTTATTGGATTAATTGGACTGGAGAGCGTCGAAATGTAGTGTTTTAAAAACATCAAAATTGGAAAAATGGGCTTTTTAAAAACTAAAATAATATTATTTTAGGTGCGGACTGTGATAAACAATAATGAACTATTCTTATTATTTTACTACCTACTTTCTACAAAAGCTACGAAACCCAAGAATATTAATACATGAACGAAGCGAACGCGGATGCAAACTACGTTTTAAATAAATAACATTTAAAATTTGTATACAAACTGGATGATGCGTGTAATGAGTGAGATTTTTGAGTGTGAGGAACTTTCCAATGCTCAACTTACGCGAAAATTGCGAGAAGACGTCATTAAACTAAAGGGGACGCGTATGTATTAAAATAATTATCACATGGACGGCGCAATGACTTGATTAACTACGCAACAATTAAATACGCTTGAATTTTGTGGAAAACGAGATACTCGCGCATGCTACGGAAGTGTGAAGGCTCGCGCCTACGAAATGTCTTCGTGCACCCAACAATTTTAACATAAAAATGATAAATAGGCGTAAACATAAATTTAAACGTTTTAGATTATTGTATAATCAAATTGTAATAATTGTAGATGGACTGTTTAAAAAAAACTTGATTTTTCACTTCGATAAGAAATAACATACATACATTGGCATTGTGTAAATTCTCGAATTAATTGTATTGCTGCAGGCGCATCAGTGCCGATGATTTAAAGCGTGAAGCGAAAAAGTTAAACATCGTGTTTTAAAGTATTATTTTTATACGAAATTTGATATTCGTTCACACAAATTGTAAATACTTTTCCATGAGTGCAGTACTTCTACTGGTACTTTCTTTTTCTTCTTGGCACTAGCGACATAATGTGGGAATGTTCTAATGCTAATTGGAAAAAACATAAGTTTGTGAAATGATGTTTAACTTTTTTTTATCATTTTGAAAAGAAAACCCGGCCTATGACAAGCAAAAATGTACACAAATTATACATCTTTCATGATATATTATTTTGATTATGACTATTTATTTAAAAAGAAACTGATAAATACAAGTATAGTTGTGCATTATTTACAAATTTGTATAGTTTTGCACGATCGATATGACGATTTGCTAGTTTGGTAATTGTAATGAAGTGGAGTTATGTTTCTATTTGTATATAAATGGGAGATAATTTTGTTGTTTAAAACAGAAGGTTTGCAATTTGGTGGATTTACTGTGTTATTGGAATTATGACAAAGTGAACTACGATGACGAGTAAGGAAGATATTCACACAGAAACTGTAGTATTTGATAATTTGTAATTGACTGCGTTCACTACTAATATCAAGAGAAGTGAGCGATTAAGATTTGTGAATGAAGGACATTTTCGATGTAAACAAATTCGTGTAAATAGCAGGTGTTTCTACATTTTATTATTTCATTTTTTTTTTGTAACATGTATGCATAATGTTTCGTTTCTAATTATTACGACAACGATTGGACAAACTATGAACATTATTGCGGCGAACCGATCGTTTCGAAAAACACAATCATGAAGTTCACGATCACAACACGCAAATCTACATGCAGACTATGTTTTGACGGAACGAAGATGGAAGTGTTACGACTCATTGTGTATGTTTATATATAGTTATATAAGTCTGATAATCCTAATATTTATTAGGTTATTATATAACGATAGTTAATTTTTTATTTTTATTATTTTATTAATCACGGTTTCGAAAATAGTGCGCGTATTTATTTTTTTCTTAATATCTCTCTAAAGCTGTTGATAAAGTTCTGTGTACATCCAATGTTTGAAGAGACACCACGGAATAAGCAATGATGGGCGTTTTCAGTTATTTTATTATCCCTACTTTCACTCCACACGTATACACAATGCAATCTACAATTTGCAGTATTGTATTTACAAATTGACTTTCAATAACAAAAATTATCGGGATTCCATTTGAACCATTGCATTTAATACTGAACAATGACTTCATTGATAGATCTGTCGTACACTAATCTTATTAAACTGTGCAGCAAATATTGTTAAACGGTGACAAAACATAAGCATAATTATCAGTAAACTCTGATTCTTTTTATGTTTTAGTATAATATGGACAGGAGTTGCAAGGATACAAAGTAAAAGCCGCTGTGGTGACGATGATTTTGTTTATAATTGTGTATAATTGCGAAAATTAAAATAATACATACATGATAGTTAAATTCTATTTTCCATAGTTCCTTACCTATTGATTGAAATGAATGAAAATTTATCCACGCAAATGAATACAAACAGAAATCCTACATCCTTTTAGCAATTTTTAGAATAGCACTTAAAATCAAATTATCATTAAGTATGATTGCTGGTAACATTAGATTTGTAATAATAACGTGGATATTTTCCATAAAATTTTGTGGCATTTATCAGTAGCACTTGTAACACTGTCCTAAGATGAGAAAATTGATAGGTCGTTCTTTGCGTATCTATAAAATATTTGGTTGTTATCCCATGTTTGAAGGACATAGAACATGGAATATAGTGTACGGTCTGTTTTTATGCGTTTTCTATTCTTTTACAACAATTGCATTTACTTACCTGTCAATTCATGAAAGTGGAATTGATAAAGAGTTAATAATTGGAATGTTTCAAACGTACCTACAACTTGTACTAAATTTAAACATCATTATTAGAACAAATATTCTTTCACAGTTTGGACTTGTTTTGGCCGAGATCAAACGCATTCATGTTTTGAGTAAAGAGACATTTAATAAGAACGAAGATGATAATGCTGACTACAATAAGTTTTATTCTTTGCATAATTTTAAAACGATTGTTCTATATATCTTCTTTATTCTAATTTTGGTACTTGGATACTTCGGTTGGGGTTATCGATTTCCTAGCGGCTATATTTTAAAGCAAATTTCACAGTTTTATGCCTTTGTAACTATAGTATTGCAGTGGCAAGTGTTGCTATATTTACAATGGAAAATTGTCTTATGGAATAAACAGTTTTCAACTGAATTCACAAATAAGTTCCCTAACATGAATGATATTAAATGTAGACGCGTGTTGTATAGAATTGAACTTCACTTAGAATTGTTAAATACAAAACGGAGTGCTTGTGAAAAATTTAACAATTATTTTGGGCTACACATGTTATTTCAGATCATTGTTTCTGCACAAAATTTATTAGGATTTATACAAAGTTTAATAGGATTCACTCGGAATAGATTCACACCGTTCTTCTCAGTCTGTCTCATTTCGAATTTGACTTTTCGAATGGTAAAGTGATGACATATACATTATGTATTTGAACATTAATATTTTATTAACATTTTGTTTGTTTTAGGCATTAGGCACTGTGGTTGCAGTTAAATGTCAGCACATTCGGCACGAATACGATAAAACTAAAGTCCAGGCCTTTAAAACTTCACAGCGCTTGCAATACCTTGTTCAATTCGAAAATAAATGGAATAAAGATTTGATTAGGTTGTGCAAAGAAACTACAAGGCCAATAAAATTTGATGCATTTGGCTTTTTTAATGTAGATTACTCAACTATTTTCATGTTTGTTAATTTAATAATAACATATGTTATTGTTATTATACAATTCTCAACACAATCCTATCAACCAATGTATTTTATCGTTGATAAGCCGGAGAATATTAGTTTTTCAATAATGTCTTAGACGCATGTGTTTCATTGCGAATCATCAATTAAGAGTATGTATTGATAAACATTATACAGACATGCACACAAAGTAGCATGCAGATAAAAGTGTCAAATTTAAATGAAGTCATGCGCAGTAAAGTATAATGTTATGGTAAAGTTTGTGTATTTGATGTTTAATATTGTATTTCGCAGAAGTTTGATAGACGTTTGTTACTTTAGTTTTTTGTCTCGCCACCTTTCTTGATAATCTTTTGACATTTGATAAATAGCTAGCAGTAAAGTACGTCCTGTGCTGATTACAATTATCTCTTACTTTTCAGTCTATTTAGATATAAACAAACAAGGGTATACTTGGAATAAACGATCGGAATTCGTTTAAGTAATGACATCACAAGCAAAGTGCATTTTAATCTGTTGCCTGTAACGTCCCTGCTAGGTGGACTTTTTTTAATGATTGCATTGAAATTATCATATATACGTGTACGCCTCATTACTTGATTATTTCCTTGTAATAAATTATATTCTTTTTCATTCATAAAAACTATATTAACAAGAACTACTTAGCGTACGTTTGTTCACTTGTCCATACTTCTGACGCGCGCTCACCATTGGAAATACCCAACAGTCGACGCTGTGTATAGAAAACACAGCGCAAATAAATCTTGGGATAAACCGTGACCGTCCGCACCGAGTGCCGGTCGCATTTCACGGCAATAAATAAATAAATCAGCTCTGTCCGAGTGGGAGATATACAACTCTGATCAGCTTGCAACAAGTTCATGAGGGCCACTCATCCTCGCACCACGCTCCTACTAGTCCTCCGTCGGCTTTTCGGCATGTATTAAAGTGTTTACCGTGATCGGTCAAAACGTTCAGTTTCCAGTCGACCGTCGGCGGTTGATGGTTGAGCGACGCTGAACAAAACAACAACTAACAAGTTAATTTGCCATATTCCGAAGGTAAGCAATTAATAAATATTTACTTCGTATTTCCCACATTATCTCGAAAGTAACATGTTTGTACTGAATGCACATGATTTGATTCGCGGAAGAGATTTCATCTATGTGGATAATAAATATCCCGATGTGAAAGGACCTTGAAGCTAACTCTAAATTTTGCATGTGCTTATTTATTAATAGAAAACCGGCTTTTGCTTTTTCATTGAAGTTAACACGTTCAACTGAAGATAATTATATTTATTATACAAATGTGGATATAAAAGTCAAAATGGAATTTCATTTATTGCGATGAACCTAATTTAAAAAACAAAAATCTAATTATGGGCTATTATAAACTAAGATGTTAGCAAGTTACTGCTAATCATAAATCTTACATGGCGTCGTGACTTCTCAGAGTTATTTAATTACTTTGTTTATAAACACATAAAAACTTACATAACACGTTCGAATCGATAAGCGGTTGACCATAAATAGGAGTTGTGTATTGTATTAATGAAATTAATTAAGCGAGAGGATGATTCCAATGTCGAGGTGAAGGTTGAGTTTTATTGCGTTTGCAATGCACTTTATAAATCGCAAATGTTATTACGCGTTGCTGTGAGGGCTAGCAATAAATTGAGGCGTTAAATCACAACAACTATAGTTCAACCAAGGTTTTCTGAATCAATAGTTTTATAGTACTTGTCAAAATTAATGCTCTGCAATATTTACTAATTTATTATTGTTTTTAGAAAAGGTGTAAGCACAAAAATGCGTGGTGTATTTGTGTTAGCACTTTTGCCGCTTGTATTGGCATCTCCACTATCGCCAATTAGTCCACCATCATCAACAGAAACATTGGTTGTAGTTACGGATACGGTACCAACCACAGAAACAAATGAAGGCACTACACTCAGAGAGGTGAGTTATTATTATTGCATTAACTAGCTTTTAACTCGCACCAACATTTTAAAAATTTTATTACCAAAAAATTTGTGGTTTTGTAATTATAGCTGGGAAAAGTTGCGTCTCCAGTCATCAAAGAGATGGATATCATGTCTAACGTCACCAACCGCTTCTCTTCTACTCTCGTTAAGAGCAAAGTGAAGAACGAGGCTCCCATCGCACAAGAAGTTACCTTTTTTATCGTTCTTCCTGATCAAGCTTTTATTTCCGGATTTATCATGGAAATTGGTGGAAAAAATTATACCGCTTACGTTGATGAAAAAGAAAAGGCTAAACAAACTTACGACGACGTAAGCAGAGTCAATTTGTTTTATATTCATATTTTTAATTAAATCGGTTAATTTCTTCTTCAGGCCGTTCTTTCTGGTATTGGTGCTGCTCACGTTGCAGTATCCGCACGTGATTCAAACAAATTCACCGTAAGTGTGAATGTTGAGCCGGAGAGTAAAGCCGTGTTTTATCTCAACTACGAAGAGCTTCTTGATCGTAAAGATGGCCGCTACGAACTTGTTCTCAACATTCATCCGAACCAATTAGTGAAGCATATGAATGTACAAGTCGATATTATGGAGTCGCGCCCAATTACCTCTATTAAGACGCCGCCGTTACGCTCGGGCAATGAAATTATTAAAGAAAATCCTAAGCTAGATCCTAAAGCAACCATTGAACACCCCACACCGGAAACAGCTAGGGTTACCTTTAAACCTGATTATAATCAGCAGAAAGAAATTGCACAGGGCTTAGGCAAGGAAGAAAACGAAGGTATTGGTGGCCAGTTTGTGGTGCAATATGACGTCGAGCGTGATCCACAGGGTGGCGAGGTTCTAGTAAAGGATGGTTACTTTGTTCACTTTTTTGCTCCCTCAGATTTGAAACCTTTAGATAAACATGTTGTGTTTGTGTTGGACACCAGCGGAAGCATGTACGATCGTAAAATGAACCAACTTAAAACCGCCATGCACAATATTCTTGGAGAACTCAATCCTAAAGATTTGTTTAATTTGGTCGAGTTTAATACAAATGTTAAGGTATGGAATTTAGATGCACCGACAGAAAGCACATTGTTTCCAAGTTCGGAAGATAGTTGGTACAGTGGAGATAAAATATTTGACTTGTCGGTAAGGATTAAAATTATATTTTATATTTTTATTTTTATTCATTGTTTTACAATTTTCAGGATGTTTCTTTTCCGCCTGCGTATCCAGTTAATAATAACACAATTAAAAAGGCTAACAAATATGTTGATCAGATGTTTGCTACTGGTGGCACCAACATTTACGAAGCACTTCGTGTTGGTTTACATTTGGTTAAACTGAGGCAGACGAGAACCGGTGACAAGAATGCTCAACCCTTAATCGTTTTCCTCACTGACGGTGATCCCACTGTAGGCAAGACATCGCCAACGGATATTATCAGCCAGGTTCACTTCACCATAGCACTTTAGCACATATTGTTACTTAAGCATTTAATTGATTTCAGATCCAAGAACAAAATCTTGCAAAGGTGCCAATTATTTCTTTATCTTTTGGTACCGGTGCCGATAGATCATTTTTGCAAAAACTTTCTTTGCGTAACACCGGCTTTGCTCGACACATTTACGAAGACTCTGACGCCAGTCTTCAACTTGAAAACTTTTATAAAGAAATCTCATCACCATTACTACACAACATCAAATTTGTTTACACTCCTGATGTGACCAGTCTAACACGCACCGAGTTTCCCATTTTGTACGGCGGCGCCGAGATTGTTGTCTGCGGTACCTTCCCCGGAAACGAATTTAACAAAGAGGCTAGTAAGGTAGTGTCGTGGGGACGCAACGGACCTATTGATTTATTGCCTTCTGTACAAAGGGCTACAGGTCAACTTGAAAGGTACCCAAAATGAAAGCCATAAAAGTCGTAAAATAGTAAATATTGATCACTAACTTGTTGAATTATATTGACAGGCTATGGGCTTACATGACAATTAAACGCTATCTGGACGCCAAAGATGTTGCAGTTGGCAATACCACAGAGTATGAAAAGAAAGCGCTTGATTTGGCAAAAAAATATTCTTTTGTAACTCCCGTTACTTCGTTGGTTGTTGTAAAACCGAATGCCACATCTAAACCAGTAGAGACAGAAGCTGCCGATCAGGCTAACTTCCCTGTTTCACAGTATGCATTGCAATCATTCCCTGCTGTTGGTCGTAAGTATCCGAACTATACATTTTACAACATATTTAACGTCTTTTCTTTTAATACTTGTTTTTGGTTGATGCTTATTCTTCTACCTTGGTGCACACTTATTGATGTCACGCAATTTTTTATCTATAGATCGTAGCTTCATTCTACCCTTATCAGGTATACTTTTGAACTTTATTTTTTTACTCTATTTTCTTAACATCACTTTTTTTTACTTATTTTTCGTGCTTAGTGAATGCGATGCAACCGCAATACTCACGTAAGTTTATTTCTATTAAATGAAATTCAGTAATAGTTCACTAATTCATTGGGAATTTTATATTTCATGGAAACAGATAGAAGTCATTTTGTACCTAAAAAGCTTACTTCACGAATACGTTGTAAGTTTTAACCTGCAGAATTTTCTTTAGTCACAATTTGACTTGGATCATCAAAACAAGCTTCATCTAAAACCAAATTTACATTATAATTTATTTTTTATAGTCTCAGGAGTGCCCGCACCAGCAATGTTTTATCCAGGACCAATGTCAACAAAAACTGCTGGAGGTGGATTCGGCGGTGGTGCTGTTGGGTTCGGCGGTGGATATGCGAGTGCAGGACCAGCAACACCTTTTAATCAACATGTTGATTCTCATCCCATTGCAGAAGAGGATGCTGATATTAGGGTGCTGATAGCGGCGGAATCATCCACCATCACGATATCAACTACAACCCAGGAAGCAGTGACCTTGCCTCCAGAACACGCCCAAAAGTTACCATGGTTGCAAGAAAAGATGAATCCTGACGGCACTCTTAATTTCTTGAAAGGCAAATATCAGCTTGGGTTCAATGAAACGTCGCCATTGGATGAAGATTGTACAGATCCCAAGAGCGAAGAAGGATTGTGCGTTCTTCTTAAGGATTGTGAGGCTTTGTACCCCCAGCTAACTTCAACACAAACATTCAAGGATTATTTCTGTATTATTGGTGATAAGTACGTGGAATACTTTTTTTATATTTAATTTAGTATACTTTATATTTGATAAATGCTTTATTCATTTTCTTTGTTTTAGCCTTGCTGGAGTCTGCTGCTCGAAAAAATACCGATCAATGGAGAAAGCGCCAGAACCATAATTTTTTATTCATGATTACTAGTTGTAAGGATATATTTTGGTATTTAAAATAAAGTTGTTTTGCAAATACTGTTTTATGTATAGAGTGTGTATGTACTTATTGTTTAATTTTGTTTAGTATGTGAAGTGCTCGAGACAGACTGGGATTTAAAATATTGTTGTTCAGATATTCTATACTGACATTGACACTATTCATTTTTCAGTTTTATTTTAACAGACCTTTTCTTAACGTTTATAAATATAAGCGATACAATTATCGCTACCAAAATGGACGATTTTTGTCAGTATAACCTATTTCGCAAACCACGGCCAGCACTATTTATTCCGCCCCCCTATGACAAACCCAGCGAAACACACTGCGAGCGAATGCAAACTCCTCTGTTACATCTGCGCGCAACAGATCCATCGAAGATTCTCTTGCTGTGCGAGTCTTTAAAAGACCAATGTACGATGGATTTGGAGGCTAAAATCAATTGCTACGTATGGATTAAGGTTCCTTTTAAAATCAATAATAATAGATACCTTTTAGTTAATGATTGAAGCTGAGTGCGACTGCGCATTTATGGCTTTCTTTGAAGTTCTTCCCAAGTTGGCTGTTGTAAAAGTAATGGGCGTTCATGCCTTAGAGCCAGAAATTCAACTACCAACTAGTGACCCAGCAATAGCCACCATTGGAGAAAATAAAGCTGGAGTAAACTTTGCAATTGAAAATCTTCCGCCTGTTTTGTTACAGCAGTTAGAAGCGTTGAAACTTGATCTAGAGGGCGGCGACATCATGGCTTATCCAATTTTTGAACAAAAGCATCGTAACGGGATAGCCGAGGAAACTTCAACATTAAGTCTTGCTGTTTTCATAATAAACTCAACACGTCAGAAAATATTTCTTAAGGATATTGTTCAAGAATGTTTTCGTTTTGTCTTGCCGATACTGACGAGTACTATCGCTTTCGAACGCCAAAGTAAGATCAAAGGACGTTTGCAGGAGTTGCTTGAAATCGGGCGAGTCCTATTTGACAATCTCAATGACAGAGAGCAACTATTAAATAAGATCATGGAGCGTGGAAAGTGCATTTTCGAAAGCGAACGATGCGACATATATTTTATTGATGAAAAACAGAAGAATCTTGAAGCCAATGTAATATGCAATGGGAAACTTGTTTTGGATGTAGTTTCTAAGAATCAAGGAGTTATAGGTTTTTACAGCCTTCTACTCAAGTTACGAGTATATTTTAAGTTTTACATATATTTTAGGAATGTCATATACACAGAACAAATTGTTAAATATTGAAAATGCTCATGACAATCCTCTATTCCTCAAAAGTGACGATGAAAAATGCGCATATCACACTCGCAACATTCTATGCTTCCCAATACCTCACAAAGAGAAAGTACTTGGTTGTATACAGATGCGTAACAAGTTCGGGGGAGATTTTAATGTTTTCGATGAAAATATCACATCTTACTTTGCAACCTATGTTGCTCTTGCCATCTCTCAGTGCGAGATGTTGACGCAACTTCGCGCAAAGAATGCTCGGCATGATATCTCCAATAAATTACTTCTCTTCCAGTTTGATTTTCGTGAAGCGGAGGTAGAACATTTGCTCAACGCGCAAAGACATGATTTGAATGGATTCAATTTTCCAACGTTCAATTCTCGTACCGTGCCGTATCATCGAATTGGCGTGTGTATGATGAAAATGTTTGAAGATTTAAATTTTATCCAAAAGTATAAGTTGGAACGAAGAGCTCTGGCAAAGTTTTTGGTTCTGGTACAGAAAGGATACTTTAATCATCCATATCATAATTATGATCATGCATTCAGCGTCGCGCATTTTATCTACTCAACGGTATGTTATTTGCAATTATTGGAGCGAAATGTTTTGACGTAAGTAACCTAACCTATCATAACCTTTTTAAATATATTGATATATTGCGTTTTAATCATTTTTAGAGGGTTAGATGTAATAGCATTATTGATAGCCGCCATTTGCCACAACGTTGATCATCATGGAATGTCAAACCCATTCAGAACGGTAGAAGAATCAACATTTGCAAGTCTATATTCCAGTTCAAGATCAATTATGGAAACCCATCACTTTGCACAAACAATGACTATATTGAATTCAGAGGTTTGTTTATTAACTGATAATTCTGTAATAAATACCTCAACTTTATTTCTATCTAGGGTTGTAACTTCCTTGCTAATTTTTCATCGGAAGACTATTCGAGTATAGTAAGCATGATTCGAGGCAATATAATTGCCACTGATTATGCGGAACATTTAAAACACTTCAAAAAACAAGAAATTCTACTAACGGTAACTCATTATCATGTAAATATTTTTATGCATTCAACACAGCCATTTTTAGAAAAACTTCAAACCGCGTCTATTAGAGCACAAGTTACTCTTCTGTGCTTTACTAATGACATGTGGTGATTTTGTTGACCACGTTCGTGACTGGAGAACGGTCCGCACTGCGGTTGCACAAATGTATGAAGAGTATTTTAGACAGGGTGACTTGGAGAGAGAAATGGGAAAAGTTCCAAACGAAATGATGGACAGAGAAAAAGCTCGCATACCGTTGCTGCAAATTAATTTACTGAAAGATGTAGTTCTTCCGCCTTATGAGTAAGTGAATATGTTTTTTAAACTATCAACAAATAATGTCATGATTAATATTTTTATAGATTGCTAGTAAAGGTATATCCCGATATGCACTTCTGCATTGATGCTATTTATGAGAATATAACAAACTGGGAGCTTTCCAAAGCACACTTTTTGCAGCGTGTGCCATCGGACGCGACTTCAATCGAATTGTTAATGGGAAATCAGCTCAGCATGACTAATTTCCATTCTGTTGAAGAAGAACATCACGTTGAAACCGAGGAGTCTTACGTCTATGACTACGATGATTAATTTTTTTGCATTTTTTAAAATTCTTATTTCATAGTAAATAGTCAAAAATCAAATAATGTATGAAGTAATAAATGTATATGCAGTTGCCTATAGTGAATGTATATAGGTTTGCAGTATTGTCATGTGACGAAGAAGAGGCGGCGCAACACATACACCAATGCAAGCAGAAATACGAAGCAATGTTTTTATTAATAACCACATGCAGACAACAGGTAACAACAATTTTCCGCGATGACCTTGAGGCTGCGAATGCATAACAACTGTAACTGGCACGCGCGCGCACTCACAATTCATTGCTTATTTATTAATTATTAATTATTGTATTTTCTCTGGTTATTATTGGTTTTTAACGTGCAGGAATACTAATGGGCAGATGCTGCGTGCACGCGGCTCGCGTACTTGTTGCACGCTTTGCATAACGAAAGTGACATTGCATCGGTGGATTTTTTTTTTCAGTATTCTTGGAATGCAAATGAAAGCCATTGTTTCTGCCGAATGAGTTTCGCGTGACGTGGATTTCCATTGTGGAACAAATGTTCGACATTCGGGATCGTATTATAGCGCTCAGCGGTTGGAAGGATGCCAGGACGCGCGCGAGTCGCGGGATAAAAAGTAAATGCGATCTTCGGGCTAGGATGTTAGGAAGGAGCAGGCTGGCACGCAGGCAGGCGGCGGTGACGGCGTCGGCGTCGAGAAGGGAGCATCTCGAAGTGACGCCCGCTGACGCAACGCCGTTTGTCGCTGTGGGCTCCGCGAGGGGGAGCGGAGCGTGCCAGGCGAAGCAGCGGCAAGCGTATGCCATCGGCAGCCAAGTCGGTTCAGGCGGCCGGCCAACATTCAGCCAGGCGCAATCGAGAAGTGGATGGCGCGTGGTGCGGCGGCAGCCAGAGCCAAGCATTCGACGTCGTCGCAGCGCGCCGAGCGCAACTCGACGGACGAGCCGACGTGCAGTGAGTTACGCCAGCAGGAGTTGTGGTTGTCGCGAGTGCGCGCCCCCGCCGACGTCCAGCCCCGCACAGGTGAGTGCGCCTTTCTTGCACTTTCTCCCTAGTTCGCGCGCGGCCCTATGTTATGAGCGCTATATGCATATGCACACATGCGCGAAACGTAAATACACAAAACTCGCTCGTCGCTAGCCTGACGTCAGCGCACCACGTGCTCGCGCGCGAAGAGCCGGGACTCGCGACGCAAATGAATAATTCAATTTGCCGCCGACCTAAATACAACAAAACAGATCTTCTTTTCGAGCAGCGGCAGGCGATTACTATAAACGTGCGAAGCGCGCATTCTGCGTGTGTGTCGCCGCTGGTCGCTTCCATCTGTTTTCGTGCATGTCTATTACCATTACGAACGCATCATCTGCGCGATGTTTGCATGTGTACATGTGTGTGCTTGACTAGGCACACGGATCGCCTGTTCTTTCCTTGACTCGCTGTTGCGTCGTCGCCGTGTGACATTTTGACCTTCGTCGGGCTCGCAGCCGCAGCGCGACCATTTCAATAGCATTGTAATTGCGAGCGTGTGCAATTGAAGCGCGCGGCCATCTATATTCTTTGGCCAGCGAGGTGACGCGCGATGCTCCCTTTTTGAGATTTTTCACAGGCGAGGAGCGATGCGGACGCATGATAATACTCCGCCGTGGAAACCTTGGCTTAAGCCATATATACATGTGACGTACACATGTTCTAAATATTTCAAACATTGTCTAAGTTAGAAGCGCTTGAAAAGTTCGCTCAGAAGTGGATTGTGGATTGGGCACGTACACAATCGACAAGGAAAACTGTTTTCAACGCGAAAACAAACGATGAAGCATTGAGAGTTTATATTGCCACATACGGTATGAGTAGAAGTATGTACAAAATTCAATTCGAAGTTCTTGCATGTTGGACGCAAAGTCGCTGATAACGCTTATCAGTTTGTTTGTCGAATGTGCGGTTACAACGCGGCACGGCATGCCGGCGCGGCCAGGGGGAAATCCTCAGCGTGTGTGCGCCGCGCGCGAGAACCCAACGACGACGTCGCCGATGTATGTTTCTTGTCGCTTACGTAATCAGCGCGCCGCGAAAATACACTCGCGCGCTTATGGTGCTTCTCTTCGGGAACATGGATGGCGTCGCCCCGCGCGCCCGCTCCTCCCCGGCGTCGCATGTATTGATCCGCTCTTCAGCGCCGCGCTCCCGACGCCTGCATGCCTCCTCCCGAAGCGGACTGCGGACAAAGAAGTAAAGTAGCGCAACGTGCGGGTAGCAGACACCAGAGATTCTTTTCCCTCTTTAATTCATCCTCCTCTCTATGTGCCTGGCTCTTGCTGAGTTCAGCGTTTACCATCATCAATATCATCATCATCGTAAGACGCTTCTTTCATGCTTGTAGTTCGAATTGACGATTGAACACTGAGGCGCTGAAAGGCAAAAGTGGCCAAGCCGCGCCTATGTGCCACCGGAAATTGCTGGCGTAATCTTTAATTCAGGAAGACGGGATCTACTTATGCACACTCTGCAATTACTTCTTATGCTGGCGTGTGTTGGATTGGAGTCATGCGAGTCGCGCAGCGTCGTGTTACAAGCGCTCTTATTGTGCACCGCGGTCAAAGAGCGACTTTCGCATAGGAACAGTACGAGCGCAGGAAAATGATTTTTGTCATACGTGCGCATTGCTTGCTTGCCTCTTTTAGCCGCTAGCATCTAGTATTTCTAAGAGATGAACACGTGGACGACATCTTTGCCTTCTTCATTTAAACTTGACACATCTCTTACACACAGTATGTTGTTTCGAATTGATAGTGCTATTTTTTATAATACACTATTGATCCTAAATCCAACTAGTAGTAACAATTCGATTGTTCTCCGGCTGGCCATTATCGATTTGTGGAGGCCGTGCGGTAATATTAAAACGACTTTCCGAACACAGTCCGACGAGCGGCAATTGTTTCGGATCGATTTTTGTTTTCCTTTTCTCCACTTTCCAGCCTGTGCCCGCTGCTACCTACGCGAAGAGCAGGCTCAGGCTGGCGCACTGCAGCACCGGGTTTTCCCAGCAGCAGCAGCGCTCTCATCGCTCGCCTGTGTGCTTCTATCAATGCCTGTGGCCTTAATTCATCATAACGTGGCATCATGCGAGCGGCAGCCAGGCTACGTCTAGAGTTGTCGTCGAAACTCTTCACGCTTATCTTATCATTCGAGCAATTTGCTTAATCAGCGAAACACCTCATCAAAAATCGCGGTATTGACATTGTTGTATGTTTGTGAATTGTTAAACATTTGCAGTGCCGCGCGCTAGTCGACTCAAAGAAACCGTATTGTGGTGTTGCTAAACATCATTTGCGTATTTACCGCCGTATTAATAGCAAGCGGGCACCGGCTTTAAAAACGACGAAGAAAAACAAATTTATTTCACAACAAACAAATAGCGCGCAGCAGCAGCAAAACAATAACGCTCGTAAACAATCCAATGTCGATCTGAGGTTGCTTTGTCGACATACATTGTACGTCTGTACTTATTGCTAGATTTACTGGACTGATGTTCATATTGGAATTGTCGCCGCTCAGAGTTAATTGACGAATTCAATTAAGATACAAAATCAATAGACGTGCATATAGACTTAAGACAGTTACATCCATATCTATTTATGAGTAATGATCAGTACTGTTCGGATTTCTTCCGATTACGTAATGAAATCATCCATTTATGTATGTGAAGAGTTAACGATTATTCTAAACTCGATTCAAAGATATTCTTTAGATAATTTTTAACAAAGATACGTACAGTTGGAATAAAATTGGATCATGCCATGATGTTGAAATTTCACACTTTGTCATATTTCTGATTAATTTTGATAACAATCTAATGATTCTTATCTCTACACAACGCAAAAATTTCAATTGACTTGAAATTATTTCATCATTGTGCTTTATCAATTAAAAATTATAATACTGTGAAAGGTATTTAATGGGCACACAATGAAGCGCGTCATCGTTTAAGGATACACTCCTTGTTGTACCATTGAATTTCCATGCAGTTCCGTATGATAAAACACTCCTATTTGCATAAGCAAAACGGAAATGAGTGGCGTATTGTAAAAACGTCACACCATCGTCACTGAAATGTAAGGAAAAATTAGGATATTTCATCATAAATAGATAAATATAAATTGTTTTAATTTTGTGTTTTAATGGTGAACTGATAAATTTCGTGTTGTTGGACCTGATTTCATTGGTATGATAAAGCTACTTTGTATAATGACAACGTGTTAAGTGAAATTGAAGGACTTTTGGTGTTCGCTTTTTACTGTTACGATGATACCATATTCTCTGGCATCAATAAGCGTATGAAAGTAAAAACGCACACATCATGAAGAAAATATCATATCGGTACGCCCAAAATATGAACATAAGTACCACGTGCGCAAACAAACCGAATCATTTCTTCTGCTGCGCATTGCGACATGCTACTAAATCAAATATTGATATTGAATGCTAATGATAGCGATAATAATGCGTTTAGTAATTGAATCGCTGCACATTGTATCGCACAATGCGCTCAATAAAAGAATAAAAGCGAGCGCAAACAACAACGCTAGTCGAGAGCTAAGTGCGGCGATGAGCACGCAAACAAGGCGCACAAATTGCGAATATTCATGGCGCGTTCGTCTCACTGCCGACTGCAACAATAGACAAAAAGAAGCACCTCTAACGTCCAAAGAATGGCTCGTCTCTTGCATCGATGCTAAGTGCTAATTGTCCCATTGAGCGCTGTAGGCGGCCAACTAACGACTAATCGACACCGGCAGTTGTCTCTAATCAATAAAACAAATAGCAATCGAACATACATCGAACGCCACACATCCAATGCGTTGTTGCATAATGTGCGCCTGTGCAACTCGCTCTTTGTGCGCAGCGCTTCGCCTTGGCGAGGCGGCGGCAAAGGTTCTGTCATCGTCACAGTCATCGGGCCATGGCGAAGACGATTGTTTTCGATGCGTAATTACGAATTTGTTTATAACATCAAGCGAACGCATGCCTACGATGTGTATGCATTTAACTTCTATGCTCTGCGCTGTTATTAGTTCATGTCGGTTAGCGGGATAGTCAGTCTGTTCGACGAATTAGTTTCGGTCGACGACGAAGTATTCATCGAATGCGCGCGCCTGCGCCTCTTCAATTGTTTTTGACGTCATCTGTGGTCGAGCAGCACGCGAGCCTTCTGCGCGTTAACAAATCGCATCCGTGGAGAGATCGGCGAAAACAGGAGCCAGCGAGAAAAGCCCACAGCGTGTGCGGGATCGGTCATAGATCACACACACACACACACACACACACATATATATATATATGCATATCATAGAGACTTTTGTAATGCAAACGATGCAAACCTTCCAAATGCAGCAGCTGCGAAGCGGCAAGGAGTAACAATTTGGGCCGCGCCCGTTTGGCAATGGCTCTTATCGAGAGCAGCGCCATGATGGCGATGATGCCGCGCGGATGATAAAGGCTTTCGCAATTGTACATCGCTGGTGTGTACACACTGCTCAACTGTGTGTGAACATGAAGAACGATAAGATAAGCCGTTATATGCGGCGATATATGATGGTGAAAAAAGAGTTTTGTCGAGTTTGTCGACAATATTTGTGTTTCGAAATTTCGATGCGTGCGCAGGCGTTCTTGGACGGCTTGTACAAACTTAGCGAGTATTGCAAACAGACGCTTTCCATACCAACGGCGATGCGTGTTTTTAAGAACGCACTGGCTTCGGCGCTCGAATTTAAATTTGGATTTGTTACTAGCTGGTTGCGATCGCACAGCACCAACTACCACAGCGCGAGGAACCATCGCGAGCGTCCCTCGCTTTTGGCTCCTTCTTATATAGTTTTTTGGCAGGCCTTCAATAAACAAGTCCGGCCGTCCATTCGCGCTTGCAACGTCCGGCGGCGGCGTTGCTCTCACGTTAGACGCAAACGTTTATTCGATCTGGTTTAAATCGGGAACGGCCTCCAAGAGAGATCTTCGAAAAATCCTGCAAACAAAACTCTCGCGGGCGCCGACAGCGCCCCTGCACGGGAAAATGAAGGAGCGCGCGATTCGCTTCGCTCCGAAAAAAACATTCCGCCAAGGCGATATGCCGCGCCATGGTAAATACAAGACGTGCCTCGGTCGGTTGTTGTTTGTCTATTATCACCATGGTAACCCAATAACCTACTTATAAACATTGCGGTGAGCCAGGCAGCGGCGATAAATGAAAATTGACAATTCGTTTAGTGTTTTTATCTTTCCTCCCTTGCCCATTCATGCCACAGCGTATGGCTTCCTTCTAAAATTGGACGTTTGCGTTGAAAGAAGCGCCCATTTAATTCGTCAGATGCGCGCCGGAGGAACGTAGAGTATCTGTAGCTGTACGCAAGTGCAAAGCAAGACGGCGTCGCGGCGCTTCTTCAGTCGGCTCTGGGTGCGGTCGATGCCAAACCAACAGAGCCAGAAGCGAGTGACGTCGTCGCGCCGCGAGAGGCAGGACGCAGGAGAGTTCTCGCTCGTCGGCGCTCTCGCCAACACCGTCGTCGGCGCTCACGGGCAGACCGACAGCCGACGAAATCGTCGTTGTCGTTGGCTGCGTGTGCGATACTCGCGTGTGGTTGCCGGCGCGCTGGTCGCCCGCGCCTCTGCCTGTGTAAGTTCCGTGGCTCCGAGTGGCTCTGCATACGCGCGCGGCGAAGTCTGCAGGAAGGAGTGCAGCCCAAGCGGTGCGAGCGTAGCTCGGCGAACGCCAGCGCCGAAGCATTCTATCAGCAGCCCCCGGTCTATAAACGAGCGCGCCTCGTCGTCCGACAGTGCTGTTAAGTGCATACGAGTTTACAAGTGCGTGTTATCAGCGTGCGCGGAGAGCGCAATAAACGACGCGCTAACTGACATCGCTGCTCGGTGTTGCCGAGCGCGAACCATCAAACCAGCGCACAGTGCCAAATAATAGTGCACAAGAAGTTCGGACTTTGAACGGATGCGCGTCGAGTGGCATCGGGAGCCATCCAAAGAGGTATTTAGTGTTTAATTTAATAACAGGCGTGTTGCAAACAGTGTCATCGTTTGAATATCATATTGTTTGTCTGTCTGATGCGCGCGTGGCGAGAATGCGTCGGTGCCATCGATGACTTTTGGCAAGTGTTGGATCACCGCATAGTTAAGCGCCGCGGTGCGTCCAGAAGCAACAGAAGGTCTAAGCGGCGGCGCTCTATTTTAAGATGCGTCCTCGCGCCCGTGCCTGTTTTGCGTTCTCCGTCCGTATTTGTGTGTTCACTCTTGAAGTTTTTTCGTCGCTGCCATATACACCCATACTTATACGTGTGCTGAAATTGCGTACTTCAAAAGTCGCGCCGCGCGCTTCTTTCGAAAGAGGATAACACACATTCACAACCGAGATACAACCGGGCGAGTGTTTACGTTTCGCACAAAAATTTCGCGCGCGGCGAAACAAAACAAATCCGCCCGATTCTAACGCTAAACGGAGTCATTCAGCGATCGGGATGTGGCACATCGATGTCTACGAGACGATTTACAATGACTCACTGGTTCATATTTATAATAACAATGCTAGGGAGGGAGCATCGGCGCGCCGCGTAGCGGCACGGATTCATGCTCAATTTTAGCGCACGTAAAAACGCGATTAATATTTAAATAATGTGCGGCGCGCACGAATTAGACGTAAAGGAACCGCGCGATAAGGACAAAAAATATTGAACATTGTGCCAGACGTGGGTGACATCTACACGGAGCGCGGCGTACTTTTCACACCTGGCAGCACGTGCCGGGAACGCGCTTTTTTTTAAATATTCGCGCGACGCGTCACAAGGACACGCGTAATATTAAATGCAATTATACTTGGTGCACATCTTCAAGGTGACCACAAAATGGAATGATAGCGACGAAGGCGAAGCGCAAGATTGCGATCAACGTGTCTTGCGAGCGAACACGTCATCGCAACATAGACGGTCACCTGGAGGACTTTTTCTTGTTTCTTCGTAATCGCGACTCGCGAGTGTTACGGCACGACTTTTTTGAAATCCGTGTCAGTCGTACGCAGCGTACGCTTGTTGTATTCGTAACATCATCGCACACGCGTCGAGCGCGGTATGCATGAGTGTGCGCCGTTTGACCTTCGACTTTGTAGATGTATTTATGTTATGTAAACGATTAACTGCATCCTAAGGTCATCTAGTTAAAAGTATCCAGGCAAGCGAGCACATCAGCGAGACGAGAACGAATAAAAACTCATACGCGTTGCTGCACGGGAGCGCGCGTCAAGCGCCAAGAAGCGCGAGAACTTCTTCATCTCGCGCTGCCGGCGATCAAGGTTCTACGAAAATTGGTCGTGGCGAAAGTCGCGAAGCGGAAATTATTGTCGGGGTGGACGCGGTCGCGCAAGTAGATAAGGAGCGCGCTCGTGCACGCCGCGCGAGCGAGAGTGATATTCGCTTTTGTCATGAATGGCTAACATGGAGAACAGCCGTGGTGTGCGCGTGCGGCTGCGAGCACCGGCTTACAACGAATCCCGTTAAATTACGGGTTTTCACTCTCGACGGAATCCCGTTTCTCACGGCTGGCCGACTCGAAAAGCAGCTGAAGAGCGTCGTCGCGGCCCAATCGGTTCTTGTCCCGCACGGCAGCGAGAGTGCACGTGTGCTCACGAGTGAATGCCGTTCGACGAGGGCCGCTCCGTTGCGCTTCCTCGTTTTGTTTCAGTGTGTCAATGTTACACTTTTGTTTTCAATATCGAGTTCTCAGTTCTAATCGCTCGTTTTTACATGTACTACACCGGATGTAGCATATTACAGTAGATTGCAAATAGTTCTAACCGAATCACACTTTTAAATTTATGGTTATCTTATCTTATACTTATTTGCATTTATCAGAAAATTGGGATGTTTGCATCATCAGAATTCAGTATTTCAGTCTTTGCACGTAGATTTTCTTTGAGTTCTTTTTCGAAAAATTTATGACGCGCCTGCGCATTTTCAAGTACTCGTAGTTGATTACCAATTGCATATGAAAGCCATTCTAAGCGCACTGTATTCACTTTTAGTTTTCATCATGAAGCGGTCTTATACATGTAAAATATTTTTGATTTAGATTATATGATTTGGTGCTCCAATGTCACATTGACGTTATTTTTTGGTTAATACTTTGTAACAATAACGCGCAGATGTCGACGTTTTTAAATCCTGAACATTGCTAAGAAAAGTGACCTTTAGATTGTCTTGTCACTGGTTGCTCACGTCAAAATAGAAATAATTATCGCATTGCTTTCAAGTGTCGCTGATTGCACAAAACATTAAACTTGAAAAGACGGGACGCAGTCCGTCAAACATACACACACACACACACACACACACGAAAAAATCTAATGAACATTTACAATTTTCAAAGTAAGCAGAATGCACAAATAAATTTACGCGGCGTAATTGTTTACGTCCATTTGCAGACGCATGAATTTCAGCAACGCAGGGTCGAAATTGCACTCGCCACTTTGCATAATTTTATTTTTATCGCATTCGTGAGTGCGCGCCGGATTGCGCATGCATTTATAAATTGTGCGTGATGCGCTTGCTCTCCCCGTCCCGCGCTTATTAAATAATCAACAGGTTGGGCGCGACCTTTGCACTCTCAATTTGATCTGTGGTAGCGCCATATGCGCGCGGACGCTCTTCGACGCCTTTATTTAGTAATTAGACTCAATGCCAGCGGTCCTGCGCTTTTCTTTGCATGCTGCGTTTCGCAAATGATACGAGACGGTCTAATGTCTAATCAATAAAACGTTTATCTTGCCCAGTGGCCGCAAAAAATGAAAACAAGAACAAACATGCGAATGCAATTAATCGCCTTGTGGTTAATCTTGGGTTTCGATGCAGAATAAGGAAACCAACAAACAAACCCAAAAATAAATAAAACGTGGAACGTCGCTGCGTTTTTAGTATGTACATTTAATACGAATGTGTTCATCCTTATGCAATGTTCTTTTGTGTGTACTTTGTGCATTTGCGGCGTCCTCTCCTCGCTTTTTTACGAGCGCCAAGTGCAGACACGAAACTTGTTTTTGCACACACGGCTGCGATTTATTCGCGATCGCTAATTACGGTTGTTAGTATCGTTACGTCGCCGATTGTCTCCGAATGCACTTTGTCGCCGCTTGCGCCCGCGTCACGAATATGTGCAGCCGTTCAGCGCCGCACCGAATTGACGACACACGTGCCGCATACTCGCGATGATTATAGCGCGCATTCTTAAACTCCTTTGCCTGAAAAAAATAAAATCCAATATCGCTCCGAATAGCTGAAAAGCGGTCGCAGCTACACGAAATTGATAACGAGCGCGCTGCCGCGCCGACATGTTTATCGCGCGTGCGCTCAAACAGCGTTCGACAATTAATAAGAAGCATTTTCAGCGCAATTAACTAATTACACTTAATTTTCTTCGCTGGACTACTTACAGCGACTCTGTGTGTCTGTACTTAGACGCAATCTCGTTTCGTATTTACATATTTGTACGCGGGCACGCGGCGACATCGACATAAAGAACCTGCGTAAGAGGACGTGTTCGGTTCGCGTATCGTACGTGATTCAGATGAGTACTTAAAAGAAACACACAACATGGTTATATTGTTCGTAAGAATGGTGTCTAGGCTGGCGTTGTCCTCGCACAGTTTCACTGATAAAGTATTGTGGCAATGACGCAAGCCTTGCTTTTGCCTGCGCGCTTGCTGCAGCAAGTTTTGTAAGTAAGCGACGATCGTCAATTTGATGAGCGAGCATGAGTGCTTTGCTAGCGGAATCGATGCGGCAGGCAGTGTCTGGTCTCTAGCTTGTGCTTGCTCGCACTCCAAGGCAAGTCCGAGCTTCTTTGAGCATTTCGTGAGTCCGAAAACACGAGCCGAGCTCGCCGCGCGCAGCTCGCTCGTTTTTGTTGGTTATATAAGAGTGGCCGTGCTGCTCAACCTCCGCGCGTTGTTGCTCTCCTGGTACCTGGCGCACCAAACGCGGTCTCTTCTTCGACTGAATCCAAAACAACAACAGCAACCAACAGCGCGGCGGCTAGACGAGGAATATCTGCAAAACAAGTCGCAATCGTCCGACTCGAAGGAACAACAACAACTGAACACTTTTCATAACGTTCGTTTGCAGCTAAGCGATTGGGTCTGGTTGGTCCGTCGACTGTATGATCGTCAGTGTGTTCGTTTGTTAGCAATTGAGTCGATTGTGCAATCGTCTCCTCTATAATTGATTTCACCTTGAGAGCCACGAAAAATGCAAAAGAGACGCGCTTCGAAATTTTTGTTTGTTTCTTAAAATCGACGACTTTTTATATGTCGCGCGATGCCGTGTGCTACAAGAGTTTGAATAAATATGAATTTCGACAACTCTTTCGTATTCAGTTCTTGCTTATGTCGCAGTGGTATGATTTATGTATAAAAACTTATTGACTACGACTGCGTTTGATTGTGTGAGGAAAAAACGAAGAATCGATGGCACCGCCACGCGTCAGGCAGGCGCAAAGACTTCTTCGACGTCTTAATTAGTATCAATAACGTACGGGGTCGCTGGTGTACTTGGTTTACCAGCCGAATGGCATCATCGGCGTCGGACGCGCGCATGATATGTGTTTGTTTCGTTACGCAACTGTAAGAATCGCCGTCGCCGTCGCCGTCATTAATGTACATTACTCACAATGTGTACTTCGTACATGCATGACTTTAGCGCAGCGTATCATCAATGCGCTCGCGGACCGGCCGACCGGACAGCTTAGCGCATAATTTCGCCACGTGCCACAAACATCAAGAGCATGTACATGATCATTACAGTGGATGCACTTAAAAAACATCGATTTCTATTTCGTGTCTGCTGGAATACGGCGACACCGTTGAAAACAACAAACAGAACAATTATGCGACAAATTTTCCCACCGCGAAGATGACTTGAAATACCGAAATTGTATTCGAGCGCGGCGTGCTCGATAATTTCGAAAACTACGACGCGATATATTTTACAGATGACAAGGCATCAATTTCATAACCGCTATCACCGCTCGGCGAGCAGCGCGCACGAGATTGAGCGAGTAAAAAAAATCTTATCGCCTTTCCAATAACTTCTTGTAACAGCGCAAACATAAAAAGCCGTCGGCGATAAGATAATGATGATCCCTTGTTGATTTTTAATCATTTCAAGACCGAAAATACACACTTGGTGTTAGCAATGTTGTTAATGTTTGCTTGACGTCATTCTCCGTACTCATCACTGATTTTAGTCATCCGAATTGGGAGCAGGGGACGGGTTTCCGTCGCTTTTGGTACGATGCGAAGTGGAGGTTTGCATGGCGCAACCCCTGAGTATTCCGAGTCCTGAGACAACACGCACACCGTGTTCATCGATTTTCCTTCGGTCTGTGCGCTTCGCCAGCTCGCCGTCTGCTCACCGGTCGGAAACCCTACTAGAGGAGCCTATCTGTCGCTTAGTCCATCGTCCGTTTTATGGATTTCTTGATTGCGCTCGAAGCTTGAATGTAGGTAGTACTTGTTAGCATTCGAAGCCCTAGCAAGACGACAGTTGACGTTGTTGCGTTTATTAGGAAATCGTCGCTGGATTGATGCGTACGCTCGCTTGCGGTCGCACGACTAGCGTATACGCGCGTCGAAGGAATATTTACGGTTTAAGGAGGTCAAGGGGACCAAAGTCTGTTTATTGTTATAAATATAGCGATACTGGCCGCTCTGCGCGCTCGCACTGTTAAATATTCTATTAATGTTTGCATGCATATGTATGCAGGGAGTGCATAAGCGCGATTGTGGTGCGCGCTTGTCATCGTAAGCGGCTGCCATCAAAATTTTCAAACGCACGACGAAAATCGTCTGCTTGGACATGGGTCAGTCGCAGCCGCTTGGCGAGGGTGGATGGTAGTAGTACGCCAGCGCCGAGCGGTCACGCGAAGAACATGGCACCAGCCGCCATCGATTTTCCCTTGTCGTGTCGACTAACCATCCAACCTACCTCTCTAGCAAGGACGACACTGTCGTTTGCTCTCCCAGGCGGCTGCCTAGATCATCACACACAAAGCCGCCTTCTTCGACGCCCGCTCGTAGCGCCAACAAGAATTACTGTTGCCATGTCAACACAACAAGTAGCGGCATTTTTATTTGCTGCTGTTTGGAAAAACGTCAAAAGAATATATCGCGCGCGTTTTACCGACTAGGCTAGACGCATTTCCATCGCGTTTTATTAAGTCGCGATCATGTCCTACGATATGTAATAAATAAACCACACATCGGGCGCATGGCATTCGCTAACATGTTTCGTGTTGCAGGTTTGCGGGGGGTAGCATGTCCGTGCCGTCGATGGTGCATCGATCTGGTGACACCCTCGTAGTACGAAGCGTCGTCAGCGGCGACGCTCTCTACGGCACCGCGTCGGAGTGCGGCAAGGACGACGACACCTTCTGCAAACCGACGCTGCGTGACATCGCCGATATCGACGCCAAGGACCTTCCAGAGTGCAAGGTCAAACGCAACTACTCCTGTGCCATTTGCGACTTCTTTACGCAGAACCCTCGCAGCTATCTCTATCACCTACGCGATGTGCACCACGAGAAGGTGAAGATCTACGAGTGCCCCAACTGCCTGTACGCGTCCAAGCACTTTCAGAAGCTGCTGCGGCACACGAAAATGGTGCACGGCGGCACCGCCGAAGCATCCACCACGGCGGCGGCGGAGCGGCCACGCGTTGCCACGCGAAAACGCTCCCTGGAGGAGGACAATAATAGCGGTGACGAATTTGCCGATGTGAAAGACGTCGATGACGATAAGCCAGTGGTGCACAAGTGCTCAATGTGCGCGTACGTTGCTAAATCAGCGGCGCAGCTAGGAAAGCATGAACGGGAAGAGCACATTAAGACCAAGTTCTTCAGGTGCACTAAGTGCACCTATGTAACGCACATGAAGGCGCGATTCACGAAGCACGTCAAGTATCACTCGATGCCGATGATTAAGTGCGATATGTGCGATTTTCGCACGCCATACAAGTGGAACCTAGACCGCCACTGCAAGAATCACAATGGACGCGGGACATTCCGCTGCTCGGCGTGCAACTTCACCGCCGACATAAAGCAGAGTCTCACAGTGCACGAGATGAACCATCACGTGCCGCCGGTCGGGCAAGCCGCCGGCTTGGGTGTCGGCCGCAGACGGAACAAGGTTGGCGCTAGTGACTCGACGGCTGCGGAAGACGGCATTCAGGTAAGCAGAAAATTTCCTTTCATTAGCTTCGCTCGTTCGTGTCAGGCGCGTTCAGTTTGCGATTATGTTAGTCATTTCTGACATGGACTTTATTCTCCTTCCGCGGAAATGACGTAATGCGTGCACTTTTTTTGGCACATGCACACATTTCACAACTTGTTTTAAAGTTGAGTGTATAAAAAAAATCAAGCATGCATCGACCTTGACGCGGCACAAGTTTTGCAGTTTACCTATTTGCGCTAACCAACAAACAATACGTACATTTTTTTTCCTATTGACAATTATTACGAAGCGAAAAAGAATAAAACTGCTGCCTTTTCATAATAGCGTGGCTAAGCGGATAGCGCGGATTTTTCTTTCCGTTGCGATGCGGTGGCGTGTTCTTAATTCTTATTGGGAGTTCGTGGAAATATTAAAATTAGTGCTACGTAATGCTGTTTGTCAAGGTTACGTAACGTGATTCAGATTTTCCTTGTGTGCATTGTAGATTTTCGCGATGCGGCGGAACACTGCTGCAGTGTGTGTGCGCGCGCGCGGCGCGGTGTTTGTTTTTGCGCCGAGATGCGCTTGCGCCACACTCTCAGCGCACCGCGTTTAGTTTTTCAGCAGGACGGGCGGGCGGCGGGGATAGACGCGGACGTTCTGCAGCTACGTCCTCCTAGTTGCTCGTTTCCACGGCCCCCGATACTCTTCTAGGCCGCGGTGGGGGCAACTGGCTAAGCTCCTCGCGCGTGTGTGTAAGGAGCGCGCCATAGCCGAACGTAGTCCACCGTTGATACTCTTGAAGTTACAGAGGTGAAAACTTGTCGGCAGCGGCGCGGACAGAAACGCGCATTATCAACCGCGCGGGGCGATAAGGAGATCTGGGCTAGGCGCGACCGATATAATAATCCCACTCAAAAGTAGGCACGCTTGCACACATGCGCGTTTGCACGCACACAACGGCGCAAACTATTCCGCGCGCGCGCGCGCTCAATCGCACAAAGAAACTTTTGATCCGTTCGAAAGATTGATAAGTTTTTCGTTTGCCCACTGATTCTAGGTGCCCGTTGCCGAGCAGGATTACGTCGAACTAGTGCCCCGAAACGCAGCGCAGAAAACAAACGCGTCCGGCAGCGCCAAGGTTGCTGTGATCGCGTCAAACGGCGGTAATAAGAACGGCAAGGCGGAAACGGACTTTGTGCATCCCGACGACATTGTGCATCACTCGAATGGGAAAGTTTACATTAAAAACAAGTGCCGGTTTTGTACGTTTAAAACAGCTTGGGAGAGCGAGATGGCGTGTCATGAGCAGCAAGCGCATTCGGATCTAATGCTTACGCCGCCAAAGAAAAAAGTTACCCGCCCCATGCCGGGCCTGTTGCCTATTAATGTGTCCCCCAAGGAGAAGCGTCCAGAGACGTCCGTAATGTCCCAAACGGATATGGAAAAGATTCTCGCTGGTAGTGGCAACAGCGACTTGAAAGATTTCGCCAAACTTTTCGGCGGGGGCGACGACATGTTTTCGTTGGGCGGTATGGGACACTCAACGACGTCGCCTCAGCCCAGCTCCTTCTTCGACAAATTCAAAGTAAACATGGACGCTGAGAGCCTTACCTGCGAGCATTGCGGCCATGAGAGCAAGTACCTCACCGAGCACACCACTCATAAGAAATCTTGCGGAAAGGTTCCCGTTCCTACACACAGCATTACGTCCATGCATAAGTTGACCAGTACTAGATGTCAGTACTGTCGACAACGGTGTAAATCCTCCAAGGATCTCTTCAACCACCTGCAGACTTGCGAGGAGGCGCAGAAAGCCAGTATCAAGCAAGAGGATATTGACGTCAGCGAACCAGAGTGTTCTTTAGAAAATAACAACGACAAAAAACCGCACCCTATGGAAAATAAGGTGTTCATCTGGAACAATCCCGCCTTAGATGATAACGATTCAACTAATCCCTACGAGTCCTTTGTGGAAAGCCACAGTCATGATCAAGACCAAATGTCCATCGATTTGTCCATCCGCGCGCAATCACCGACCAGCGAAAGCAGTGGTAGCCTAATCAACAACAATGTGTATGAGAAGCCACCAACTACCGAAAAGTACTATCAACCTCCTATGACGACTTCTACACCTGCTACTACCACAACTACCGACAAGATACCAACTCATGGTAATGACATTTCCGTAGCGCAACATAAGCGCGTCTTCAAGTGCCCACATTGCACATTTTGGGCGTCGACGGCGTCGCGTTTCCACGTACATATTGTAGGGCATCTCAACAAGAAACCTTTCGAGTGTTCTCTATGTGCGTACCGTTCCAACTGGCGCTGGGACATTACGAAACACATCAAACTGAAGTCGGTGCGTGACCCGGCTCATGAGAATGCGAAGGTGCTGATGACGGATGAAACGGGCAGGCGCAACTACACAAAGTACAACAAGTACTTAACCGAAATTCCGCTTAAGGGCGGCCAAGAGGAGACCAGTGGTGGAATGGGCACCCGCCCCAGAGAAAGGAAGACCGCCTCTGAGCGCAACACAGCTCTACGGCCACCGCCGCAACTGAAGCCCGCCAACGAATATCTCAGCAAGGTGCCTTCCAACGACAAGAAGAAATCGTCATCCGGGGATGGAAAGAAAACCTACTGGCAGTGCAAGAAATGCAACTTTAGGTGAGTCCCTTTAGACGTATACCATAGTTAAGTCGGGTTAAAGATCACTAGGGTCATAGGTCGTAGGTATATACGTGTTTAATCAGATTCTAGATATAGTCTTGCAGTCATACGAGCTGTGAACACAATGAGTTGTAGATTATTTGAAATTCCGATGGATTTGGTTGCGTCAATGGCAAACGACACAATAACGGCTTATCATTGACGAAAAGACACCAAATTCGATGACTTTGTCCGCTCGACATTTGCATTAAATTTAAATTAAAAATGTTCATTGTCATTCCATCAGTTTGTATTTCTTGGAATATTGAAGCATACATGCATACGTGTGATTCACAATCATAGTCAATCTGTGGAAACAAAATTATTGCAAAACTTCTAATCTAATCTCTGCATCACGCCTAATTACTTCAGCCCGACAAACATCCGTAGGTATTTAGTCATCGTTACATCCATCAAAAGCATTTTTTTAAATCGCACTTATCACCGATACAATTATTTTTCATGCCATACTAAGCAATGATGTTACTTAGACAAAAATCTGTCCGATATGAGCTTCGATAAATTGTATTGTAACGTTTTTTTTTTTATTGAAGCGCGCGTTGTCGATGCAAGATATCAGGCTCGCGATAACAGTGGGCCCGAAACGGGAATCCGTTATTTAAAGAAATTGAAGCGTTTGCATGGCATCTTATCGATTCGATTAATAAACCAACACAATCCCACACGCTGCTCGTCTACGTGGCTGATTCAGATTGCATATCACGGCGCAGCAATTTACTCACAAGTACTTCAGTTTAACCGACTGAATAAGTCAATAGTCAAAGTACACAATAATCATTAAAAATTACAACACCAATTGACAAACAAATAAGCTATCCTTTGTGTACATTTTTTCGATTGCGTTTCCCTGCCTTGTGCGCGTTTGCGTATAATTTTTTGTCATTTCACCTTGCCGCGCTTCGTGCCCATTGTAGACAATATCAACGCGAACGTACTTTTTTAATTAACACTCCTAATCTTTTTTCGTGTATACGTACTTATTACGAACTGAAAAGAACGTGTAATATTTTTCTTTTGGCGATAAGATAAACTGGAACGACTAGAGTGTGTTGGCGTGTGGTGGCGTCCACACGCTGCGCGCAACGCTCGATTGTAGCGTTGAAAATGTAAAACACTTGCGCTTTGCTGGCTTGGCTGGCTTTGCTTATTTAGTATTGTTCCTTGGGCGCGCTATAAATAGCTTTATGCCTTACGGAAATTAAGATGGAAAACCGAAAGCGGCTATTCGGCGTGTACAACAAATTTTCCGTCCGTGTGTGGCGTGAATGTATGCTGATAAGCATGAAAAGAATAACGAGTCGAAAGAAAAAGATGCAATGCATGCGCGCTACCGCAATTTCGAACGGTCTCTGATTGAGAACAATGCACATGCTGGTTTACCTACCAATTGCTGCTTTATTGTGGACGACGATAAGATTGAAATTTGCAAATTGTTGCCACCTACCAGTTAGGTACGAGGTCCCATTAATCCTCGATATCTTTTGATTCCAGGGACCTATGCAAGGACAAATGTCTCCACCACGTCAGGGGTCATGTGCAGGGATTGTCTAACTCAGGCGACGACAAGATGGTGCTTACGAATGATTCACTGTCGCCGCTGATGGGATCTTCGCGCACGAGCGGCACCTGGAGGGGCTCCGAGTTGGATTCTGAGGCAAGTTTGGCAGGCGGTGGTGTGTCACGGGGGCAAGCGCCCTTTCGTTGCGGCCACTGCCAACAGGTTTCTAACTGGAAGCATGTCATACAGGTATTACTAACCAAACCAAGTCGCTTGCTCGCTCGCCTATTAACAAACTAACCGATCAAAACATTCCAATGTATCAATATCTGTGCGTTTACAACGAATACGTTGTTTACTAATGCTTCCTGCTTCTTTCTTTGTGTTTTGAGAAAATCGAACGAACAAAAAGAATGGTGATCGTTTCTAATTACTACTGTCTATATGTGTATTTGTGTCTTTGTATACTATCTGTTTTCGAATGGAACGAAATTTGATTTGTATGTTTAATCGTATATGGTTTTTTCCTATTGTAGCGCCATTGTCGGTTGAAGCACCAAGGCGATGTTAAAGTTTTGATGGGTTCCGCTTCTAACTTGGACGAGTCCTTTGAGCAGATGGACATTGTTCAGGACGGCGCCCTCAAGTGCGGGCACTGTCCGTTCTCTAGTAATGACACCGGTCTGTACCACATGCATCTCGAGGGTCATATACCCCAAAGTACCGCTACCATAAAGTGCTTCTACTGTAATTACTACGTAGCACAGGCTGAGGATTTGCAGGAACATCTGAAGCTGCACGGCGCGGGTAAGACGAACCACGGCATATTGCCCAAGGAAGACAAGCCGCAAGTCGGCCACGAAGCTGAACAAGCTAGCAAACGATACAAATGTGTCACGTGCCCTTACGTGACCAACAGCAAGTCCCAGTTTACATATCACAAGCAGTTCCATCAGCCCAAAAACGGGCAGTACAGTTGCACAGAGTGCAGCTACAATGTGAGCAAGCGTCATTTACTTCACCAGCACATGAAAGTGCATGGCATTATGATCTCGCCACAGAAGCAAAACGGCGAAGTTCTTGATCTGGAGGAAATCACCGACGAGATGGAGGAAGTGCACTCACCGTCGTTTGACTGGCAGAATTTACAAGAAATTCCGCTTGTGTGGGTATCGAAGGGCGGAAAATTTTCGAAAATGTATCGATGCAGATACTGTCCCCATGTTAATTTGCGCAAGGTTAACATTATGGATCACGAGAAGATGCATGGCAGTCGAGATCGCAGTTCGCGATGCGGTGAGACCGAACATCGCTGTCCTGATTGTAATTACGTCTGCAACAATGCGGGTGTGCTTTCATCGCACAATAAGGTTCATCAGGGTTTGTACGGTGCGGTGCACGGTCTTGTAGATTCGACTAAGACGGACGAGGAACAAATTCGCGAATTGGGTGCGTTGCCGAACTCTTCGGGAATAATCAATCTAGAAGAAGATAACGATTTTGAGGGAGATGATCGCGAAATGCTATTCTTTTGCGACAAGTGTCCAGCACGATTTCTGAAAAAGAACGAACACTCAATTCACGTTACGTTCCACGGCGCTGGGTTGCTCAACCGATGCGAAAATTGCTCGTACTCTTCGCAGCAGAAAGCTTACTTGCAAGGACATAGCAAAGTACACACCAAGGATTACCAAGAGCGCACTAAAACATTGATCGAAACTACCGCTATCAGTTTGGAACACCCGCAGCCGAATGTGATTTTTTCTGATTATTCATGGATTGTGGAAGACGCCACCTCGGACGAAGAAGAGCCCGAGCAGGAAAATGGTTACGTTTATAAAAGGATGAACGTACCTATAAGCGGGACGGATTTGTTCTTACAGAAGTCGGAAGCCGAGGCAAATGAGGGCGCATACTCAAGTTCAATGACGCGAATTGGTAAAATAAAAGAAAAGCGATACAAATGTTCCAAGTGTCCGAGTGCATTCGAGAAGCGCGAACAATTTAAGCTTCATCTTGGACTTCATGGCTCCAATCAACAGTATGCGTGCGCCTCTTGTGATTATGCGGTTTCTAATCAGGCCAATCTGTTGCAACATGAGAAAAAGCACAAATCGATTAAATCTTTTGAAGACGATGTAAATATATTAAAAACTCCACGTACTCTGTTACAATGTATTAATGTATGTTTTTCAGATTGAAGAGGTCGATGCATCGCCGTCACCGCCGGCAAGAGATATGGATGCAAAGAAACAGTACTGGTGCTCAATGTGCCCGTACACCAACGCGCGGCGAGACGCGGTCGACAACCACCAGAAGCGTCATTTTAAACTGTCAGGCCTCCAGAGCAACTTTGTTTGCGATGACTGCGACTACTCGGTGCCACAGATGCACCTTTTGCGGGACCACATGAAACTACATTTCCTACCCAACAAAATGCACTCGCCAGACGCCTACATGGCGCAGGACGTGACCGAATACTCGATTAAGGTCGAGGACAATGACGAGCACGACAAATACCGACTGGGCGACGAAATCGAGTCGTCGTCACTGAACAATAATGAAGGGGAAAAACTATATGTCAATACGCAGACGGGCGAAATCGGAGAATCCGCTAAAGACTCCGAAATGGATACTAGTTAATTTGCTTACTTATTGTTTGTTTCTTATTTTATTTTTTCGATAAATTTAATTTATATGCGCATGATGAGTAGAGTACAAAGAATTACAAAGAAATGATGAGGAAGTACTAAAGCTGTAAGCAATCGGTAGGAACATATTAATATTAATGGTGCCGGCACCAAAAATCGGACTTAATTACCATTTTATAAATAATTTTACCTATTAGAAATTAATATTATTCTAAACAGTTAATAATATGCAATCAAACCGCCTAACACTACTACGGGTTTCATAAGTAGTCACATTATTATTAATCTAATCAGTCAAGTCAAAATATGACGAGTATTTTTTGTTCTTAATCTTTTAATTTAACGAAGCAAAACAATAACTATTGATATAACACAACACAGTTGAGAATGGTTTAGTCAAAATGTCTAGTGATACTAAATTAGTGATTTACATTGTGTAAAGAAAATGATATCTTAATGCAGAAGATAAAGTTATATATTTTATATATAACTAATTATTAGGTAGGAAGCAAAAGATTCAACAAACGAATCCACATTTCATCACGGAACGCGCCTTCGAAAATTTATACCTTTTTGACATGAGTGAATTGTTGCACGAGTTTTAGAAAATCTATTGACAAAACATTTATAGATCCTAAATTCACGAGAGGGAAAAGAACGCGGACGTGAACATTTCATATGCTTTGCACAGTTTTACATTACCAGCACTTAGTGCACATCTGTTTGATGTGAAACTATTCAGTACAGTGTCTTTGAGAAGAACGTTTCTTTTGTTTCAATTGTTAAATAATTTTCGTTTTCCTTTTTTATAATTATTTTCCAATGGATCAGTGTGTGGGATTACTTAGTTTTATGCCAAAGCATTTATGCCAAAATACGCCATAAAATAGTTTAATATATTATATCTGTTGAATAAAATTGATTAATAAAACCAAAATTTAAGGCATAACTTTATCGTGTGCTAGATTCGTCACTTACCTGTCACATAAATAACCTATAAACCCAACCTAAAATATTATTAAAGCAATGAAACAATTAGAGATTTTTTTATACCGTATTTATTTACAGTGTTCATAGTATTGCAACTTCATCGTAGGAGGTGGTGTCATTCTTCCCCAATTTTAACCAAATTTTGTCGACACTATTATCCACTAAAATAATCACAAAGTAAGGACTTTTTGGGAAAACGTCAAAAGGACAAACCAGTAAACCACACCAAAGATTATAAACAAAGTTCAATTGTTATCATTGAAGCACTTGCAAATTTCCATTAAATTCACTATGAGATGTGGTAAATTAAAACGCTATAATTCTAAAATCATAAGAAAAATAATACGTTTTTTTTAAATATAAGTATGATTGAAGAAATTATAAATATTACTCTTATCTCAAAATTATTACTTCTAAAATCTTTGGCTATTATATCATAATCGCAACGCCGAGATTGCGATGCTAAGTAGTAAGAAATAGTCTACAATTTAAACTATGTCAGTACAAATGTTTGTAATAGCACAATATACCACACGACTTTCCAATATCGTCTAAGAAAGTTTTAAAGCTAAAAAGTGTATTGTTGGACAAGAAGGACAAGGAATATAACAATGAAGAATTGAAGAATGAGTGAGTGCACTGTACAAAGTTTGTGTTTAACATTTTGGAAATGACTAGAAAACCATTAATACGGCTGCCTTGGCCAACTCTCATGAACACAACGCTACACCAAGTGCCATGAACGCATAGCTTGAAGTCACGCGTTAAGTTTATTATTTTCGTTTCCGAATATCGTTAGAATGTCGTAGAAAAAGCTACGAAGTGTCAGTTATCAGCAAACTTGTGTTGGTATTACACGTACAAATTCATAAGCGAGTTGTTCTATTGTAGCAACTAGAAACAATCAAATAACAACTCTACAGCTACAACAGCATCTAAAGGATTTAATTAAATATAATTGTTAATATGTTTACCTTTCAAGGAGTCGCCGCTTGAGATCCGGTGGGTAGGTAACGTAAATGTACTCGTTATCCTTGTCGGTGGTATAGAAATCCTCTGTGTACGGATGCCCCGAGGGGTCATAGCCTTGACCGGGGTCCGGGCGCAGGAGATGCGCTGGTGAGGGGGTGGATCGGTCAGTGAGGCTAGCGCTCGCCACACTCACGTCATCCGTGCTGAAAAAGCTACAAGTTATGGACGAGCATCAGTTCCAGGTTTCGGCGCAGGGCAGTCTAATAAACTTACTCAAAGAGTACCCATATAATGTAGTAACATAAGCAAATCCCTAACGATAGAACCATGATTATCATACAAAGTAATCCCCATGGGAATGATCTAATATCACTTTGAGAATCTTCCCAGTAACGATCACAAGTCAGGTACCAGCAGACGGCTCGGTTTAATTCGTCTGTAATCAATCACATTTTCTCTAAGGACTTTAAATTACACCTTAACTAACTCGCCCTTACCTTCAATTTCCTTGAAATCTTTAATGGACAACTGAATTAACAGGCTGGCAATGCAGTCGCGCACTAGTATCTCACACTTTGTCTTTAATTTGACTAATTCCTCAGGTTTGCAATTAGACTTTAGCTTTTGCAATTCAACAATTCGTTGTTGGCGATTGTCTGGTACAGGTACTGTGGAGTCCACTAGGTCGTCTCCACATGAATTAAAACTACGGTTTTGAGAATTTTCTTCTCTTGATGACTCATCTGAAACATTTCAAAATAGGGTATAACTGCTGTATATATGACTTGTCATTTTTGTCCGAATCGAATAACCAAATTGAAAATGTAAACGTTGACCTTTTGCAGTTCACTGAATTTGACTGTTCAATGAAAGCAAAATACAAAAGCTGTTTTCAACTAAACAAGCTGATTCTACAATACAGACACAATTAATAAATTTGAATAACTGAATACTTTTGAGAAAGACATAGAAATTATTTTATTTGTTTAAAAGTGATTCACTAAATAAGGCTCACCTGGTGCCTCTGAATGCTGGCACCTCTGTTTTTCAACTTTCTGCTGTTTATTACTAGCGCTCTTCTGCTTCGCAGATCCAAAAAACTTGACTGTGTATTTGGCAATATCTCGCGGACCTGTAGCAGCCAATGCCTTTGAATATCCGGACCCTTCTCGCCAGATCTCGATGTCAGTATTAATCGACGAATCTGGATAAACAATCTTTGGGTCCTGGGTAATTAAAACATCACATCGCATAATGTCACAGTAATCAGCAAGGCACACTGCATCTTCTGCCATATTAATGTTATCCTTATGTCGGTTGTCGAAGTGCAAGTCCAGATACTTCTCTTCAAAGAAGGACTTGCCACATAGGCCGCAGGTCCATTGCGAGGGCCGATGTTTGTGCTTGGCGGTCTGCTGCGGCCCAAATATCTCACGTTGGTGGTGAAACGGACACTCGAGCGGTAGGTTGACTTTGTACTTTTGCAGCACTGGCAACCATTTGGTTTGTATTATTTTCCGTACGATTCTTGCATTGTCTCTTGGACATGAAATTTTGAACACAGTTGGTCCAGGCCATGGTATTAGAGATAATAGGAAAAGTCCTATCACCTACAATACAGCATGCAAAATTATTGATTTACCATGAAGTCAGAAATTTGTCTTATTGGGAGAATTAGTTAGAATATAATATATAATACCTGGAAATTAAAGCAGGTGGACTTCATTCATATTTTGACTACGGACCCGGTAAAGAAATGTTGGCGTTTTTGCGATTGCAGACTTATTGAGCAAAATCTATGTAGCTGGTCATGGCACGGAGCGACTTCTTATGATCCGGACTCGACCCGCATTCTGGAAACGGCGCAGCCGCATGCCGCCTCCGTTGCTACCGCCTCCAAAATTTTCCGGTGACTAGCGCAACTTTACATTTGTTAAAGTAATATAAATTGTATTATGTTTATTTAAAAAGACCTAGTAAAGCTATAGTCCCTAATTTTAAAGTATCCGTAGTAGTTCATAGTAACGTATATTAAACGTTGTTGAAAATTTTCAAATCATTTTCAAGCATTACTTAAAATCAGGTTTTCTCGACTAGATGGGGGTACATTCAAAAGTACGTATTAATGTATATTTAATATAAATTTATTTAAAGCATCTTATATACGTTATTATTTAATATAGGGTATTGGTATTTCACTCCAATTGTACCGTATGTGCTACAAGTATTCTATGTTCTTACGGAGTCTGTATACCATTCTAGTATAAAGTGTTGCCTGCATCATACTACTAGAATTGCGGATAACTAGTTCTGAGGGAATAAGCTCATGTAACCTCCAAAGCCTTGAACGTAAGGCAGGTGTATTAAAGATTGCGGAAAGCCGATAAACGTCGTCTTAAATATGAGTTTTGTTACCAGGAGAGGTACAAAACACGAAATAGTAATAGTTCTTATTAATACTAAAATAATATTAATTTACTGTTGCAGGACTATTAGACATTGTGTCTGTATTTGTTCAAGCAAAACGCTTTCGAGGCAAAATCAATGTTCAAAAACCAAGAAAACCACATTTTGAAAGAGCACTACTCTTTCAAGCTGCAAATCCGTATTACATTAAAGATGAATCTGCTAAAGCAAAAGATTTATTATGTGGACATGCATTGGGAAGAGTGAATAAGGAAGTAAATGGTACAAACAAACTGCAAATTATTTATGCAAAGGAATTATTAGATAAATTTAAATCTTCCAAACTGATTGCAATTTACCACAAGAATCCTCTCTCAGCAGAAGTTGAATTCAATGCTTATGCAGCTTTTCATAAAATTAACATGGATTACAAAGTTTATAGCAAATCAACATTAGAATTAGCAATCAAAGACACACCTTATCAAGGAATTTTGGGCATGTATGTATCACAAAATGCATTAGTGTTTTCAAAGGACCCTGACATCAAAAAGTTATTGAAAGTTAATAAGAAGTTTCCACAATTAATCTTCCTGGGTATGCTGACTCATTTGATTTTTGGATATTAGTAAGATTAATAAATTTTTATTTTAGCTGCAATATATGAAAACAATTTTTTGAGCAAAGATGATGTGGTTAAGTTAAGCTCTGTTGGAAATATTCAAACAGCAAGAGCTGAACTTGTACAAACAATTAATTGTCATTCACAACAATTGGTGCAACTATTAGATGTGAATCAGCAAAATCTTGTTTCACTATTAGAAAGAAGAAGTGATCAGTTAAATAAGAAGTCAACTGATCAGAAGTAGTGTTTATGCAATTTTTAATGCAATAAAATAATTATTGATATATGCAAATGCTTCAATATTCTATCAAAATTCTATCTGCTATGATGACTTGCGGCATTAGATTTTAGAAAGTGATTCATTCTCGTTCGTCCCAATTTGTTCTTATTTATTATTTTTTTCACCACATGATGGAAACTAAATATCGATTGATTACAATGTTACAATGGTTTCTACATAAGAATTACAGGAGGTGCATTAATTTTTTAAACTAATTCATACTGCAAGTACCTGTGCCTTTTCACATAAAAATTAACCCGCCATATTATGTAATAATACGCTGGGTACTATTTATGTTAGCATACTGGCGAATTTCAATTCTCAATGAAGGCACACACGAGTTGATCTTAACGGGAACCATGTAAATTTAGCTAATTTAGCGCTGTGTCCAGGAGCTCTTCAAGGATCGAGCAATGTCGTTTTATTGTATTTCATGGTTTCAATATTAGGCATGTTGCACTAATTTAGTTCACCTTTCATTGAGGGTAAATTAATTAATGATTCGGCATATCCCCAACTAGGTCGAAAACATTTGAACCCGATTTTGACGAAGTATAGTTACTTTGATAACTCTCTTTGTCATTGAAATTGTAAAATACACCTACAATGCCCAAGAATGTCCTTTTCTACAATTCCTGGCAATAGGCAGCAGGGATGTGCTAGGGCACATGCTGGTGTAGGCATAAAAACCATCTTTATCATTGATACCTTGTTAGTGTGCGCGAAAGTTTCTGCATATTTCCTTTAATTGTTTTTCGTGTATTTGTAGTTTCCGTTTTGCAAAGAGCCTATGTAGTATGCTTCCTAATATGGTTATTATGGTTTTGCTCGGACATTTTCGAAATTATGAATAGTTTTCATAATTTTGTTCCAGTCCTTTTCAATGTCTTCGTCCACCAAATTGCTATGGTTGAAGTTTGCTGCACTAGGAGAACGGCCTTTTTTCGTATGCAGATTTCATTACATTCGCAACCGCGTCTACCGTTCGTTTCCGTTCGAAAGTTCGCTTCTACTGGTCTCGAGTCCATTTATTTTCTGGTTTGCTAGCACGTCGTTCGCTTAGCAGCTGTTGTGGAGTCTCTTTGTCGTCCATACAACCAGGAATAGAAGGCTGTTCCATTCTATTTAAATTTTTATCTACATTGTCAGGTGATAAGTCCTGTTAACCTTCATATTCTTTAACTGCTCATGTCTTTGATATTAACTTAAACCTGTTATTTAAGTTCATCAAGGAATAGTCTGATGCCCCATTCCATTCCATCTGACTTTGTCCTAGGGGCGGCTCCTTGGCCGTTAGCCTTCCGATTATTGCCATTCCGGTCTTGTATGCAATCCCCAAAGCTGATTCAGGTCCAATATAGCCCTGCTCTCTCCAGATTGCACAGTGAGTTTGTTCCATGGTTTTATGAGATGCCCTGGCTGCTTGATAATTGTATTTTATTGTATTGTAAGTGATTCCAAGCTTTTGCATCCCACTACCATCTTAGATTTGATAAATGTTGAATCAATCGCCTCGAGTATACCCGGGTCAACGGGATTTATTTGCCTGTTGGATAGGAGTACTTTTGCGCCCATTGGGTTCTCTGCCCTGTGTGCAACAACCTCAAGCTTGGATTTCCAACCTGTAAAGGTACCGTATCCATGATTGGACAGCTTTAGGACTGCTCATAAGGCAATAAGCTTTGACAAGCTTTTCTACAAAACTGGCACTGATGTACGCTGGTGGCAGGATTTCGTGTCGATAAACGTTCCATCAGCAACACGGAGACAATGTCGCTAGTATTTCTAGGTGCTCTCAATCCCACTGATCTCAGACCTGTAGCAGATTTGTTCACTATATATTCGGTGCATCTGGATTCTGAACGTCGCATTAACTGGTATAAAGCAATGCTGCGCAGAAACGGCTGTGAAAATCCGAACGTAGTATATGCAGACTCGACTAACATTTATTATTATTAATTATTTTTTAATGCTTATCTCACGCGGGATTATATGGGATGGTATTTACCAGATTGAAAAACTAGCCATGCAAACTAGTATCACTTCAATGTTTATCAGTTCAAGCATGATTTTATTAAAAAATACATCTAGAAATGAGTTCTACAGAAATTAAAAGCAAATATGATACAATATTACTTAAACAGGGATGAAAAATAAGTTAACATTAGTTACATAAAATCTAAGACTAGGACTTAGATAGATAAAAATCGCACTGTCCACACATAAATGTTTGTTTTACACAATATTGCTAATTATCGATGCTGAAAGAGCAATTTATCATACATTTTCAGTTCATTAACATAATTCCGTATGAATTACATATTGCTTGTATATGGCCGCTAAAGTTCAAATAAACGATAAATTGCAGATGGATGGTGATGACGAGTCATTTTAAAGTTACACTTAATAAGTATTGTGTTACATTTAAATAGTACATTACATGTTGCGTTTCGATCTTGGTATTTCTGTCTCGATCTTGTATTAACTTTTATAACACATCGTGGTTAATCTTTATCCAGAAAAAATATTTCGTTCTAGCCTATCTACGTAATTAGTAATTATACCTGTTTATTTAATCGTTTGAAGAATTTCTAGATATAATTTCCATCTTATTTTGTTTCTTTACGCGTAATATATATTTTTATATTTGAATAACTATGTCTTAAATACTTTATAATTAAAATTTATCTGTATAATAATTAATAACATCATATTTGTACAGACGTTAAAATTTGAAAAACGTGTTGTCTGTGCACTTTCGCTAAATTCTAAAGTTTGACTGTATCGTTCGTTCATTCTGCAAGTTTCGCTTCCATGGCAAATAATAAGGCGTAGAGCTGCAGGTGTACACAGTAGGAAAACAACAATTTCCTTGTCCAGTGAAAACTAGCAAAAGTATTTTAGACACGATTCTTTTTTTATATAATTAAATAATAAAAGTAGTTTTAATCACAGACATTTATGAAAATAATTTAATTGTATATCTACATATCAACAGGATTTGTTCACACCTTTCGCGATTAATTTACATTTCTTTCGTTCATCTTTAACGTGCGTGCTTCATTCTTCATGGGGGTTCCGGTCAATTATTTGTGGAACTAATTTTGGAAGCATCGTTTGAAATAATGTACTGGTGATTCAATTACCAATTTTTAACCAGCAAAAATCAGCTAGCCAATTTGTTTTACAACACTTTTGGCGCATAACAAAATATTTTCTCTCGCTCATTTCCATAATATTTCAACATTCCCGCGACTCGTATTTCATAAATACAAACGACAAATTTACGTGTTTTCATTTCCAATGTATGTTTTATGTCCACAATGCAGGACGAACTATTTTTCTAAGCGTCGACATTGCAAGTTCCGTTACTGCCCTTAAACGTTTACATTTGCTGCGTAATGAACTACAGAACGAAAAGGAAGCACAATCATTGATTTGCAACTGCCCTTCGTATGTAATCGAATGCATTGAAGCATCGAACTAGTTCGGAGTTCTTTTTGATATGCTCTTAGTAAACAGCATTCGTACAAGTTGCATGCTCATTTCAGCTTGACGTAAACTCCAAACTAAGCCGCTGCCTACCGTAATTATATTGGCAACTAAAAAAGTAAATAATAAAAATACTAAAAGTCTAATATAATACAGTCTCTTATAAAATAATTTTATAGCTATGTACAATACAAAGTTCGGTTGTTTATGCATAGGACTTGCTGTTATTAAACTTACAATACTGCGCTTTACAATATAAGATTAATCGTTTGTTCGTTCGATGCAAACCCCATTAGACATGGCAATCGCGGAGCGCATGATTATATCATTGCTGCATTTTTTAGGTCGATCACGCTTTTACTTACAAACTACGACTTTATAAGAATTTCATTGCGAGCAATACTAGAACCGTGGTGAGTAGCGTCGATGGCAGGTGCGTCGTCGATGAAGCCGTCTTCGTCTCACCGTCAATTTGGTTGGTTTCAGTGAAGACTGGCGGCACAGAGCCGCTGCCGGCACCAGAGCCGTGCTCGACGCGATCGTTTTCGTCGTCGGTGATATCCGGCCCAGCGCCAGATCCGGATCCATCGGTGGCATCACCCTGCATGCCCTGAACGTAGCTGAAAGATTCGGGCATGCTCACCGCCCCCAGTGAAGACATAACCATCTATAATTTAAATGCGATTAGAACCTGAAATGGCCAGTGCTATTCAAATCGACTACTCACTGTGTGCACATGTCTCAGCTTCTCGGCCAGCAGCCCGGCTCGCGGATCAGTATTCTGAAGCATTAAACTTGGCTTCACTTCCGGATTGTATTTTTGCGTATCCAAGCTAGGGTCAGCGATAGTTTTAGTATACCTGAAAGACATAAATTTCCGGTAAGTTGGGTGCGCTCAGCGTGTGAGTTGGAGATTACGTACCCGCCAATGCGTTCACCATTCCAGCAGTGCTCGTCTTTGCGTTCGGCGAAGCTTTCATCCTGACACAGATTATCCGCCAGAGCACTGTAGAATCCGCGACTTTTGACAATGTAGTTGAGGAAATTGAGCATCAGATTTTCTGAAGACGATGAGTATTGTTTGGCAGGTAACATGCTAGTCTTTTCTTCTATTTCAGTCGGAATCATTGATGGATCTTCTCGATCAGACAGTTGCACTACACCACAAGCTCGTTTTACCTGAAAAAGAGAAACGATCTATATTTTTCTTGAATCATCAAAAACGAGACCATTAGTTTTACGAAACTTAAACTAATCGTTTCATTGCTGTGCACTGTGTATTTGTCAAGTTTATTAAATAGAAATATAAAGTGCAATTGTCAATGTGTTATTTGAAGATGAATTTTAATTGAAGTAATCTTCTCTACAGTTTAGGTGTAATTTTTAAACAACCGATAAAAAAGATTAAAGGTACGAGAGTGAGACAGCAGGTGAATTGTATCATTAAAGAACATATGTTCAGAAATTCGTAGCCAGGTGAGTCAGCATTCAAGAGTCGACTTTGTGCGCCCGAAGTTTAAAAAGTTTATAAAGCTCGTACGGCTGGGAAAGCGCGCAAATACATGAAACGAATAGGTTCACCACAACGCGCAGCCGGATGGACTGTAAATGTTGTTGAACAATAACGGCGACCACTGGCTTAGCATGGTGTGGGATGCTGGTGAGTCGAAGGAAAAAGCGATCAAAAAGGTGCTCACACATACCATACGTAGGAAGAGCGGTCGAGTGAACAATAAAAACATTTATCGAACCTTCGAGGGAAATTAATCAAACTCAATGTTTGACTATGATTAAAAAAGGAAACGAGCACAAAGGATTTTCGGCTCGATTGATTTCTAGCCAGCCGCAAGTCGGGTTAATTCTGAATGAATTCTGAACAGTGATATCGTTCGGGAAGGCCGAAATGCACGAATATGTGCACATTTATAAAACGGGCTCGCGAGCGAGCGGAGAGCTTGCAGTGGTCGTAAGCCACGATATCTGCATTCCAACATTCCAACCAGTCGCAACTACCCGACTCAGGATCAAGATCAAGGACATGAATGGTGCAGATATTTTCATCTGATTCAGGCAGATATTCGTTTGAATCGCTTTTAATGGATGGTTACACATTTAACGTTGCCGATTGAATTATGTCTGCGTCAGAAGTAAATTATTACACATTTTTGAAAATGTATATTGATCATCTGGTTGTTTTCGTGAATCGGAGAATACGTTCACAATTTTTCATCAATATAAAGAGAAAAAATGCCGACCCTGGAATTCCAAGCATGCTTTACACTGCCCACGCACTGTTTCAGAATTTCAAGTCTCGCGCGCTTGAAACTGAGCGGCCCTGAAATCCATCGAGCGCTTCAATACCACAGCTCGTTAAGTTCGGTTTCGATTTGAAAATTTCAATTGGTTTGTGCAAATGAAAATACTTCTCAAATATCAATTGTGTGAGGAATTTGCGCAATTGAACAAAACAATATTGGTCGTATGGCATTATTTATATTCTAATCGTATTAGCTGGGCAACAAAGGTTAATCAGTGTTTAAATCGACCTTAATGGAATGCGCTCAGGGTGAGAGAAGACTGAAGGCGCGCCGCAAGCGTAGGTACTCACATGTTGCCCGCGAGTACGGACACGGCTCGGAGGTTGTCTAAGGGTGTCGGGAGTCAGAGACAGGTTGGATTTATACAGGCAATTACAAGCCGCTGCCGGCTGATAGAGCGATTAGGGCAACACCTTAGATTCTTTCAGATCGGTGAGAATGAAATGTGGGAATTCTTCGTGTACAACAGAGAACAACGCAGTGAGTAAATTCCTTCTTTCGATCTCATAAAATTATATTGCTTTCGGACTACTTTTTAATGTCGCTATATTAAATTCGAAAAATTCGAATGCCTCATATTTTAGGTTTCACTTTTATAATCCATAAAATTATTCAAGACCGCCCTTGGGAAATATTACACCAATACAGATAAAAATCTAATTAATCAAAATAAACTACAAATTTTAAGATCATTGAATAGTTTGCTGACAAATTAGAAATTACATAGAAGCTACGTAAATTAAATGATAGTTTATATAGTTTATAGCTCTTGTTATTTTCTTTGCTTGGGCGATTTGGTAATTGAGTCTGTAATTGTCAGTGTTCTTTCCGTTTTCGGGGGTTATGCATCCGAGGTACTTATAGTCTTTGCAATTTGCAATTGTCGTTCAGTTTTCTAGTTTAAATAAATTCTGGTTTGCAAAGACAGCTAGATTGATTATGTCAGAGATCAACAACTGAGATGATCAACAACATGTTTAAAGAATGCCAGAAACCCAAAATTCCCAAACAAATCATACACTGAAAAAAACATGGCAACACGGAATACAGAAGACTATAAACGAACGCAACTTTTCAGAGGAATGCCACGATAAGATATATTTTCCGTATTATATAGGTATACGAGTATACGGAAAAGATATATAATTGCACTCCTAATAGTAATAGTTTCAGAAAATGAGATGTTCATACCTATATCTAATCATTAGATTTGAATTTGTCAAACTGAACGGCGAGTCGTGCGAGAGCCTCTTCAGTTGGTCGGTGCGGTGCGCAAATTGAATTAATAGTTATCTGATTACGTTTCGGAACAGTTTCTCCCGCAAATTACTAGTTTTATTCCCCAGGCAGGCAGGTTGCGCCGGTAATATGTGTAATTGGCAGATCACAGTTTCATTGTGCCTAAACAGGTGCTGCTAATCGATTGAGTTATGCGTGAATATTAAATTGGAGTTCGATTCGTAATTTCCTGCGGTTATGTCGCGCGAGTTTAACATTCCTTAGGGCATGCTAACACGAAGCGAGATTAGTCACCTCTATAAAGCTCGAAATGTCAAAAATGACGCCGGTACTTTAATTGTACGCGATGTGATTCTTTCCTCTTGCAAGGGTCGACGATAAACGCCGATTCGAATTGTGTGCGCAATGCGAGCGCATGTTGCGCGAACCCTGGCTAGTATGTTTACATCAATGTGTTTCGCAGTTCCACGATCATAAAACGTGGAATGCGATGCACGAATTACGAGCGAGCTTTTGTTATTGGAAACACATCGCCGTCTTGCCGACCAGTACAACCGGTGTAACGAGCCAGCATCTGCTAATTTTCAAGAGTGCAATAAATTATGACCACACATTGCATTTCGTTCGGTCGGTAAAAATATTTAAAAAATAACACCGCCAACATTAGCAGTGCTGAAAAGATTCGAGAATAATTGCCACACAACAATTTCAATGAATTTCGAGGCGCAACCAGACGACTGACATCACTCCACTTAATAAAAATCGTTCATTGGCAATAATTAACTTATTTGATTCTTTTGACATTGCAAGGAACATGAAATAAATCTGCGTGCTGATAAAAATCCAGACAGTCAGCTTGCATTCTGCTTTCCTTTTCATTCATTAAACGGATTTGACAATTGACTAAACGAAAAATAAAATTTAAAAATAAAACTTTTTAAGGAGTGCTTTAATTTAGCCATACACATAGATTGATCACGATTGCTTAAAACAGACATTACAAATTAATTTCTCGACGAACGATTTAATAAGCAGCAGTCGTACAAACAGATAACAAAGAAAAAGAAAAACAAATTAACTTAATACGTAATATGCAATTAAATAGCTGCCCATTTCGAGATATCTGCTTGTCGACGACGCCGTATTTGCAAGCCACACACAGATGCTCAGACATAATGAATTTGGCGCGCGCACGCGGTTCTAAGAAAAGCGGGAGGAAAGTGCCCATTAAAGTATGCGATTCAATTTAAACGAAAACCAAGACTACACAATTTGCGTTGCAGTTGTCTCGGAAATTACATTATTTAGATAATAGAATGGTGTGCGCATAAATATAATGTGTGCAGGTGTAGGCGAAAACTGAACGGTTGACATTTTCCACAATTCTCACTAAGTGTGCAGGAAACACTCGAAAGTTTCACCGTGTTGACATCGAGACTTTCCCCGCGTGACGATTATCTGTTATAATATGCGTTATTGAGATGGATACCTTTTAAGGCGTTGTATAGTAATAATCACTTCAAAACAAGTCGAGCTCGCTTTTGTAATATCAAGGACCGAAAAAATAAAATGAGGCATTAATTAATCGTATGAATAAAAAAACTCGCCCGGCCTACACATTTGTAATTACGAATTGTAATTAATCTCGCGCAAGTAGCAAGATTAATTAGACCCACTCTTGATGATCATCGTGTTTGTGATAAAATGCTTCAGTGCTGTGTGTCGAGTCGACGCTCGAGAAAATTCATAACGAAACTAAAATTTAGATATCGCACGAAACAAATTGGGTACGGACAGTTTTTCAGTTCGTCGTTCACATTCAATCCTCACCACACTGTTTGAGCTGTACATGCATATTTGATGAATATGCAAATTAATGTAAAACTACATTTCCCAAGGAACAGAAATTCGAATGTAGGTAACAAATTAGAAATTCATTACTTCACAGAAACAAATTAGTAAAGTTCGACATCCAATGTATGTTGTTGAACTAGATATAAGCCGGTTCTCGTAGACATTTTGCAAATATTATCTCCGGGGTGCTTCGCATAGTGATAGCAGTATAAAATCGAACTGTGTCTAGAGTGATTACGCCCAGAAAATGCAATTTGTTGCCATCTTATGCACAGCAAAACAAGTTTCTCCAATTAAATTGATAACGGCACTCATTTAGAACGTTTGTTATGGTTGATAAGATGCTCGAATGTGTTGTTTGTGCAAATGACATGAAAAACATTCAAATTCCATGCATATCCACAACTTAATTGCACCCAAACAGCGTGTATTCAAATACTTTTTGTCCGTCGTTAGCATATAATTGTGTGCATGTATTTGAAAACTACTTGTACGTTAAAAGCGCTCGGGTCGCTAGCCGCTTCTGCTTGTAGTCGAGCATGGTGCAAGTTCTTCACATTAATTACAACCTCACAATGCACTTTTGCCCACAATTTGCATGTGGGAAACATTTTCCTAAAACTGAATGAAATAATTATGCATCGATGTTATTTATATAATAAACCCTTAATTTCTGCAAATAGATTAATGGATACACAGTCTTAATTTTAATCTATTCTTTGTGACTGCTTCACACTCGTATGTTCTCTTCGCATTTAATACTTGAAT